CATTTATATGGGGAAACTGTTCAGTTTCGGTTGTATGCATGACGAAACGAAATAAATTCACAATTAATGCAATGTCAATCACAAAATGCTAAGGTATCATTTGCAAGAACACTTTTAAACAATATTTGGCCATTGTGGTACACACGTTCATCCAGTTTTTGGAACTGTCGTCTTTTGAATTCAGTGAATTCCACTAATTCCATTGAAATACATATTTGTATGGTATGATATGGTTCAGCAGTATTAAAACAAATGTTTATTCGTTTTTCATATTTTCTGTGTGACATGTGTGTTCGCATGAGTGTTGAATTTCGCAATTTATCCCGATTCATGAGTACAAATGTCATTTTCAACCGAATCGTTGATTGATAAAAATGAAGCCAGCATTAGTGTTTTGTAGAAGACCAATATTGTAGCAAGAGAACAAACAATAAATAACAAAAACAAAAAGAACAACAATAACAAAACAAAAAAAACACTCCCACCTCATCCGTAAGATATACTTTCTGTAAATGATACATTTATATTTTCATAATGTATGATGAATGTGACCAACATATATGTTTCATACTTTGTTTTCTCCTCCGTAGAGCAAAAAGAAACAACAACAGCAGCAACAGCAATAATAATAAACAATTGAATTTCCACCTTCATTCTGAAAAATGGTTAACTGAGCATCAATCTATTTGGCTCAAACATGATTCCATATACAATGTGGTTAACACTACCACGTCATGCATTTTCGGTTAGCTTATCACCAAAAAAAAAATTCCGACTTTACCAAACATCGAGGAATTAATTGGATTTTCGGTAATTAATTACTATTACTATTCAAATCATTATTCGTCACCTAACCGCGACTCCGATATTTATTCAATTATGTTTTGTTACGTCTATTCGTAGCAATATATCGCTATATCATGCTAAATGTTTGCGGATATCAATTGGTTTGCTATCGACGCAATTCCGCAATGAATGAATGGTTCTTGTTTGGAACAAAGATAGGGGAGATTATGGCGAGACCCACGCAGCTTAAATGTATCCTGCGTAAATATGCTTCCAATTCCGTTGGAAGATTTCATCAAATTCATTTGTAAATTTAAGACCGTCTTGGCGATGACCAATCTACTTCAATACTTATATGCTTTATTATATATCCCGTATATACCTTATTACATAATTTGAATCCTTTAAATGTAAAATGTATAAGTGCACTCAGATTTGAAAAATTAAAGTAAGATCCTTTTTCGTTTGAATCGCATCACCTTAGCTCCCACTCAATTACAACAAGAAATTCTCTTAGTTGCATATACATTGTTGCCCAATTTGTATTTATTCGTTTATCATTTCGCGAATGGTGGATGATTGATCCCAAGTTATATCTAATAAATCCTTTTGAATAATGTTCGACGAATAATTTTTTTGATTATATACTAAAAAAAGAAGAAGGAGAGAAGAGAAATGTGACGGCGAGTGTGGTTCACCGACGACGGTTTCAGTCGTGATTGCTGATGATGAGCTGAAGTCAGCTCGAAATGCATTCAAGGTTGGTTTTATTTAAATCTCTTAAATAAAATACGTTTGTGAAATCAAATTAAAGAAAAATCGACTCAAAAACAAACTCAATACTAAAAACGAGCCCTCATTCCATTTGCGCACAGTCTGGATTACGAATAACATGTCTCTTTTGCCACTTAGCATAAATAAATTTATTATTAATTTCAAACCATGTTACTCAACAGGCACAACCTGTTTCGATTAACTATTTACATATAAACTGAATCATATACTGAAAACTGTTTGAAAACAAATTACACTTTCTTAATCGTTCGATTGATAATTCATTAAAATGTAGCTAGAAATTGTGACATTTCAAATCGGTAATTGGTAAATTAAGTGGAATTTCTGATGCAATGACCAAAACCACAATACATACTCAACATCATTAGCACACTTTGAAAGTGCACCACTTCAACCATAATATGTGGGACAGTCCTACTTATGTTTCCAAAGAAATACTTACGCTATTCAACTTATATCTAGTTTTTTAATCTCGCCGCGTTTGTGCCACACAGTTCCACGGATTGATTGATTTTTTCTGTGTATCTCCGCTTGAAAAGTATCCCACGCATTTTCCCACTCAAAATTGATTTAATCGAAGGAAATTTGTGATAATATGATGCATTTTCCTAGTAAATAATGACTTAAATGACGGCTTCACTTTGATGAGATACAAAGTATAGTTTCTCTAGTGAAGTGTCATCAAAAATAATTTACATTTAGCTGGTCAACTGGCGAAGCAAAACGATAGCCACCAATATTTGGTCGGAAAATATGTACTTGAAAATCATTGAGTGTTTTGCATTTATCAAAATCAAAAAGCACATAATAGAATGCATGACTGGGTAAAACACCACAAAATTAGACAAATATTTATTGTATCGGCCGTAGAAATCAATGTAAAGTGCACAATGATAGCATCGCTCATCACAGCATACTGAATGGTTTTAACATTTCTCTCCAGCCCCTTTGTAAGCAGCAAGTGAGCGTGTGTGTGTGTGTGTGTGTGTGTGTGTATGTATTTATCGTCATCGGCCAAGCATCCGAACAATCGATGCAATGTCTACGTAAAATACATCAAGTATCTATCGATGGATGGTAATGCATGTCATCAATTGATGATTGTTTCTGTTATTCGCAAACGCAGGCATTCACACAAGCCGAAACGAATCGGTGAACTTTGATATTACACTTTTAGAAAACATGAAATATGCACACAATACACTGCATGCATTTTTCAATCGAGCGTACCGAAACGTAATTTACCATATTGATTGCTGCCACTACAACTGTTGCGTTGTGAGGTATTGAAATTTTTCTTCATTATTGTTGTTCAAAAAGCTTGCCATTGAATTACAGCAACAAGTACATCGAATGGTGAACGCTGTGAAAATTATTTACATCAAGTTAAACAATTCAAAGCAAAAAAATCAAATCAAGCTTTTCTTACAGTTGAGCTGTAATTGTGATATAGCTATAAAATTTATTATGTGTATTGCTTTCATAGTGCATGTATCCCCATTTGAGACACTTATTTTCTAGCGTTTATCTTTTGCGTCTACAAATCGATTGAGTGTAGAAAATTTCAAAAAAAAAGAAACTTTGCCAATAATCAACAGTTCAGTGAAAACTTAGTCCGGTAATAACGGCACCCGAATGAGTTGGCAGAAAAGAAAAACTTGAGATTGCAAAGAAAAACAATTTGCCTTAAACTTTTGCCGTGTTGAAATGATGAAAAATTTGTCGGATTTATGGGATACAAGTGTGGACAGCATCAATTATTATGCGATTAAACTAATTCTTTTTACGTGTGCAACTTTGCACGTTCCACTGGCTTTCGTCTCTTATTTAATTCAATTTATTGTGACGATATAAATTGCAGTCACACAAACGATTACTGGACTAACTGCAATTTTTTTTTACTGTGCACAAATTAGCCAAATGGGTGTGAGCAAGGCGAGAATTCAAAACCGATGACATATTAGATCACGTGCACAATAGCTTCAACACAATCACCATGATAATATTTTCTGGTTACTGTGGAATGTGCGGTAATTGTTTATAAACGCAACAAGTGAAAAAAATGCCACAAATTCACATTAATTGAGGGGAGATACATATGCGTACTAACCGCAGCCGTAATTAATTCTGGTGGGTTGCGCGCTCGCTTCGATTCTGATCCAAAGTTGATTAACCATTTTTTATTCGATTTAAATATAAAAACGTGGCAAACAATATCAGGATATGCATCCATTGAAAAGTCTTTTTTTTGAATGGGCATGTGTATTTAGGATGAACACATTTGAACTGAGTCCCGGAAAATATTTAGACTCTTTTAATAATAAAAGTGTCCGCTGAATGAGCACAACTTTTTTTTCATGAAATGTATCGACAGGATATAAGATTGGCAAAAATTGGACATATCCACTTTTCATGACCTTTAAATGAATCGCCATGAAGAAAAAATGAACTAGACTAAGGATGACCATGATAGACGAGAAAACAAATGAGTGCTTCTAGCGATGAGTGAACAGATAACGATAAATGTTAAGAAGAACAAACACAAGTACTTTTTTTCTCTGGACGAAAACGGTTCTCCATCGAATTGGCGAAGACCAGTGTTGACGAATCTTTTTACCAATTTTATGAGTCTTATTCGTTCCGATTATATTTAGTTCATACATTTTTGGACCATTTATGAGATTTCATATGTGTCGAAAAGTTTTTATTTCTTTCTCTGTATACGGAGTCATAAATTGTGAAATTTCATACAAAAGAGTGGTGTGCAAACAGTAAATTTTCTATGGAAAAAGGCGGCTTGGTTACAGACTCAGTTTTCATTCTGCATTTAGAATTGTACATACCCATATCATAGCATTTATGTATTGTGATAAATTTTCTGGTGTGGACAGGCATCGATTTTGATTGATTTTCATAAATCAATGTCAGTGTAAAGGACGAACAATAAAAGGTATGTTTGCGCGCTCCTTCGCAATATACGCCTTTACATTGGTTACATTTTGAAAATTTAGCAATCGATATAGATTCAAATCGCTCTTTCGCCTCCTAGGCTGTGAAAAAATATCAATGGCGATGTTGGATTTGCATTAAAAATAAATTCCCACTTTTCAGATTATCGATATTCTAAGTGGCTATTTAGCAATTCAATCAATCCGGTATTAGCATCATATATTGAGAGGCACGTTGTTGCGTCTTACTTTTGTTTATTGCAAAGGTAATTTCTGAATGAAATTGGGTTTATGCGTATCGTTTTCAAGTGACCTAGTGTGATTTCGTTGGCAACGAAATCCGCCCACGGGGGAAACATATTTTATTCTCAAATTATCGGCATACTTTTCGCTTTCAATTAAAACATATTTATTTTCAATCTAAATATCAAAATTGATGTGTTTTTTTTTTAAATTTTCATATCATTCAAGGCTTTGCAAATTAAATCAATCTAGCCATGTCAAATTGTCGCGTATTGTGTATGCTGGCTGTTGTAATTGCTGTACTGAGTGTGACAGCGGTATATGGTGGGCCGGCCAGATCATTGGTTTCAGTGATGAGCTCTGCTCGAACTGCAAAAATTCCACGCGCCATTCGAGCCCCGTTTCGAAACAGTGAAATGATGACTGCTCGTGGCTTTGGCAAACGAAGCCAGATGAATAAATTTAAAAATGGTAACTCTTTTCTCCGGATTCGTATTTTGTTTTGCTCAGAGGAAGAAAAATTACATTTCTTTCCATTTTACAGATAACCCTCAGAAATCGGACACAGAAATTCCATGGTCGAGTGACAAATTTGACGTTCAAGATGGATCGACTGACAATACTGAGTCATCTCAAAAATTGTTAGGCGCACAGTTTGACGAAAGGTAGGTTAAAGTTTGGTATTACTCAGCCATTAATTCTCGCTATACTATTCATACTATTAGAAGTCTTATCATCAAATATCTTTGGGAAAACGAAGTAGAAGAAAAACAAAACAAATGAAAGTTTTTTGTAGCACTGGGCTACCCATCAAATGATTTCAAACCTAATTGGTTTTTGTTTTATTTTCTTCAAATCGCAGCTACCCAATCGAATGGATTGTACAAGAGATGGTTGGAAATGCAGCATTTCTGCGTTCGCTCCTGGAACGTTGTGTTGACACAAACCATGATGGGCAAGTGACTTTACGAGAGCTGTTTGACGGTGTTGCATCACCTTTTGTCACTGATTTAATTTAAATTTTCCATCAGTTTTTGATTTTATTATTCGATTAATTTAAGCGCTGACACCTGGTGCGTTAAATCTCATGAATTATTTTGCAAACAAAACAAACAAATCCAATAATAGAAGATGTGACATATCAGTGAGGATCGGATTTCTGTTGAGTTCGGGATGTTTTCACTTAAAAACTACTTATCCATTTACTGTTAACAATAACAATGAGAAGTAAAGAGAAAAAAAAGCTAAAGAAAAATTATTCAGATCATATAAAGAGCAAATTTTTTTCGTGTATAATCAAAAACAAACAACAACAAAAAAAACAGATATAAATTGATGGTATTGAACTATTGATTGTCAATTTGCACAACTAAAAATAATTTACTATCCGTCCCAAGCGCGACTCCACACTTAGCTTCTAAATGTGACACCGTAGTAAGTGTGGGCATACGTTTTGCGAATAAGCGACAAAGAGAATGGAAACAAGTGCGCGTGTATTAGTCGCTACATTGAGAAGCATCGCATCAGGCTACTTACTACCACACGCGCACTTGTTTCCATTCTCTTTGTCGTTTATTCGCAAAACGTATGCCCACACTTACTACGGTTTCACATTTAGAAGCTAAGTGTGGAGTCGCGCTTGGGGTATTTATATATAGATTTAAGTGGATATCATCTATATTGATGATCAGGATATCCCAATTACATGCCCTTTATTATTGCTCCTTCATTTTTGGCCCGTGCAAATCGACTGAACTACGCGATGTATCTCATTAACTTGATTTCCATTTCTGTATGGTTTATTATTCGGTTTAATAAAACCGTTAAATTAAATATAATTGCGCTATGGTAAAATGGAATGAATGGAACATCCATATGATGAGATGCACGCATCGGAATTTCTATCGGAATTCAAATTTCACAGCTATAGCAAGAATCAATGTTGTCAATAATTTCACATTTTCGTTAAATTGATGGATGTTAAATAAAATTCTATAAAAAAAAACAATAAGAAATGTGAATGTTAAAATTAAAGAGAACAAACCAAAAAAAACAGTATTAATCAATTCAATAAATGGACTTTGCAATTATAAAAATCCAATTTACCATTTCCACATGATTTATGAAGAGAGAAAAAACAATCTCTGCCCTCAACTACCATTTTATTTACCATTGAATTGCTTGGTTATTTTCTTTGATCGAAACATATTTGCAAATATTAAAATTATCAAATTGTTAACATTGATAAGATAATTTATTTTTAAAAGTCAAACCATTTTTGTCTCATAATCATCGCAATTCTTTCAGTTTAATAAAATGCAATCAAAATCTATATTCTCTTAAAAAGCATTATGTTTTCCTCATTCAAAATAAATCAAGTTTGGACGTTTTAAATTAACACATTGAGTTCGCTTCAAGTTTATTCACAATATTTTGTACCGTCAAATTTTATCCGATTCATTATTACAGTTCGCTGGTGAATTATCAACTCATCTGGATCAAAGTTTGGCAATCGTTCTTTGGAATCTGAACTTATTCGTTCAGCCTAAAATGGAAATAAAAAGAAATCGAAATCACATAAAAACATATTTATGGCTGGCAATTGCCGCAACGTTTCAAATGAATTGCCATAACTATAACATGTCGAGATCTATTGATACTTTCTTGTACAAATGCACATATGGAAACCCTAAGAGGTAAGAACAATGGGTAATTATAGCACAAAAAATAATCTGATTCCAAGGAAACAGAGTACTCAAACTATTGATTCGCTTTTTTTAAAAAAATACTAATTCATAATTTACTTATCATGAATGATGAGTTATTTTCCATTCAGTTGTGAAAATCAACGTTTTTTCTTCGTTTGACAATTTGTAGCTAATTACTTCCTAGTAGATAACCCAAAAGTACGTGCACATGGATGCATAGACTTTAGATCGCTCCTCCTTTTCGCTCACGTCAGAAGAAGGTAAATATTGATAACGGATTCTGTGAAATTTTCAATCACACACACGACCATTTATGTGATAAATCATACTATGACTTTATGGAGGTGCTTGTTATTAGATTGATTTATTGTTTTGTCATCGTTTCAGGGAAAATGAATGAAGCATTCGTTTGGGTTGAAATACAACATCTACGTAGAAAAAGGCAGTGATTGCATATTCCACGAAAAGATGTACACCAAATACTTTGAATATTGTTCGCATTTGATGCGTATCAGAAAAATATTTGGTTCGATTTCAGGTTTTCTGGATGATTAGAATTCAGGTGCAGTCTGCATTATTTTTTCTTTCAATTCAAATGAGATTACGATAGCTATAGCGGCCAACGTGTCGAAGAAGATCAAAGATAGGATAAGCAAACATAAAAAAAGAACAGAAGTTCTTCAGTTCAACAGTACATGCAGAGAACAGTGCAAATAATAAAAAATTGATACAATGCAAAAATGTATTGTAACTTTGTAATCTCGATTCATTCTAATCTTCAACTCTCATTTTTTTATTCGATTCGTTCCAACGAAATTGCCGTTTTCCTCGCTGTCTTTTTTCATTAGGGCAATCTGACGGTGCAATGTTCCAAAAAGCGATCAGTCGATGTATAGTGAGTGTCGCTAGAGTGTGAGCGTAGGAAGCAAAGAACAGCCTCTAAACGCAATAGTCGTACTTTTGTCTTCGGTGCATTTCGCGTCGCGGCTATCACACAGCTTGTCATCACAATATTCAATACAAAGAAAAGTCATTCGGTGTGTAACTGTGTGCAGGCATAGCATAACAATGTAGACATTGCGATCAAAGCAAAGTAAAGTAAAGCATAACTTACGCTGACAAAGTTGTGTTGTGATTTTTGTCATAAACATAAAAATATTGTGATTTTGAACGTGGTACGAATCAAACGTAATTGTTTTTTTTTCTCTTCAATACATAAAGTGTAAGTTATTAGAATAATGAATGCGTATTATTCTGAATTATATCTCCAGACATAATTGCGTTTCACGCTCAATTCCATTATTTGTTTGACTTTCAATCGACACAAAATGCATGGAATGATAAGTGACTTTGTAAAGTGGTTTACACTGCTCGAAACATTGTGTGATCGATATCAACGGTGAATGTGGAAAAAGTGTTTTCCATTTATGAATCCGATGAAAAATGCAACTTCAGGTGCTTTTATCTTAATTAACGCTCATGTAGTAGCCCATAAAATGACACTTTGTTTGTTTTGACTCAAGACCAAGAGACCTCTATAAAAGATTGAATGGAATAGATGATTTATTTGACTTTTTTCATGATTGTTGAAACACAGCTGTGTGAGTGTAGCCCTTGTTAAACAACTGAAGATAAAAACATACTGATTTCATGGAGCTTAAACTATGTTGAATTTAAAACTGTAGCAAAATCTAAGCATTCGCTGGTCTGTGAGAATCGAGTATGATAATTTCTTGTGATTGTTTGAATTGAATCGAATGTACTTTCTGCTTTTGATTCTAATGACAACGCATTTTGAATAGTTAAATTTAAACAAAAAACTTTTCGACATAATCAAATGTTTTATTTTTCGATTCCCGCACATTTTCAAATGTATAAATATACTAATTTATACAATTTTTTGTTTCAAAGTCAAATCAACTGCCGACAATGAGTACAATCGCCGAAAATGGTTACAATAGTCTCATTTATCGAGTTGCCGTCGCAAGTGATCGTGATAATGTTTTAGATTTTATCCGAAAGCATTATTACCCGGAAGAAGCGATAACCATTGGAAATGCTCCTTTCAAACAGGATAGTGCCGATGAAGAATTTTCAGTGTCTGTGATTCCATATGGAGCTTCAATAATAGCTGTTGATCCCGTGGAAAATGATAAGATTGTTGGTGCCATTTTGGCGGGACCAATTGAACCAGGCGAAGCGGATCTCATGGTGGATGAGTCAAAGCGTTGTGAAAGTGAAAATAAAAAATGGTCGGAAATTTTACTGTTACTAGCACATTTAGAGGAAAATGCGAATATTTATGAACGATACAAAATAAATAAAGCGCTTCACATCCACGTACTTGGCGTCGATAGTGCGTATAGAGGGAAATCCATCGGTGTGAACTTGATGCAAAAGTGTTTCGATGCTGGCAAATCGTTGGGCTATCCTCTGGTGACGGTGGATTGTACAAGCATTTTCTCTCAGCGAATAGCTGAAAAACTTCAAATGGAAAATATTTACACGCTGGCATTTAACGATTACAAAGATAGCAATGGACGACAAGTGTTCAATCCACCTCTCCCAAACACGCACATCAAAACATTCACGAAAACTCTGTAAACTTTCCCAGCAATTCATATAATTGAGTAGCTTGCTCAAAACCTAAGCATACTAAAGTTGGTGATGGCACGATTAAAATATTTGGGGCCAACCTAATGTATATCGATACTCTGTATTCATTAAATATATATTTTTTTAACAGTTATTTTATTTTATTTTTATTTGTTTATAATGGTAAAAAAAACAGGATAAATCCCAATTACATTTTTCACCTAGTCTTCACCTATTCTTCTTGAACAACATGCTTTTGTAATAAAATTGCATAAATTGAAACTTGACACTATTTCGAAATGTAGTGTGAGTCTCTCAAACCGCCATTTACAATTTCACCATGTCATGAAATATGAATCTTTGCTTCGTTCGACTAAATTCAGATTGAACAGCCAGCAACTAAAATCAAAAGGGAAAAAGGGTAAGTTATTTGAATTGTTATCGTTGTGACATCGAACGAGTGATCAAACCAAACAATACCACCGTGTGCATGTGATTTTTGAAATCAACAAACCATCGATTGTTGTGTGTTCTTTTTTTCACCAAATTCAGCTTGATGTGTCAAAGAATGACTACCAGCTTTGCCCTATTTGAACTTTTCATGATATTTGTACGTGAAATTTATAAGTCCATCTATTGAAAAAACCCAAAATCAATGAAACTTCAAAGTTTTTCATAGATTATCTATGGTATTTACATGTGACACATACAGCGCCATCTATTGAAAAAAGTCACAATCGTGTCAAGTTGAAATAAGGCAAAATAACCCAGAAAATGGTTGTCATTCTTTGTTTCGGTCGCATTTATATTGATCTGAGCATTCGAAAAGGCAAGTGCAATTTGTTGTGAATACTGTTCGATTTACAGTGATTGTTTTTTTCGTATTTTGTTCAAATTAAGTAATTTAGTTAGTGTTTTTAGGTAGAGAATACATAATATCTAATTAATTTTCCTCATTTTGATTTTGTTGTTGTTTAGAATCTCATTCATTCGCATATCACTAACACTCTAACGGGATTGTGAAATAGTCGTAAAGTATTGTGAAATTCTTTCTGTTTCACACAAAGAAAAGGATAGGGGCACATGCCATTCGTGACAATAGGCTGAAACCGCGAAAAGTTGAAGATGGCAAGCAAAAGGAGGAGCAAGCATACTTTGGAATCAAGTTCGCCGCCGCTAGTATTGTTCGACCGGAATATCATGATCGTGTTCTGCCATGGATCACAAAAACCAGCATAAAATGCACCAAAATATCTGAATTGGCGTCGCTTTTATTCGTCAACAAAGTGAGAGCTGCCACTGAACAGGCCATCATCACCGACAATTGGGAATATTTCGACGATGGCGATGGAATGCACATCATCGAAAATTGCTTCTATGCTGTGTTGTGGCGCTACAAGGAAGACGATTCCATTATGGATCCATGGTTCCGGCATTGCTTTGAGAATGTGGACACAGAGAATCGCTCCGCATGGCCAAACAATGATTACTTCGGTAACTTGATGAAATATTTGTTCCAACAATATGGCCGTAGTGTGAAGACGAATTTGGATAAACATGCACAGAAACGATTGCGGTATTTCTTGAGATTAAATGCATTCAGACTAGAACTACACTAACCGAGCGAATGGCCTACCGGATACATACGATGAACGAGGTGTGGCAAATGCAGTGTCATAGGCAATGAAACGATATGACGCAACAAGAGGTGATGTGGATCGCTAGGCCAAACGAGATCGATTGCTGTTTTATGTTCGAGACATTCGCGGACCGGCTGACGATGATATCGCCAAATTCACCAAAGACGAAAATACATGGTTTGCATCATTGCCAATGTGGTTGATCATGCAATCAGAAATCGAAACGCACCTCAACTGGGTTGAACAACACCACGATAACATCGTACAAGTCATTGCGTTGCCAAAGATCAAGAATTTGGTGGTCATCCCAATCTGTCATCACACGAGAAAGGCAGTGAGAATAGACGCTGATGTTTTGTATCATATGATGTGCGAAACCGGTACCATTCCGCGTGATGAATATGGTTGACAACAAACAGTGGGCCACGTCACGTCAAAATCAAATCAAGCGTATTATTTCAATATGATTTTTAACATGGAGAAAATCAATCGAGTGTTGAAAGCAAACAAAAAATTCGAACATATTCTCAGCGATGGTGTATCCGCATCGATTCTGTACTCAGTGAAGAAAACCGTAGTCGACAAGATAGTGGAAGATGGTTTGGTGCGTAAACGGTACTCTGATGGCTTCTATGTCTATGAATTGGGCATCGATTGGGGCATGAAGACGTGGAATGCAACCGCTAGGCGACGAATCAACAATGACAAAGAGCGAATTCATAATGGCAAAGAGGTATGTTAGCGATTGAATGCATTCTATTGTGATTGTGTCATGTGAATCCATTTCATTGTTTAATTTTTATTCTTCGATTTTTGTTTCCATCTCACAGATGAACTTCACAATCAGTAGCAAGAAGTATCATTTTGGGACCGGAGAAGGAATGCGTAAGTAAAAGAAAGAGCGATGGACTCGTGCCTTTAGGCAGTTCGAAGAGAGTGATCGAAACAACCGAGCGCGATATGACCGAATGCCATCACCAAAAGGAAGCAATTGGTGTGACTACATACGGCATCGATTGACCATCATGAAGAAAGCCATTGCAGTGTACACAACCAAAAAGTACACACGTTTAAGTTTTGATCATTACATCGAGTCCAATTAGATCAGTGACAAGGTGGCCGCAATGCTGGTAAGAATTTAAGATTGAATTTTTGTTTCTTTGGAAAAAATTGAATGTTTTTGTTGTTGCTCAACAGACAAATCGCAAACGATGCATCATTAACATTGGAGCTTCCCAACCACTTGCAAATTCACCAATTAAGATCAAGAAACATGTTCGATGCCCGGGCGTGCGGAAAAAGTTTCAAGAAAATGGAAGGCAATGTAATACGATTTGTGAACGAAGCCAGATCATCACGATTGTGTGCCAGATGTTTCGAACCGTTTCCATTAAGTACATTGAACGATCGTGTCAAGGTGTGTGTATGGTGTGAACCTGATCAAAATGATTGGCCTGATGGAATGAAGCTACCAGAGAAAATTGTGGTGGCAAAGAGCAAGCGGAAGTTACGATCGCATTGAAGAGAAATGCGACAAGCAGCAGTGCAGAATCCAAATCAACCCCGTGGTTTTGTGTCTAAGGTGATTTGCTACCGTAAAAACTGGTAACAAAACGCGGCGAACGGTATGGATGACAATGTTGAAGAGCGCAGAGGTGTAATCATTCACGACGATGAACTCGATATCATCGAGTACACAGATGAATTTGTGCCCGAAGACTCTGTTGACGACTCTCCAGTACTGAAGACAGTTTGGCAACGTGACATTTCGCCTGCGAAATTGATCTTGTACAGAGGTATGTTATTCATTGAATTGAAATTGATGCAATAGTAATGTGTGTGTGTGTTTTTTTTTCTCTTTGTTTCAGGGTATTGCGAACTCTTTGGACATCGGCTGCATGATGCGTTCACACGTCAACACTTCGTGTATCCAACTCGATTCCGAGTATAGCTGTGCTCACGATTTTTTTTTATCAAGATATCGTAATAAACTAAAAATATCGTTCGATATCGTTATTATGATGGAATCTTAATAACGCTATCAACTTTTTATCAGGTTATTAACTATTATTCAAATAATAACGTTATCGGATGAATCTTAATAATATCGTTTGGTGGATCCTCAGGATCGACTGGGAGCAGTTCTGGTCGATCCTGAAGATCCACCAAAACCCACTTCCAGAACTTGATGATTATTAAGATTGAATGTTAATAAATTATCAGGATTCGATCTTAATAACTTCAAAACGATATTATTAAGATTCATCCGATAACGTTATTATTTGAATATAGTTAATAACCTGATAAACAGTTGATAGCGTTATTAAGATTTATCGGTATTATGATCGGATCTCAATAATCTCTCAAAATTATTAGGATGGTTATTAAGATACGAATATGGCACAGCTATAATTCCGAGTCAACTTCAACATTCATTAATATCAATAGAGCCGCAATTTATGTTTTATTTTTCAAAAGAATTTATGTAACAGTATGTTATTTGGAGTTGGCTGAGGTCTTAGTCTCCCAGACATCATCGATACCAGATATCGATGGCAATCTATATTCTATAGTCTATATAGATGTAGGTAGAGTACAGGATAATTTCTGTAGGTGAGTATCACTATTTATTAGTATATTGAATATTGATTCATAATCGTTTTTATATCATTTTAATTGATTTGTTTTTACTGTTCTTTTTCTACTTCCATTGTGACGTTAAAAATGACTGAAACTACACCCAAATGCGGGCCCAAATTCAACCGTTTACATACACTTGGTAATGGATGTATTTGCGTTAACAATTGTTCCTTGGGTAGTGTGAGTATGGAAAGATGAGTCTTGCTTTTATTTCGCGGAATTGATTCAGTTGTACCAATTGTAAAAGGGACTGATAATAACAATATTTGCACATAAATTGAAAACAATTGTCGATTGGGGTCATCATAATCATCACCATCATCATCACACATGGATGTCAATTTGCTGCGATATTATAAAATTTAAATCTTTAAAAGTGGTCATAAAATTAATACCATATGCAAGCGCCATAAAATCGAGGTTTTTATGTCATTTAAGTGACATGAAATAGGGCGACGAATGTAAATATGTACAATACAACTGATAATTTTATGTTTCGAGGCGTGATAAATATTTGCCATATAATGCTTGAAAATAGCCGTTTCTACATATGGAATTGAAAGTACTTTGGCAATAATAACTGTAACAAATACGGTGACGTGTAACCGTTGATAAAAATTTGTCAGTAGGCGAACCAATCGTTTCTTGCATTTAAACCAGGTGCAATATAGATTTCGACCCATTCCAAGTGCTCTAGATTTCAATTCTGGTTGAAACACTTTTTTATGTTTTTTTCTTCCTTCGATTTCTCGGAACTACTCCAAATTGTGAGCTTTTGCTCAATCTGAGGGTCAAAAATCATTGTTTTCTAAATTGAATTTACGTGCATGGCAGTGACCGTTTTAAAAAGAAATCTAATTAACTAATCACCTCAAAATTTATTCATAAAAAAGAGTTTTCATCTTGGTCGAGTATCAATGGTATCGTTTTGTGGTAGAAAGTATCTTTAAAAGAAAATTCAGTGATTTTTAATTACATAAATGCTATTTTATTATTACAATTTCGGTTTATGTCATATATTTGGTAATAACAGAAATTCTTCGTTTGATTGTGGCCTGGAGGTTGATTATCGGTTGCGAAGGGGACAGTTAAAGATTATTGCATATCAGCATATAAAATCCATAGAAAGCCTTTTCCAAAAACAGAACTACTTTGATGTCCCTGAATAGTTTGCATTTCGAATGTACGTTAAAGCAGCAAAGAACATAACCAAAAATGAAATGTGCAACATAAATGTGTCTTGGAATGATTATCAACTCGGTTGATAATGTTAAAATAAAAAGTGATGTTTCTTCGTTTGTTTGAAACTAATAAATGTAAGTTCACACTATGAAAAATAGTTTGTGCCGACAGCAAACAGAATATGTTCAAGCGGTTGGATTTTTACGCATTAGTTCGACATCTGAATTGACCATATCTTTGACCAAATCCAAGAATGAAACTTTTGGCTTCCATCCAAGTTCACGTCGTGCTTTGGATGAGTCACCGAGCAGTTGGTCGACTTCCGTTGGTCGGAAATACTTTGGATTCACTTTGACTCGAACAATATCGGTGCCCGCTTCGATGCCCATTTCATCGACGCCTTCACCTTGCCACTCAATTTTGCGTCCAATCACAGCGAACGAGGCTTCAACAAATTCGCGCACGGTGTGCGTTTCACCGGTGGCCACCACAAAGTCCTGTGGTTCCTTTTGCTGTAGCATCAGCCACATTGCCTCAACGTAGTCCTTGGCATGGCCCCAATCACGTTTCGAATCCAAATTGCCCAATTCGAAATTTTCAATCTGATTCAACGAAATCTTGGCTACCGATCGCGTTATCTTACGTGTCACAAAGTTTTCGCCACGTCTGGGTGATTCATGATTAAATAAAATTCCATTGCACGCAAACATTTGGTATGCCTCACGGTAATTGATCACAATCCAAAAACCATACATTTTGGCACATGCTACAAATAGATTTTTAAAAAAATATCAATAATTTTGTGAGAGCGAATAAAAACAAGTTATGAAATGTTTCATTACCGTACGGCGAACGTGGATAAAATGGAGTTTTCTCACTTTGAGGTGTTTCAACTACTTTTCCATAAAGTTCCGATGTGCTTGCCTGATAGAATTTCACTTTTTTCTCCAAACCACACGTTCGAATGGCGTCTAACAATCTAAGTGTTCCGACTGAAAGAAATTTACCGACATTTTATACATCAATAAACAGTGCACACCGTACATAATCATTTTTTGTGTTTTTTTTTAGTCCCAGTTTAGTTTACCTGCATCTACTTCGGCTGTGTATTCGCTGAGATCAAATGATACCTTAACATGACTTTGGGCTGCCAAATTATAAATTTCATTTGGTCGAACGGCTGATATAATTTTGATCAGACTACTGCTATCCGTCATATCACCGTAGTGCAATTTCATTCTTCCTTGTCGATGGCTGCTTCGATCAGCGTACAAGTGCTCAATGCGGCTCGTATTAAATGTGCTGGCTCTCCGTATGATGCCATGCACTGTGTATCCTTTTTCCAGTAGGAATTCAGCCAAATACGAACCATCCTGTGGAAATCCAGAATTGATCAACATTCCATATTTCAAACAACATCTCGTGAAAATAGAACTTATTTTGTTTCGAATTTTGTTTACCTGTCCCGTTATGCCGGTCAATAAAGCCACTTTCGAGTCACCGTCTATGTCATTTTGTACGTTCAACAATTGATTGCTGTCCATGGTTAGAAGTTTCAGTTAATTTTCAGTTTCCGCTCCAATATTCGCCCAAAGTGTACTGTATATCACGTTTCTATCACTTAAATGTAATAGAATTGTACGAAAAGATAAACCAAGCACATACGCTTGACAACTTGGCACATATGCGTGGCAACTGTCAAACAAATTGGTCAAAATGTAAACAAATCCCTGATAAATTACTAAATCCGTTGACAATCCATCGCAAATAATAAGCGAACGTTCGATTGCATTGGAAACAGGGCTCAATGCAACTTTAGATTGCTCTCTTTCAATCTCTTTCAATCTCTCTCTATCTCTCTCTATCTCTCGCTCCCTCTTTTTCGCTTCGTACACACTTTTGACTGTCAATTTTTGACAGATGACAAATCAGCCATTCGTTCGTAATACTCATTGTTCGTAATGGTGAATGTAATAACAACAGCAGCAGCAGCTACAGTGAAAATAAAGTTAAGATTAGCACTTTTTTGTGTGGATAAATTGGGTCGAGCATAAATATTTTCTTCAAATTAATTACCAAATAAACAATTAAAAATGACCACGAATAAATATCTGTTGTGTGGCGTAGCCATTGTAACTTTTATCTTCGTATTCATTCCATCAGCCAGTGTAAGTGCGCATCAAATGAAATTAACAACAATCCCCTTTATTTCGTACATTATTTGCAAAGTGACTATAGTAGCCAATAAAATGATATCAATCGGATATGATTGAACCTTTATGATTGGTTTGTTGCTAATTGTGTACCAAAACTGTAACCAAATTCGATTGTTCCCTTGTTTTTATACGAATAGGCACACTCATATGAAGACAATCGGTGCAGGTGTATTTGCCCTAGCATAAGTTCCGTGCTAAATGATACACAGAAAACAGATCGTTTGCTATTAATCGATAATGTACCACCTACAAAATGGTAAGAATTTGCAACAATAACAACATTCATTCCATTATTGCATCGTTAAAATGAATTTATGCAAAGAACTCCAATCAGCTTTACTTTCACCGAAGCCAATCGCAATTCGGTCGAATCGCAAAGGGAGAAGAGTTGAACAAAAAATATATTTTAGATTTATTTTCTGATTTTAGCAACTGTGATGACTTCATTTTACCACGTCTCGAGGGCAAAATCAAGGGAAAAGAACAAGAATTCTGTCCAAGATGCCAGTGCAAATATGAAAATCGTAATACTGGCATCATTCGTTTGGTTGTTATCATTGTGATATGGGTGATATCATTACTTGTTGTCTACATGCTCTTCTTGATTTGCTTGGATCCACTGCTGAACAAACGCATCAAAAATAGCTATCAAGAGCACACAAACGAAGAAGTATGTGACTAAGTGTTTTAATTTTCATTCTACATTTTGTTTGTTTGCACCTTTATGAGCTTGTTGCTTTTACTGCTTTTGGTTTTTTCTTCTTCTATTTTATGTTGTTTATTCCATTACAGTGAAACGTGTTTCATCGTAGATAGTAAACGCTTGTTGCCAATACTATAGTTTTAGCTCATTAGAATGCATCTCTCTTTGAAATATTTGGTGCTTTATGTTGTCGATTTCTTTTTTTAGTTTATTGTCACTACTTATCGTCCTTCTGAGTCAAAACAATTTGAGTTGTTGTATTTTTTTCTTTGAAATAGAATTTTTAGAATCTATGTCTCGCTCATTGATATAAAGAGCCATTCAAAATGATAAGCAATATACTATTAGTGAAAGTCTATTGTGTTGATTCTTTGCTGTTACCGAAAGTCCATGGTTTTATTGATATTATTTATGTCCGTAGAAAAAAAAGAAATTTATCAAAAAAAAAAACTTGAAAAAATTGAATAATATGTTTGGAAGAAGAAGCTTGTTTTTTTTTGCAAAATCATTCCATTTTTTGTTGCTGTTCACCAAAAACTGACCCTAGTTTGTTTTATTGTATGCAATAGAATTTAGCTACACTTTATAGTCCTGACTTGTGCTCTTTCTATCACTTAAAACAAACCTGAACAATATCTTCATTGTATTTTGCCTTTGCAACAGGATGATACCACCGTATCGAATTCAGCAAATAATTCGATCGATTTGGGTACAACGAGCTATACGTCGAATCATCAAATGGGCGTGCGAGTGAATGTACTAAATCGTGTTGGGCATCAACAAGATAAATGGAAACGACAAGTACGTGAGCAACGTCGCAATATTTATGATCGACACACGATGCTAAATTAGATGCGAATCTGATGCACGTTCATCTCCTCCTTCCTCCTCAAAGTTCTCACAAATCCGAATGGAATTTCAAGTTTCGTTTGCCGATTCCACGCATTCAAATCGATTCTATTTAACATTTTAATTGTATTTACAATGGGTCTGTATATAAATTAATCGGATATGAAAGAAAACTCATTGTTTCATTTCTTCTTCGCTAGTAGTTGTGGTTATGCGTTTTATTTTCACGATCGGTCAAAAGAGTGCATGAATTTGTTGGATGAGACTTATGAAAAACTCATCCAAATATTTTGTACAAAATACTTCTAAGCTTAACGATAATGGTGCGCTTAAAATTTGCGCCGTTTCAAGAGCTCTGGTCGCCAATTGATTGGATACATTTCCTCGGTGGCTTCATCGTCGGGTTTGTATACTTTGATGGTTTTATCAGCTTCGGTTGTAATCAAACGAGTTCCAGTTGCGTCGTATGTCATTGAGAATATGCCCGCTTCACTGTCCATTGAACCGGGTTGTACGGGTGCTTGGAAGCGTTGGAAATTGTAACCAGTTCGCCAATCCCAGAAGAAAAGTGTACCATTGTCACCACCCGAAACGAGTACACCGTCCGTATTGACAGCCATACAGTTCACGATAGCCGTGTGACCAGAAATGTTTTGAATGAAATTGCCTTCGGGACATCGCCATTGCTTAATATTATCCGGTGAAGCAGATGCAAACATATATCTGCAATGCAAAGAAGAAAACAAACATCATTAGCTTTTCTATACGGAATTTTCAATGAGAGCGATGGCAAACACAACAACGAATTGACTTACAATGTGGGATGCAAAACGATACTTCGAACGCTTTTCTTGTGATTTGTCAATGTGCACATACTTTTGCCGGCTGCTAAATCCCACAGTCGAACGGTGGAATCGTGGCTACCGGTGATGATTTGTGGAGCGGTGGCTTGGGCAACAACACTTGCAATGGTGTTTGTGTGTCCACAAAGTGTGTGAATATTCGCTTTTGTTCTCATATCCCATATACGAGCCGTTGAATCACGACCGGCCGTTACCAAAACATCAATCGTCGGATGCAATGCCATGGAATAGACAGCCGACAAGTGACCATGATAATGTCGGATCACTTTGTTGTATTCCAAATCCCAGCATTTTACTTGTCGATCCTCGCCACAACTGAATAAATACGGATGCTTTGCACTCACTGCCAAGCCACGCACGGTGCTCACATGACCCGTTAGCGAAAGTTTCAATTTTCCACTAGCCAAATCCCACACTTTGATGACCCGATCTGCTGCACCAGTGGCAAACCATTCATTGCCTGGTTCAACAGCAACACAGCGCACCCAACCCAAATGGCCGGATATCACACGAGACAATTTCCACGGTGCATGCCATTTTGGTTTGGGTATGGATGGTGCTTTCTTTGGTTGCAACTGCAATTGATTGCTAGGTGCAGTGGACTGACTTCCACCTGTAAAATAACTTTCCGATGAACTAGTGCTTGGCATTGGGACCAAAGCCGACGACGGATTCGCTTCCTCAATGCTCAAACTAGCCTCTTTGTCCGAACTTGTGTGACTGTTTTCATGTTGCGTCTTCGCCGGTTGATGCAAATGATCCTTTTTCTGGCTCTTTACACGATCATATATAAAATCATATGAATCACGAGCTTTCAATTCCTTTTTCCTACGCTCCCTGCAAAATGAAAATCGATCAAATTATTCATACAGCAATTCAACGTTTCACATTCGTACTTACAGTTCTTCGTCCAACTCTGGAAGAAATGGCTGATTTGACACGAACATATCGTGAGACCGTTTTAGCGATCGGAACACTAAAGTGTGCACTGAATGCCGCTGCACTTCTTCCATTTCGAATCTTTATGAAACTTTAAATTGAAATATTACTTCTTTTTAATTTTTGATTGATAATTTGCGGCTCAGTTTAAAGTTATATGTTGATTTGTGACATTTGTATCGTGTTTGGCTGTGGACACAAGTCAAACGTTTACATTAAGCCTGACTCACACCAACAAGATCGAAACAGGGTTGAATAAAGCAATGGTCAATATGTGAAAATCAGCGTCACCCATTCCAAATTCGATGGAATGAATGCGCATTGAAAAACTTGAAAATAAATGTTTCAAAGTGAAATTACAGGAATGAAATTGCGTAAATTGATATTTAGGTCGACATTGGAGCGTAATTGTGGTTCGACATGTGGTTCAATTGCTGCAATGTAAACACCGCATGCAATGTAATGGCTGCAACGCAAATGAGACGCGATTTCAGCGCCACGTTGTAAACGTCAAATGGAACGCTACAGCTCCTTACTATTACAACGGCAAAAATCTCACTTATTACGTTCATTGGTTTCAAGTTATCCACAACTTTGAAACGCCTATTTTTAATTCTCAACCAAAAACTCAATCAATCTTATATTAGCGTAGTAAAAACAAATATAAATAATAATAAAAATGTTGTACCTTGAAGATTACTTGGAAAGTAAGTGCAAATTTGTGATTTTTCATGAATAAATTTGGGTTTAAATATTTGTGGTTCGCCCATCGCCATATTTTTTTTCCCCGTCGATTGCCACACGCATACACTCTTAACCTAGGTGTAAATAATCAAAACCAAACAAAAATGTGCCTTTTGACATTTTCAAACAGAAATTTGCGATATTTTAGCATCAAATGCATCTAATGACTTCGGTTGAAAATACGATGACCGTAAAAAAGAATGCGATTTCTATGGATTTTACGAGTAATTTTCAAATCGAAATGCACATTTTTTGCGAATATTTTCCGTGTAACAAATTGGAAATGTTAACTCCAAACGAGTTGTTATGATTTGACATTTGGGCGCGAACTTCAATGTTTCCGTATGCGATGATGGCTTATAAACAAACAAACAGAAAACATGTATGATACGATTGCATATCGATTCGGTGTTTAATCCAAAAATTTCGAATTGAATTTTTAGTGATCGAACACTTGCCGCAGGAGCTTCGAGACCGATTTACCGATATGCGTGAAATGGACTTAACAGTTCAAAGTAAGTGCAATGGCAAAATACAATCTGAGTCTGCTTTTTCTTTCTCTCTCTCTCTCTCTCTGCGGATTTTTTTTCTAAACTTTTCCCTTGAATTCCAAATTAAATAATTTCAACATTATTTAAAAAACACACTCACAAAAATTAAAGACAACATTGACGCAATCGAAAAACGGATTCGTGGCCTATTTTCGAGATGTGCTCGCGGTGAATTGCAAGGAACACAGGCCGACGAAGAATACAATGAGATCAGTAAAGATTATTACAAAATATTGGAGGATGCCGACGAAAAAGTCGCACTGGCCAATCTGATGTACGATCTGGTTGATCGGTATTTGCGTCGGCTGGACAGTGAATTGTTCAAATTTAAATGTGAACTGGAAGCCGATCACAATGGCATCACCGAAATACTGGAAAAACGGTCGCTCGAACTCGAAGGGAATAGCAGTAATAGTAATAGCAATATAAATTGTAATAGCATATTGAATAATAGTACGTCATCAAATGCGGGTAACAGTCAGAAGGAGAATCGATTTTTTGGGTCGATTTCAAGTAACATGAACACACCACAAAATCGAGAGAAATACAAAGCGAGGCCGGAGAAGCGACGAAACAGCAGCACAAGTGTTGGACCGCCAGAGAAAAGACCGGCATTGAGTACTCCAGTTCCGAGTGTCGTTGCTACGCCGAATAATACGGCACATTCATCGACATCGTCGTCATCGTCGTCGAGTGCATCACTTGTTTTGCCCACAAACACACCAACGCTTCAAACAACTGTACCGTACAATCTGCAGCACATTGGTGCCGGCAATGCCATCGCGGCAGCAGCTAGTCAAGCAATCGTTGCGACACAACAAATGCAACAAGGTCGACGCACGGCCAGTTTAAAAGCATCATACGAAGCCATTCATGGCTCATCGACCAGCGGCTCACATGAACTGTTGATCGGACGAGAACTAGCCGGCGCCGCTCACAATGCACTTCAAGCCGTTGAACGTGAAGGCAACACGCTGAACAATCGACGACAGAAAAAGTAAGTGGCAACTGCACATGAATGACCGAACAAAGCTTATTTTCAATTCATTTCTTTATTTAATCGATTTTTATGGTTTCATTCTACTTTATTTTGAATTACGTAGAAAAGTTCCTGGTTTAAATATACCAACAAATGGTACAACATCTGCTCCTGTTTCGCTCAATTTGAATTCGACGGCACCGAATCAACCAACCCCGCCAATTTTAACCTCAACACCGGATCCCGAGTCACCATCTGCGTCAATGGTACTCGGCGAGAATGGTCTTGTTGTCGACCCGAGCACAGACGGTGATTGGTCATATGACCCCAACGAACCGCGATACTGTTTCTGCAACCAAGTATCTTATGGTGATATGGTCGCTTGTGATAACGAAGCCGTAAGTGTTCTATTTTCTTCGTTCAGACGAAATACCTCACAAAATGGCTAGAATAATATAACTAACAATGCCTTTATCATTTAATTTCAGTGTCCGTTTGAATGGTTCCATTATCCATGTGTTGGCATTTCGCAGCCGCCCAAAGGTAAATGGTACTGCTCAAAATGTACGGCATCGATGAAAAGAAGAGGAATACGTAAATAAGTATGTTCAGTGCACATGGAACAAACACGTTCCACGCTGCATAGGTTTTAAGCAACTAGCTCTTAGTCTCCTAGCTTTTACTTTATGTTTAAGAAAGTAAATTTCATGGAATTTCTCATAATTTAGATTGCCAATTTACAAAAAAAAAACAGTAGCAACAGAAAATGAATGTATACAATTGAGAAAGATGAATAATGTGTTAGTCGACATGATGTCGTTGAATGCCATACACAAGTCTGAATATGAAGTTTGGTTGATGCAATAATTGGCTGATTATTGCTTTCAATCCAGCTACACAAATAGAATACTTAGGAACAAAATCTAATTGAAAAAAACAAAAACTTTTTGCGACTCACATCATTTTCAAATCTTTTCAATTCGAGAATCGGTAAGGAAATGTTAAATGCATTTAGGGTTGTCTTAACGAGAAAAAAATGTAACTTGGAAACCCCTACGCTCCAAAAAAAAAACAAATTGTACAAAAACCCCACTCACTCGGAAAAGAAAAAAAAATACAAATCCTTAAAAACAAAAGTTTCGATTTTCATTTTCTGATGAAGCTGATACGCTGATCAAAGAGAAGATATTGCTCAATAAATATTCTTTATTTTTCCAGATTATTTAATCTACAAACCCATTTGCACTGACTATCATAGCGAATATACTTTTTCTTTTTAGCTTTCGTGTGTTAATAACGATAGAATAATTTCATGAATAAAATCAGCATTGTACAATTAGGGTGTTTTCGTTCAGTAAAATTACGTACATTGGAGATAACTCTCAGTCAGCAATCGAGTTGCGCGGCATTCAAATGTGAAACAAACAAACGAAAAATAATAGTCTATGGTCTGGCGTTTCGAACGAAATCCTGATTGAAATATATCACTGTTGCAGTCATATCATCTCTGAACAGTCGGACCACGTCTGGCGGCAACGAAAGCATATGTGATAATTTTGAATGTTCAATACCATAATCGGTTCCGCCGAGCGCATGTCGAATCAAATGTGTTGCACCGTTTTTATCTGCCGGTTTCGTTTTCAGTCCAGCTCTGCAGAGAAAAACAAAAACAATTTTTTTTTTGAATTTTCGCGGTAATTTGTTTTTTTTTTTTTGATTTCCTTGAAAGAATCCAAAATGAATACAAACCTTCTTTGTGACAGCATTTGAGCGATTTCGCTGAGTTTAAGATTTCGTTTTGGAAAGAATGGCTGCAAAAACTGCTTTCCGATCATGTGCTCGCCAACCAATTTAACGGCTTGAGTTGCTGTCATAAAATCCCAAATGCCATCCGTTGCGATGATTACAAATCGATCGCGTGGCGTTATCGTGTGGTAACTAATTTCTGGTTCAGCCGTTAAATATGGTGGCGTGAGATAATTTGGCGGTATCACATGCTCTCCATAATAGGGCACAACGTATTTCTTGAGAATATCTATGGGCCATTTGTAACGAAAATCACCGAATGCTCGCAACGGTGCCAATTGACCAAGTAGTCGTTCACCCCGGATTACTGTGTCACGTTCACTGAGCGGATGATCGCCAGTGATTCGTCTCACTTCAGCTAAATTATCTGAATTATGTTCGTTGGTTAAGCGTTTCGTTTCCCATTCACCAGCCTCATTTATCGAACCCAGTACGGCCAAACAATCGCCCGTGTTAGCAATATGCATATCCATACGATTAATGTAAACAACACAAGCAACAGCTCCCGACATTGCCACCGATAGCGTTCGAGGTGTTTGATGCTCTAACGCTTCGGCCGCGATATCCCTATCTAGCTGCAGAAAGGCGTTTTGCAGCGCAACACTTATTTGAAAATTGGAGGGATCTTCATAGCATAAATTCCGGGCATATTTGGCGAAACTCTTTTCAAATATCGCATCAATTTCGTCCACAAAATCTACCTTATCGTTATGGCACTGTAGAAATGAGTTGCTCTTCGCACCTTCGCTCAGTTTCTTGCTCAATACATCTGGTGTTACCAAACTGGCGGCGATATAACGCATCAATCGCTTGCAAATGATTTGTGCACATGATGGACCGGCATGACCATCGAATACACCAAACAGAGAACCTACCAAAACGAATTCAATGGATTTTGTTGATTAGCATGGTTCAGAAACTGCTAATGAAATGTGTCAACACTCAACATACCATTTGTGAATAGACACGATGCCTCACTTCTTCGATCCTCTAGCGGATTATTGGACGCCACCTGATTGGAATCATAGCTTTTAATCGATGAATCTGTAAAATCGGTCGTGAATTCCTTTTCATACAATATTCGATTGACCTATACACACACACACACACACACACACACACAAATAGAAAATAACTATGAATCACAACTCAGTTCAGAAGAAAATCGTGGTGGCAATGGAAACACTTACGTCGTGCGGTGTGAGCTTAACACTAGCCGCTGTCCTATAGCACTGAACGAAAATGCGTGTTCCATCTATTTTCAGTCGAACACCAGCAGCAAGGCGATTGGTGATAAAAAGCATTTGTTATGGGTCTTTGTGTGTGCTGTCGTTTTTCTGTACTAGAATTTTTGGTGGTCACCTCTGCACATTAACTTCGCATTTCTTCAAATGGTTCTAATTAAATTTCGGTTCTATCAAATTCAACTAATTCTCATAATTTCGAGCGCCTGGCTGATTTTTGACAATGTTGACACTAGATTTTGCAAACAAAAATCGCTTATTCAATTGGCTTAATCCTTTTGAAATGCTGATCACTGGACTACGATACAAAGACTACGACTTTGTTTATCATTACTTTATTTGGTATTGCTGTGACATTTCTGCGGATTTTTGACAGTTTGTTGATTTTTTGAGGTTAATCGTCAAAGCAACCAACCAGTCAGTGTTGGTGAAAGGCTGAATAATTATTTACGACCAATTTTTTCATTTTGCTAATGAGCATGAGAAATGTGCATTGCATTTGATTGCTATCGCAATTAACAGCGTTGCATGTGCAAACGTCATCAAATTTGTTGCAACGCATGGATGCATCCACCAGACCAAATAAATGAAACGACTGTTTGGTTTTATTTGTTGATTCTTTTTTTATTTATATTAATTCATTGGAATTTCACTATCAAAAATAAATTAGAAAACAACTGAATCCTTTCTTTTTCGTATAAACGTTGAATTGGAACTGTTCTGTCGCTTTGTTTTTGTTTTAATTGATTAACATCCAAAATTGTGTTTATTGTAGTTTTGCTTTGCTTGTTGTTTTTTTGTTGTTGTTGTATATTTGTAAATAACATTATAAATAATGCCATTGATTCGAACAGATCCAAGACATCATACTAGAAAGAATTATAGACCAATGTGACGTCACAACGACGGCGAGAGATGGATTGAAGTATTTCGAGTTTAATCGTCTTCGTCCGAAGAGTCTGTGGTAAATTCACTTTCATTTCCATGTGGATCCTCCTTTTCGGACTCGGACTCACTGATATCCCATTGAGGATGCTCTGTTGGTACAGCTGATGCCTCCTTAACATCTAATTTCAGTTCGAGCTGCTGATCCATGCCTACATATGAATCTGTCAATCAGAAGAAAAACATAAGAATTGAATAATAAGTATAACCATTGAGATCGGATGTGTTTTTTGCGCCTATTGTTTTACCTGATCTCAAGCATACGGAGAATGTATAGACGCCCGGCCATCTGGGTGCTGTGAATTTTAATGCAACCTCTTCACGATCAACCAAATTCGTGACATGGTATGGGGCGGTCAGCAGTGTTCTTGATTTTCGATCACAAATATACGTCCACCAATATTCCTGCTTGTCTTCTGGGAAGTATGGACAGTGTACGCTATGCGATATTTTCGATTTACCCTCCAGTTTTTCGCGCTTATTCAATTTCTTCTGGAACTTTTCCCATTCTTCGTCGTCGTCCTCCACTGAAGACACTTTCTTGTCGTTGTCTTCGTTGTCCGACGAACGATCCGAGCCACCAGCATCATTCTTATCATTTTCATTGTCACTATCGCCGGCCACACCTTCCGAATCAGATTCGTCTTTTGTTGGAGCTGCCGTCTTCTCACCGCCCGACACAACTTTGGCGGGGTCTTGCTTCACCGCAACCGGTTGCTTCACTTTGCCTCCTTTGTGTTTATTCTTTGCACCGGCACTTTTGTGTGATTTCCGTGGAGCAGGCTTAGCCCATGCAGAACGTTTCACCGGTGGAGGTGCTGGTGCTTGCTCCTCGTTTCCTTCACCCTCTGGTTGCTCCTCATCGTCACTGCAATAGGACAAATGAATTTAGAAATACGTGTCTTCAAGAAAGAAGAGAAAAAAAAACAGTTGACATGACATTGGGAGAAACCTACTTGATGCCCTGTTTCTCAGCAACATCAGCATTGCCAAATAATTCACTCATATTGCTGCGCACCAAAGTGACTGTAACTGTAACTATTGCACCAGCAGTAACAACATTTGTATTTTCATCGTCAATAACTGTAAACAAATGGAGAGGAAGAAAAGTCATGGTCAACGTGTTGTCGCTTTGACATTTCATCAAACGGCAATTTACCTTCGCATCGAATGCTAAAATCGATGAGCGGCATTCTGCCCAAAGCACGCAACACCTGTTCGTATTCAAAGTCGCTCAAATGCTTCAACACGTGTCGGCTTTCATCTGGTTTCAGTTGGGCGAATTGTTGTAAATTTTTGATGTGACGCTTTTTCGTTGAGAACATACGCAAGTGATCATCGGTTACGAAAGGTAACTGTAAAAATGGACTCTTGAACTCCCACAAACCTTGGATGATCATTGGCGATAGTTTCATGCAATTTTCAATGGTTTCAATGCTTGGCAACTTTGAAACTGTAAGCAGACAAATGCAATTCATTTAGTACAACTAGCGACAGAAAATGCCCAAATGCGAATGTGTTGTTGCAATAAAACTTACTTCGACGTGCGTAGGCCAACATGATGAGTTGATTGACACAGGACACCATTTCTTGGATCAAATATGGGCATTTTTGTACGATACATTGGCGATCGATGTCCAATGTGTCTGGATTGAGTTCGATACGGCCTAAATGTGCATGCAAAATGGCGCGCGCTTTCACCGAATACATCCTACACAGAGGCACTTCTTTACATTTCTCGTTCAAATTTGGCAACTGACGAATTAGCTGCAAAAAAAGGGGTACAAATGAGCGGTGTGTAACAGATAAAACAGATAAAAAAGCCCATTTTTTCATCCGCAACTTACCGAAGGAACCTCGTCATTGTCCGATGGTCGTTCGATGATTTGTGAATTGTGACGTTTGTCGAATTCCAAACTGGCGGCCAAAATCATGATGACACGTTTCATGGCCATTTGAGGTGTTTTGTGGAAAAAGTATAAATATAATTGTGTTGTATCTAAGAGAACCTTATCACCGCTGAATCGAATCGAGCGATACCACCATGTGCCGACCGCAACGGGCAGCGCAACCATAAATACCAGTGCATACAATCCAAGTACCCATACGGAATTTTCCTTTTCAACAATCCATGATGGCAACGCAATACCGAATGACATTGCACCTGGCCCATCTGGATTACCGTATTTTTCCCAGTTTTTGCGCGATTCTTCGTCGGTCAATGCTTGATACGCTTTTGACAGTTTCATAAACGCCTTCTCATCACCGGTCTCTTTGTCCGGATGCAGTTGCAGCGAGAGTTTACGATAGGCACGTTTAATTTCTGCCACCGATGCACTCGATTCCAAGCCCAAAATTTCATATGGATCGAAATTGGACATTTCGTAGTCGAACTGTGACACTCGATACGTTAAATAGGCTAACAGCACCCATCCCAAAATGATCAGTAATTTCACTAAAAGTTCCTTAAGAAATCTATATGGTTCCGAGTTGGCGATGATCACGCGTTTCTTGACACAACCCGGGCATTGACATTCATCTTTGTATTTGTTTGGATCTGTATGGAAGCAGAAGAACACCAATAATCATCATCAGAAAATGCACTGTGAAATGTTCTGATTATGAACAAAAATAAAAATGCGGGAAAATGGGGAAAAAACAGAAAATGGTTCGAATTGTGTTCACGGTTCTAAGACAATGATTCAGTAGTGCCAGTTGAACGCGTTTACTGTAATTCTTATTTACAGTTGAGTGCGTTCGAATGGTGTCAACAAAACAACATGTTGAATTGACTCTGCTGGCTCGTCACAATTTCAATAATCGTCAAGAAACCATTGTGCACAATAAAATACGAGGTCTTAGTAATCACATGCACAAATTTTTCTCGTCTCTGCTATTGTCGTTGAACAATTGAACAGACGTGAAACAGATTGGTTCCGTTGTTTCGAAACAACATACGCGAACGCAAAGTGTCACACATTTACATGACGACGAAAACGTGTTCCGAGTGAATTACAAATCGTTTGTACGTACCTTCTTTTCTCTTGCGTGGCCAATAGTATAGTGTGGCCGGTATAAGGATCAAAGCCAAAAATGATAATAGAAAATAGAAGAACGTTCCACCGCTTTCATCGTACTGAAATTTCTGTCCGGCCATCTCTGTTAAAGTGCAGCTCGTTTACTTTTCATGAATCCAAGCTGTTCTGACACTGGGCTGAATGCACACAACTCAACACCGTAAGAATGACTTTACGTACACCGTAATAGTAGTATACTTCACTTAAAATGCCACACCACCAGGAAACTCTGTCGCTTGTTCTTGTTCTCTTTTTCTTTCTCTCCGACACACAGACACACCAAATTTCGTTCGTTTAATTAAATTTATAAATGCGTGAATCAAACAAATACGGAATCAATGTTGAAATTAATTTCAACAAATAAAAAAAAATATTGTTCTATGTTAAAATAATGTGAACATTTCACTTCCACCAATGAACACGTATATTTCAAGAGTTGATACGATGGCTCAATTCCGAAATGTTATTCAATAAAACTTCAATTAAATTTTACTGTTTTTATCATTGTCTACGACCTATTCGGCCGAAATAATGTTATCGAATGAAAGAATCAGGCGAACAGTAAACGAGAATTCGTGCACAAATGAACTGAAATAAAAAAAAACCAAATTGTTCCGCCGTGACAAACAATCATTCGTGTTTCGTACAAAATTTCAATTTAGCGATAGACGTGTCAGAAGTGAGAGAGATAGCATTCCATTAGAGAAAGCTAATGTATATGAACCAACACATAAACGCGAGCGATGACGATGATGCAGTCACAATGTATGAACCGCGCGTACAGTTTTTATGAAATGTCAATCGAATCATTATGGCAGATTGCCTAGATTTGTTTCTTTCCCCACAAAATTTTCTTATTGGATTCATTTTTCAAATTATCAAAATATCCTCTACGTGATGCATTTGCAAAAAAAAAATTTCAACCGAATTTGCGATAAAAATCAAAGGTTTTGTGGACATAAAGGAAGGTATCGATTTGGTTGCACTGGACAACCCTAATGTAAATCAACCGAGTTTGATGCTGAACCACGCTTTAAATGGTCGGCGAATCGAATAGTTGTCAAAATCAACAAGGCAAACCCATCACTGTTATTAGTAATTCAAAATTGTCATTTCACACATAAATGAAGAAAATATACAAAGAATTTTAGGCGTGAACCAAACGACTCCATCATCAATACACACAGTGGATTTTATGCAACAAATCGGCTTCGATACATGAAAACGCTGTCAATCCGACGTGAATCGAGCGGCAATCCGGTGGCTACTTTTTTTTCTCCCTTCATTAAATCGTTGCAATCGATCGAATATCGTGAATAAGACTTTTTCATTGATCTTAAATTTTTATTTTGGTTCGTTTTATTTCGGCACATAATAAAAAAATACGAAAGGGAAAAAAGGCAAAATGGTGATTAAAGTGTACATTAGTGGAATGTCGGGTAACAAGGAGGTAAAGATTTTTATGAGAATTTCAATAAATTTCATTCATTTATGTGCAATGCATTTATGTGGGATGAAAATGTGGAATATTTAAACGAAAATTTCGTGTGCCCAATATGCAACCGGTTTGTGTTTGGATTGCCGAAAACTTGATCTGGATACGGAAAAAAAAGTTAATTGTGTTGTTCTGAATGATTAATTCATGCGATAAGCGGTGACTAAATGCGATTTAATTTATGCAATGACACAGGCTCTGGCTGTTGATTTGCTGACACACACACACACACACACACACACATATCCCAAAAAATAATTGGTCATCATCATTTAAAGAATCCAATCAGTCGCAAATCGCCCCAATATCAGCCGTTTGTTGCTGATGTATATATGTACATTGATGTGCCTCCGTTCGCATTCTAATTTGAATTTATGCAATTGAAGCGATTCAACCGCGATGCGGTTGCCGCATTACTATCTATGCTAAACCCTCTCTCATATTTCCAATTGGAAAAGAAACGACATTAGATGCTGCTTCTGGTGATGATATCAGTTTTCCGAAACAAATTGGCCAATTCGATAAATCATTTTCAATCTGTTTATTTTCAATAGCGTCGAACAGTTTTGCCATTTGTTTTTTATTCGATGTGTGTTTTTTTGTGTGTCTTCATTCCGTATATTCACAGCCGTGTCTATTTTTAAACACAAGATATTTATTTTTATTTCGTTCTTTCTGGTTTTTTCATTTCATTTCATCCTTCGGCACTAAAACGACGATTTTATGTTGCGATGCGTTGTGTGAATGTGTGCATTTTCCATCCACATGAAGGAAAAAAAACGTCATTTTTTTTTCTTTTGTGTTTTTTTTTTCAACGGTTGGTCGATATGTCACGCAATATACTCGACCAGTGAGCTAATCATATGTTACAGATACAGATACAGTTACAGAGAATTCAATATAGCACGCCTGTTGTTTATAAACAATATTATTATTGTTATTATGGACGGCTACAAATCGATTTTGGCGCAATGAATTTGCGAATATTTGCAATGAAATGCGATGTATTTGTTTTTATTCTGTTTTTTTCAGGTCAAGAAGCGGCAACAACGCGTCTTGATGATCCTCGACAGCAAAAAAATCACCTATGATGTGGTTGACATCTCCGAACCGGGCAAAGAATCGGAAAAAGAGTTTATGCAGGAAAAATCGACCAACAAAGGTGCAACGATCAGCGATCAAGAGCCCAGACACGCATTGCCTCCACAACTATTCGCCGATGATGAATACTGCGGTATGTATATGCAAATTGTAAATCAATTTTCGAGTTGATTGCATTAGTTTTCTTTTCTTTGATTAAACGACACACCAAAAATAATTTTGCATTCACACCCAACCACACACACACACACACACACACAGGTTCTTATGATGAATTCGATCTGGCAAATGAAACGGACACACTGGAACAATTCCTCAAATTGGCACCACCTGTTGAAGAGAACAATGGCAAAAAAGAGGTTAGCAATGACAACTAAAACCATTCAGCAGTGAATGAACAAATAACTCAATGAAGACATTGAACTAAAAAAAAAACAAAAACCAACAAGAACAAGTAAACAACTAAAAGCCGTTTGTTTGCGCGCTTAACCAATTTAACCATAAGTAACCTTTTCGTGCGAGTTTATTTTGTGGCAAGTAAACGCATTTGCAAAACCACAAAATGACAGCCGAAGCAAATGTAACAACAATAACTAACAGATGGAGTATCTTCTTTTCATGTAACATTGCATTAGAAAAAAAAATTAAAACTAATCAAATCAAATAATGAAAAAAAACAAAAAACAAAACAGAAAGTTTGAAAGAAAATGAAAATCAAACTTATATTTATTATATCCATAATATTGAGCGTAAATCGTTTACAACATAATCAATAACGGATTCGATCAATAGGAATAATTCTGTTTTTCACCGGCATAATAAACCAATTAGCAAATAGAAAAAGTATTTACTAATAACATTGTTTGTTTTGGCATAACTAGCATTTTTTCTCCTTGTAATTTGTGATAGTTGAAAACTGTGTCTGACTACAGCAATACATTTTAGAAGCATTGTTCCAAGAATCGAAAAGAAAGCACGTTCATGACTCACATGTATAGAGTCAATGTTGATTAAAAATTGAAATGAAACTCGAAGAAATGATTTTGATGCCAGTTACATGAATTTTTTACGCTTCACATTAAGCCTAGCTTCTCGAACACACTTCGAAGGAGAAAGAAAAACCAATTCACAGGCGCTTTCGTTCCTAATTAATGACTTTGCATTTTTCGTACATTCCTACCTATTATTTTCTTTTAATTAATTACTTTAGTTTTTAAACGTTATCTGATAATTTGTTCAGTATCGTCGATGAAAATCCATGAATCAAACGACTGGCCTTTTTACTCACATAATTTGATCCATAGTTTTCTTTTTTATCAAGTCAAAATGCTCATAATTTACTACTGATTCAAACATTCAAATTCCCAAATTCATTCCGACGAATAATTCCAATCCGTGTGATGTAAGTGAAATTAATTTTAATCCGCATTATTTTCATTGACATCGTATTTTTTATGTAAATGTTTATTTTTCTTATAATTTTTTTTTAATTGGCAATTTAGCAAATAAACCTATATTTTTATAAGTATAATGCGTATTGTGTTTGTTTGTTTAATTCCGTTTGTGACAACGAAAAATTTTGCTTTGAATGTTTCTAACTCGGTTTTTTTTTGCTCCTAAACCCTTGAGAATGCGCCATTAAATTGTATTCAAACGAATCTTTGTCACTCATTTTACAACTGATTTTCCATTGATAATTGTCCCCCTCGTATCGAACCCGTTGAAACCTATCCGAATATTTGCATTCTAACTGTGTCAGTCGGATAATGATGAAGCCAAGAAAGAGGAAATTGATGCCCAAGATAAGACCGATGGAGACGAGAAAAAGGATGGCGAAGAGAAGATCGATGCGGAGGAACAAACGGATGGCAAAGAAAAGACCGATGGGGGGGAACAACCGGATAAAACAAAGGAAGCTGATGGAAATGAGAATGAAAAGGACAGTGAAGAGAAAAAACCTGAAAATGATGAGCAAAAACCAGATGAGTCCAATGATGCCACCAAGGATGGACAAGATGAAGAGGTAAAGAAATCAGATGATGCAAGCGAAACGGCTAAAGAAAATGAGGAAAAGATAGAAAGTGCAACGGATGATGATTCAGAGAAGCCAAAGGACGATGAGTCGTCCAAGGATGAGACAAAAAATGATGATGTGACTAAGGAATCCGATTCGAAGGAGTCCGACTCCGAGAAGGAGCCCAAAGAAACCGCACCCAAAAATGAAGAAGCTAAAGATGTTGATTCAGAACCGTCCAAAGACAATGAATCCTCCAAGGAGGAAGACGTCCAAGCAACAAAAGAAACAGAAATCAAGCCCGAAGGCGAAGAATCGTCCGAAGACAACTCAAAGGCAACTAAAAGTGAGCTTGATGCACCGAAAGACGAAACTAGTAGTACAAAAAAAGAAAAAGAAAAAGAATCTGTTTCGGAGAGTGAATCAAGCGACAGTGACAGTGACAATGAGCCTGCCGACGATGCCAAACAGACGGAGAGTGAAACAATAAAAAAGGACGTGACAGAAGAAAACAAAACAACTGACGATACCAAACAATCTGAATCGGAGAGTGAATCCAGCGACAGTGACAATGACAATGAGCCTGCTGACGATGCCAAACTAACGGAGGGTGACACAACCAAAAAGAATGAAAAAGAAGACAACAAAACCACTGACGATACCAAAAAATCTGAATCAGATAGTGAAAGCAGCGATGACTCCGAATCAGAGGTTTGATCAAAAGCACATATTATTTTCTATTGTTCAGGCTTTTTAGCCTGACTCGGAAGTTCCTTATTTTTGGTAGGAATTGATGTTATGAGTGTATTCACTCGTTGCGTTCAAAAGACGAAGCAAGTGTTAATAATTAACAAGAAACTCAAATGTTCCTTCCTTTCAAAACAACAACATTACTATCAGACCCATTAACTCCTTAAAGTAAACTGTATAAATTTGACTTCGAATGAAAAAAATATTAACTCTATGGTATAAAGGTTTCAACAAATTTCAATGCAATAATCTCAGTCGATAAATCTTTGGAAGGTAATTGTTTTTTTTTTGTTCATCTACAAAAAATCCATTTCAAACTAAAGGAACTTTGGTAAATATGATTTTACCATGCTGCAAAAGAAAACGTTGAATTTGTCGACTGATTGAGAATGCCAATAGCGTTAGGTAAATGTGTAAAGCCAAATTTAAATCTATTGCAGGAGAATGGAAAGGAAGAGAGTGCGCCAAGTGAGACCAAGTCACCCGAAGCAACAGACGAGGATCGAACAAAAGAGACTGCCGATTCATAGATTTAAATGTAAAACCACTAACATCAAGATCAAAAATGCCTAATTTATTGAACGACTCCGCCGCCTGTTACACATAATTCATCCACATAAACCTTCTTTCTCTCAGTCATATTCATTCACACACACACACACAGTGCACACAATTGAGAAAAGGAAAACACCAAATCAGCTATACTTGGTTTGAAAAACGATTTAAAACGACAATCGATCCTAATAAGCTTATATAGTAACATATTTCATGGCAACATCAATTCATTCTAGTGCCATGAAACAAGTACAAGTTGAATGGATGACCTGTGTTTTGGATTATCTCAAAATGAAGCTTGCCTCTCACATTTAAGGTCTTTGCGTTTTTGTCGAAATTCGTTGTCGCCATTGTTAAAGTAATAATTTCGAATAAAAAAAACAACATTTAAAAATACACTAAAAACATTGAACTTTTTTTTACATAAGAATTTGCTATGTATTTGGTTTTTTGTTGCCGTTTTGTTACAATTCCATAGCTAAATTTAACTTAATTGAAGCTACGATGAGCATGGATCGAAAGGTGAGTTTCATGACGAATAAAGAATTAAACGAGTTACAAATTACTGAATAAAACGTTAAATGTCACGACAATGGCTGTGCAATTCAGCGATGGCGAATCTTTTTTGTCGCATTGCCGGTTTTCTTGGCAGAGCTTGCTTTCTGCTTCGCACTGCTACTCGGCGTCGAAACATCTTTCGAGTCGGAGTGTTTTGAATGCGGGGTGTTTGGTCGATCTGAAAACCGAAAAAACAGAGACAAAAAGTAAGTTTACAATGAATTTTGGATTGATTTCAAGCAAAATTGCCAGAATGATGCTGTAACATCCATCAAAACATACCAACAGAGTCTAGATTTTTGCCGGCAGATTTTTGATGTGTGGAATTGTTCAGTTCATGACGATTACTGGACGCATTATTGCCGGAAATTGTACCAATTATTGTATTGTCACTAGAATCCTCATTTGTTACGTCCGTTTCGCTATTGCGATCTGGTTTTGTGTCATTTTGATCGACCAGCTCACTAACAGCCGCCATTGATGTGATTGATGATTTGGAGAAGAGTCGTTCGGCTTCTTTGAATTTACGATTTCGTTTATCGGCCTTTGAATTGGTACTTTTGTTCGATGTTAAATACCGATCCCAGCCACGAATAATGTTGCCATACAGCTGTGTATCTTCCAAGTATGAACCCTCAAATGCATAAATCTGTCGTTCCAGATTGGCTAGTGTCTCCTGAAGCGATGAGAATGGGAGCAAAAGAGAAAGAGAGAGAGAGAGAGAGAGTGAGATAAAAAAAACAATTTCAACTTAATACCAACAGATAACGATTTAAATCAAATGAATATGGTTACTAACTGCAATTTCAGCCTTTCGTTTCACCAGATCGGCTAACTCTGTTCGTGTGTCGAGATTTGTCGACGACTTGGCGGCATTCGTTGACTTCTGTTTGCGTTGTTTCATCGCCGAATTTTCATTGGTGTGTTTGTATACTGGTGAGCTCATATTTAACGAAGTTTCTACTGTCTTTGAAACAACGAATCAATTTCTATTCTATTGACTGGCTGAATGTTTTATTAAAAAGTTTGCAGAAATTCCAAGAAAGAACGGGAAAAAAATGAAATATAAATTAGTTTGGTTTGGGGAGTTTTCGAATGCACACTGTTTAACAACAAATGACTTTTGCTTCTGTCAAAATGCTCTGCAGTGAAATGCCAAGCGGTTTCGTTCAGTGCGCTAAAAATTGAATGTCGTTACTTGGTGCGCCCTCTGACGTTACAAAACCTTCATTACCTATCTATAGGCAGGGACCAAACAGGCATTTCAATTCAATCAAAACAGAAGAAAAACAAAACAAGACTAAGAAGATTTGATTTTTTTTTCATTGTTTTTTGCATTGAAGTAAAGAAAATGATATAAACTAAAAACCACTAAAGTGTAGACAATGAAGACCGAATTTGTACCGCGAGTCAATCAGGTATTTTGCATATTCAGACGCTGAACAAACGAATTGAATGAATCGACATTCTTTTTCTTCTGGAATATTTCCTCACTTGTAGCTAGATGCCCTGCAGTTGGATCGGGATATTATTCGAATAGTTCGTGATCAGCTCATTAGCGCTGCTCAAAGTATATCGGTATGTGTGTAAACAGATTACCTTCACTTTTATTTCGATTCGATCACGAGTTCAAAAGCTGAAATCCATCTAAACATAATTCCTTAACTTACAGCCGGGTCTATTGAATCGATTAAATCCTGAAGTCGATTTACTCTTGCGAGCAGCCATTTGGAACTATTCAGTTCGTTTGCATTCGGCAACTTTTGGGCAACGATTATTATTCATTACTTATGACAAAGATCAACTTACGAACAATTACACCATTTACAAGCATTTCTTTTTTAATGTGTTACTTAAATACATTCGAGACAATATCACATTCCGCTGGACTGATCAGCACACTCTGCAGAAATGTGTAACGTACTGTGAAAATTTCATTGTATTTTCCACGGTGCTGAATTTTTTCCGGTTCCTCAATGTGGGCAAACGACCGTCATTAGTGGATTATGCTTTGGGATTGGATAATATATCAATGTACGGCAATCGGCGACGCGAGATCGGCTACAGCCATATGACACGTGAACTGATTTGGGGCGGTTTTATGGTGAGTTTCAGTAAATTTCACAATACTTTGGTTTCCATTACGTTCATTTATTATGGTTTGTGTTTTCGTCATGTTTTTATAGGAGTTGCTTGGGTTTACGTTACCCCTTATCAATTACCACTATGTCAGGCGAAAGTGTCGGAACGCTGTTAATTGTGTGATGAGCAATAGTACATCCAATGCGGAAAAAGACAAAAAACCCATTTTAAGTGCCAGCACTAGATGCGCATACTGTGATGAGCGACCAACGATACCCTATCACATGGGATGTACACATGTATTCTGTTACTACTGCTTAAGGGGAAACCTTCTGGCCGATACGCAGTTCGAATGCCCAACATGCCAGCAAACGAGTAGCTTTAGTGACCCATTGTGATATTTTCATGGAACCGGGAAAGGTGTATTGTGGATTAGTTTAAAGGTCAAAATAAACGCGGATTTTATTGTTGTTTACAAATCATAATAGGTTTTTTTTTATTCCATGACCATCGTTTCAAAACAGTTTCGATTCAGTGAGACTTTTTTTTTTCTTTTATGACAATGAAATTTAATCGAAAATTTGTTGATCGTGATACGAGCTGTCAAAGGATTGAACTCGAATGTAACCATCTTCACCACCGGTTGCGTAGCTTCTGCCATCGGGATGAATGGCCAAACTGTTGATTGGACCGAAATGGCCTTTAACACGTGCAAATTCTTCTTCGTAGATCAAATGGAAGAATCGTGAATCGAATTTACCGGAACGAGTTGAGGTAGTTGTTACTTCCATCGCATCTTGACCACCACCCAAAATGACATGATCGTAAATTGGGCTAATTGCAGCTGAATTGACCGGACGCTCGGTTTTGTATGTTTTCAAGCACACCAAATTGTCGCTATCGAACAATTTGGACGACGTGTCTTTCGATGCGGTGACAAACATTGTTCCATCCTTGGACATTTGCATATCGTTAATGTTTGCTGTGTGATCTTTAATTGAATTCAATTCCTTGGCCATTCGCAAATCATACAATGAAATGGTACCATTTTCATGGCCGGTAATGATGTTTTGGTCCAAATTCGCCCATAAAGCGGCCGTAATTTTTGATTGTGGGAATGGAATACGTAAAATTGGCTCAGCGTTTGATGTTGATTGATCAACGCAGCGCACATCAATGATTACCAAATTCGACACTTGTTTGTTCGAACTATCCGTACTGTAAGCGGCTTGGGTGCCTGAGTAACTGAAGTTTGATGTACGAACCGATGAATTACATTTGATTGTGGCCAAATCCTTTCCAGTTTCACAATCCCATAATCTGCAAAATGCAAACAATTTATTCAGCTATTCCTTTCAGAACAAACGGGTTGGACCCGTGTGTGTGTGTGTGTGTGTGTGTGTGTGTGCATGTGTGGACACTTACTTGGCTGACATGTCACCGGATCCAGTGATCACTTTGGTCGATGTCCAGTCGACGTCAATGCACCAGACGGCACCGATATGTCCATTGAAAGTGCCTAAACGTTCGCCGTTCACTGAGAACCACACATTTGGCTTTTGATCTTTACTCGACGAGAAAATCAAATCACCCTCGCGATTGTATTTAATTTGCGTGAGAGCACGGTCATGTCCATGGAGAACGATTGGTTTCTGCAAAAATCATAGGTTAAGTTCACATTAGTTTTCATCGCACCATACACATTTTCTTGTTACACGTTGATAAAACTGAATAGAATTTATGAATCGAATTAATGATAGAAGAGAAGAAACAATGTTGCAAACGAAATTCAATGGAAATACTTGCCATATTTGCAATTGGTATTTACGACGATCCAATAAAACTCAAAGTTTAGGTTACACGTTTTACAGAAAGATCGGTGTATAAAAAAGACCGAACCTTTCAATACTGACAACTACTCTGGAAATATGAATGAGATGGGTGAGGGAAAACACAAGTGCTAAGCAAAAGCAGCAGAGTGACGGAGACAGAGAGAATGCGAGTCACGGCTCAAGGCGACAAATACGAAATTTCGTAAATCCAATGCATTTCGTCACATTGTTAATAGATGGAGGGACTCGACTAAAACAATGATAAAGTCCAAAAATTGTGAATTGAACGCTTCTCCATTCATTTTTGATTTAATAAAATTAATCAGTATATAATTTTTGCATCGAAAATTTAAAAGTTTTCCTCAATTTATAATTTACATCCGAGAATCACTTCATTTTCCATCGATGAAATATGTTCGAATCCAATGAAGTTGTACGCGCATTAAAAATGCCCATTGACAATTGAAAATCGAAACGAATCCTTTGTTTCATTGCGATGAGTTTTTAAAATGGATGTCAATAGTGTACAGTGTACAGTGCATATACATATATGAAGAAAGAAGAAGCAGTGGCCAGTATGAGTAATGTACTTGGACACACATATATACACACATAAAATCAATTGTAGTGGAAAAAAAAAACACTAAACAGAAAACAGAAAGAAGAGAAGAGAGAAGAGAAAAAAAAAACATTCCGAACGATTTAAAATAAAATCAAATTGATTTTTATTTTTGTCTTTTACAATAAAAGCAATCGTTTGCCTATCCTTGATTGTGATTAATTTTTCTAAATACAATTTCATTTGATTTGAAATTGGTGCTCGTTTCCATTTTTTGTAAATTTATTCTCAAAGTGATAAAAAAAAACGATCTCATGGATAAACAGCAGAAAAATGGTATGCAATTGAAAACTTTTTTTTTCTTCTGACTTTTTTCCGCAATGAACATAAAAAAAAGGTTTTGCACTCGATTCACCATCTAAAATGCATATTTTGTTTGTACAAGAGAGACAAACATGATATTTGATTGTAATTTTTACGATGATGAGAAAAAAAATACACTAAAAATCGATCCATTTTTTTTTTACTTTCATAGTTTACCCAAATCAACAATCAGTCAACTATAACATGATGAACCCATTGCACTTGCCCACAGCACCGCAACATCATCCACATGCTGCTCAGCCACAGCATTTTTATCAGGTAATTGTCGTGAAATGGTATGAATCACTGGCGCACAAAGGGCAATGAAAAACACTGTTGTCGCGATGATGATATAAAAAAAAAATGACGGAAGCTTGTGCCAATGCTTTTGATAACGCATTGCTTACACATATAATAAAATCGATAAAATTGATAAGTTTTTTATTGTTTGTTGCTGAAGTGAGCATGATAAATTGGTGCTCGATGCAAAGTTTGAATGACTCAACACACGATTCTTTGACTCTATTCATTTCGAATAGATTCCTCCGGTGCAACAGCCATTGTACTATGCAGCATCAGCACAAAGCTATCAACCGCATCCAGTTGCACCTCAGCATTTTATGATGCCACCACCACCGTATTCGAGCATAGCACCAACCAGCACAGCTCCATCGTACTTATTGTTACAACAACCAAATGATTCGACCGCTGGAATGCGTCCACCACCCATGTTTCATAATGTGGCTGCTGCTCCACCAGGATATTCAGTGCCAATGGCACCTCAAGTACGTACACTTACGCATATATGACACATTTCTTTGTGGTATTGTTGCAATTTAACACGCATTCTATTGCCCTTAAGCAGACAGCAATCTTTGATGCTGGCGCACGCTTCAATGGGAAATCACCAGTAATTCCACCACCACCACCTGGATATTTACCAAATGCAGCTCAGGTTGCAGCAATGTCCGGTCAACAGGTAAGACAATTTCATTCATCAAACAAACGCGCACACGCGCGCGCACATACAAAGCAACAAGCAGATGGACATACGAAAATTTTATTCAAAAGTTCAACTTGTCATTGTTTTATGATTGATGAATCAATTCTATTTTCCAGGTCATTGTGGAGAAGAAGAAAAATAACTTTTTCACTGGCGGGAAGGGGGCTGGCTATACCTTTTGGTAGTAGTAGTCAAGTATGCCGAGCGAAACGTAATTCATCGCCAGTTCAATACACACCAAAAATATTATGAAACAAAAGAAGAAGAAGAAGAAGGAAAAAAACAATTAATTTAATAATGAATGAGTAGCATTAATTTCGAGTTTTTTTTAGATGAGCGAGATGATTTTGTGCGAACGTCATCATAAAAAAGGAAAGAATAAAAAAAAGTAAAAAAAAAATAAATAACGAATTGCAATTTAATAATAAAGAAAAACAAAATCGTATGTTGAAAAACAAAGAACTAGACGAAAAAAAATCTGTATATTTAATCGATTAATAAAAATTTCAATTGACAAAATTATTGAAACGACTTGTCCTTTTTTTGTTTCTTTTTTTCATTTGATTTAAATCCAAAAACAAAATTCTTTCTTATGGCCGCTAGTCATGAATACAAATGGTTTATTTTTTCGTTAATGTTCCATCGGTTGAACGTCGGATGTTTCCGTTTTAATTTCATTTTCGACTGGTTTTTGTTCGGTTGTATCATGGCAAATGGTGACATTCTTATCGGATTCATCGGCTGGAATGACGTTCTCTTCGGGCTCTTCTTTTGCTTCGGTCTTGAGTTCGATTGGCGGCGCTGACTCCGTGGCCATGGTCTCCGTGTCGTTGACCTCTTCTTTTTTGATATTCGTTAGACTGGGCTCTGATATTGTTTCATCATCAGAATCTGATTCGTACTTTTTCTGTGCATAGTTTCGTTGCGGCGGCAGTTGAATGTGTAATGTACACGTTGTGTCTTCGAAGATACCAGGCACGGGTTCTTTACACTTTACACCAGCTTTTTCAATGTTACACGCTCGGAACAGCACTTGTTTTTTATCCTCAAGAATATGTTTACGACAGAATTTGCTCAACGGAATTATTCGATCACCACATTTAACGCCACCCTCGGTGAATATACACCGTGCGTGAAACGATGGTTTCGAAGGTGCTGGCAACACACCATCTCGACTCTGCAATGAAATCAACACCAAATTAACCAAATTGGTCGATGCTTCAAAATCAATTCAAGCTCACCTTTTGTCGCTTTTCAAGGAACTTTTTGTACAGTATCGCTTCAACGCCATTTCGTTTTTGGTATTTGTTGAGCGCTTTCAGTTTTTCGTACATCTTACGCTCTGAGATCGTATCTTTAGCCTGATCATGAATACTACACAATGTTTCACGCTCGTTTCGAAGTGAATGCAGGTAATTACGGCGTTTCTCTCGCAAAACATGCTTCAACCGATACAGCTGATCGATATATAAGGCTCGCAAACGCATCAGTTTCTCTGTCGTTATTTTGGTAACCAGTTCGGTTGTGTACACTTCGGCATGTCTACAAATAGGTTCATTCATTCGATAAACTAATAGAATCGGCTAAATTGCTTGACTACTATGGGCAAGAGCATACTCACTTCAGAAAGTCTTCATTTTGAGAATCAACACTTTCATTGTCGGAGTTATCCAGATCTTGGCCCCGCCACGTATTGTTCAATGTTGGTGTTTCCAAATCCGACGAACTATCGGACGCATAATCCAAGATTTTGCGTCCATTTGTGTTGATGGCGGCTGCATTAACATCAACTGAAATGCACACAAATTTCAAATTAGATTCAATTGGCTACCAACATTTTGAACAGCAGAGTTTTTCATTTGCTACTACTCACCGAATGGATCAACAACAGGCTTTTCGTCGCGCTGATCGGCATCATTCCCATCATATGGGCTTCGAACGGCAATATTATTTGGACTAACATTGTTGACAAGATTTTTGGCTTTGCTTAAATTTAAATGGTGAGTCAGTTCATTTAGAATGGTATCATTTGTGTCGATCGGCTTGAATTTGCCGATGCTGGTTCTCGTTTTGGTCAGTTGCGCTTGTCGGCTGTGTTCAAAACAATAGCTCGTCAAAACATCTTTCTTCGGGTCATATTTTGGTGCTGGTTGCAGGCATCGTTTTCCATTCGTCAGCAGAAATGTGCACATCAAGTACGGTGCGGTTGGATCTTGGAGAATGTGTCGGATGCAGTATTCATATCCATCGATGCGCGGCAATGAACATTCGTACGCAATATTTGAACAGGCCTTTGTTTTGTTCGCAATTTCTGTGTGTAACTGATCTCGGAGATCTTTTTCCTGTTGTGCCGTTATTTTTGGCGGTGTACGTATTTTCAAGCCACCATTTCGATTCAAATTCTTTGCAACAATCGTTGACTGTGCTGACATGTTTACCTCCGTCAAATATTCCGTTTCACTTATTTAAATTAAACCGAATCGTGCGTACCACCAACAAAAAATGAAAATAATAACAAAAGTCTGATAGTCAGCTTCGTCGTTTAAATAACAATTCGAATTATTTACACCAACGACTATGCGTTTTATTTTTAATACTTTTTTTTTCTTCAAAATATGTATATGCAGCCAATAACAACCGATAAATTATTTCGAAAAAAACGATTTAGTTCCCAATCAACAACGTTCCGATAAATGTTGTGTACTAGTATTTGTGCAACAACAACAAATTGCATACACACACCGACTAAACATTAGCATGACAAAGTGAATAAAGCAGCCATTGAGAAACTCAACGATAAAAACAGTTCACTGAGCACGTTTTTGAAAATTGTATTTTTCCCACACACGAAAATAAAATGAAATGATCTGTGCGTTTTTTCTTACAACTTGGAATTAATACACAGATACCGTAATCAAATTTAAATGCAAACTGGCAATAATGCGAATTAGAAAATCTCAGAACTCGAAAGCACACAAACTGTGATGAAATATTTAATCAACTGACGAAACATTTGATGCAGAGTTCAGTATTGCATTGGAAACAAAAATACTGCGTAAGCGAAGCACCATTAAATCGGTAGAAAGAGACGGTTGATTGGTGTGCGAGATGGATAGATATAATCAATGTGAATATTTAACAAGCACAACTAGCGCCTCTACATTCGAATTTCATTTCATCAATCGAACCATTTTACGTATACGAAATTCGTAACACGAATAAATAAGCATCAAATTTTCGATGGCAAACAAAGCGAATGTTTGCAAAAAAAAAATTCACTGGTTTTCTGAGGGATTCGGGGCAGAAAAAATTAATTTAATAAACTTAATTAATAATTCGCAAATTATATGCATCCAATTATCGCCGCGAAATCTTTCGATACGTAGTTACGTTATTACGAATACGATGAAAGACACGCGCGCATTTCCACACACTGACATTATTAACCGTACAACAACATGAAGTTGGCAGCACACACAAACACATTGGGAAAATCGCATCGCATTGCTTTAGCTCCGATTTTCTATGCCAGTGTTTTTGTTTACTTCAAAGTTAAAAATTATTTATAAAAACATATAAATAATTTTAAAACCAAGCCAAAACCATTTGCAAAACTTCGACGATAATTCCATGTAATCGCGTGAATAGACTTTTGCATAAAACGAGCCAGCAATTTCGATCGCATATATTTCTAAGTAAATGCAAATGGGAAGTGTGGTGTTGTGTATGTGTGCTTTGGAAGTTTGACCATCGAAAAAATAAAACGAGAGAAGAAAAAAAGAAATACATACATCTATACACATAATAAAAACGTAACTCGCATTGAAAAAACGAGTAAAGCAATCGTGCAAAAAGAGAAAACATTATATATATACCCAAAAAATAAACGGAAACAACCAAAAAAAAAATAATTGTCTGACATCAAAAGATCGCAGCGACCAAATAAGCAAAACGAAAAAAGAGGAACGCAAACATCTGAGTCCCCACAACCTCCAACACACAACGGGCGAAAGAGAAAAATAATCTCGGCTGAAGATTATTTTCCTGTTCGAACACCTTTTTTATTTTTTGTTGTTGTTGTTAATTGTAAATGGCTAGTGGTAGTAGCAGCAGCGGTGATAATAGCAAAGATTCAAGATGGTATTTCACAGTAGAACAATTACAAAATTCGCCAAGCAGAAGCCAAGGCATCGACGCCGAAAAGGAAATAGATCTCAGACAACAAGCCGCTTACTTGATTCAAGAAATGGGACAACGGCTTCGAGTGTAAATGTTTTTTTCATTTTGTTATTTCTCTAAATCACACAAATTATTATACCTTTATTTCCAATTAGTCGAGAGAGTATTAGCCATTACCGCATAAGAAGTTTAGTTTCCGTTTTTCTATTTTTTGTGTTTGACTTTTGATCGAATGACACATTGCTCGTTGCTCATTGCTCAATGCTTGCGCTTGATGAAAAATGAAGGGAAAGGTGCTTTATGAAAGTATGCACGTATAAAACCAGGCAAAATACGAAAAGAAAAATTCAACGCGTACGCATTACATTATTCATATGCATAATCTCGGCTCAAAATGTGTATCGCTTTGTCGCATACGGTGAGCATGAAAAAAAAATCAAACTATGATAAATATGGTTGCTGGCAATATAGCTGAGCGATCAGCATCGGAAAAAGCAACAAAAAAAAACTTCTAGACGAAACTTCTCGGCTTCACAAATAAGTGAGTGAGAAAAAAAAGAAAAAAAAATGGATGTCAAAATCAATGTAGTTCTATATGAAATTCATTGTCAAAATCCAATGCAGTAGCCTTAATGAAATGTGTCGCATTACGGTAATAATTCGCAACATAATGCCGTTCACAACATGCCCGTTGCTTAGATAGCCATATTTTGTCTCATTAAAAAGTTTCCAAAGACGTTTTATCTATTGAAAAATGGAAGGCAAAAGGGAAAAAATAGAATCGTAATATTTTTTTAGTCACATTTTTCGCACACATTTCGAAGCGCTCAGATTCGCTACACACACATATATACATATGGTTCAGTTCTTGTATACACACATAATAGATTTGCCGCCATATTTAATTTCGTACGTGTGTATTCGACACAACACTCATAGAAAGTTCGTAGTCGAATGAAGGTTGAATGTTTAATGTGCTTTCGGTTGGTGACCGTAGAGGGAGAGAGAGGCAAACGACGACGAGTACGATGGAATGGGAATCATGTCATTTTACAATGTTGGCAATGCGCAGCACACGTACATACACCGAACGAGCACTGATTTTCATTCAATAAGTCAATTCACAAAAAATAAAAAGAAGAAGAAAAAGAAGAAGAAGTAGATGATGATTGTATGGCGCTTTCGTGTGTGCATGTTTTCCAAACAATTCAGCACAATCTATCTCAATTACAAGCTGCCAAATTATCATGCTATCATCTTATTTAACAAGACGATATTTATGTAGACTCGCAGACACTGTTTTTAAATTCATGCAAAATAGTTTCTAATTTTGATATTTTTTCCCTTCCAAATCCATTGTTCTCATTTTTTTCTCTCTCTGTTCGATTTCCAGCAATCAATTATGTATAAATACGGCTATAGTTTATATGCATAGGTTCTATGCATTTCATTCGTTTACACAATTTCATCAAAATGGAATTGCGATGGCTAGTTTGTTTCTAGCTGCAAAGGTAAACACGAATTGTTGAATATGAAAATATGTGCCAAATCGTGCAAAATGATTTAATGTTGTTAAAAAAATGCTTTAACCGAAACAAAACAAGGTGGAAGAGCAACCACGAAAGCTGGAGTCTGTAATACATGTCTCACAGGCATGCATACCAGGAGCAGCTGAAAACCAAACAAAGGAATCCTATGCTGAGCAAGCACAAGACTTAGTTTGCAATGAAAATATACTGTTGCAAACATTGGGTTTCGATGTAGCCGTTGATCATCCTCACACGCATGTTGTCAAAACATGCCACCTAGTTAAAGGTAATGACCGAGTTTGCTTTGGAAACTCTACCCACTTGAATATGCATATCTTGTGCTGTGTATCGGCACTCATACCACACGAATAAACAATAATGAGCGAGTTTTCTGTTTGTTTTGCAGCGTGTAAGGATTTAGCCCAAACCTCATATTTTCTAGCATCGAACAGCTTGCATTTGACGACGATGTGTCTGCAGTACAGGCCAACTGTAGTTGCGTGCTTCTGTATATATCTCGCCTGCAAATGGTCTCGATGGGAGGTAATGTATCAGTCAATCGTTGCTAATATTCAACCATTTATCGCAACGTTCAAACTAATTGTGGTCTAACATTCGTTTTGGTCAAGATTCCACAGTCAACGGAAGGGAAGGATTGGTTTTATTATGTCGATAAGAATGTCTCGATGGAACTGCTAGAACAATTAACGGATGAATTTATAGCCATTTATGAACGAAGCCCGGCAAGACTAAAGAACAAATTGAGTTCAACGATAAAAGATTTAACGACGAGTGCAAGATCTGTGAGTATATATTCACTACAGATTTACATCAATCTATGCTGCGAACTGTTCTGAACTGGGCCATTTCTTTTTTCTTTTCCATCTTCGCTATTCAAGATAATCAATGCGCAAAGTGAAACACATAGTTCAGGATCACAGCATCGATCATCTAGTCATCATAGATCTTCGAGCCATCACCAGGTCAAACCACAATCTTCAATGCATTCATCAGGTAAATATTGAACCGCTTGGATTTGAGTGAATAGTGACTGGTGAACGGGGTATTCATGAAGCGTTTGACCTAATTTCGGTTTTCAGGTGATCACAAATCCTCCTCATCGCACCAAAAAATGCTTCAGCACTCGTCTTCAGCATCGTCGTCGTCGATGGGCACAGCGTCTGGATCCAGTTCGAATCGGCCGCACAAGAACGACCGTAACGATCGAAATGTGCCACCCGATCGAGGCGAACGGCCATTCTCGACTGGTGCACCGCAACGATCCTCAAGTAGTAATTCGAATGGTCCGATACCAGGTCGGAGTAGCAGTAGTAGTTCTAGTAGTGGTATGCCAAATATACCATCAATGCGACAACAATCATCGCAACAGCAGCAACACGCACAGCAACAGTCGCGTCACAGCTCTAGCAGTTCATCAATGTCGTCGATGCCGAACAAATCTGACCAAAGGCACATGTCCAAGGAACATAAGTCACATGCAGACAAACATCTAGCTATGAAACATCCGCCATCGAAATCGAATGTGACACAGCAGCACTTCAGTGGCTCTAGGTAAGTACTATAAAGTGCTTTTTTGGGGTTTTTCGTTCGCGCAATTTGTCGAACAAATATTCATGGTGACAGGGTGATTGTAACTTATTGATTAAGTGCTGTGTCAGTTAACTCGGTCAGCAGCATCACGATACATTGCTAAACTAACTAATAAATCAATTAAATTCTTCGCAAACAGCAACAACAATAACAATAACAACAACAACGGCAGTCACAGCAGTAACAGTACAATAACTCAACAAGAGCAACCAAGGTTATCCGTCCAAAATTCACAACTAAAACCACAACCGACTCTAATGGATATATCTTCCTATGGGCTGAATGATGATATTAACACAATGGATTTGCTGAGCACATCGCCGCCAAAATCGATGACAACGGGCAAGGCTCATTCAATATTCAGTCCCGAATGGAATGAAAAGTCGAGTTCGATGCCAAGCAATAACGGTAGCAGTATGCTATCGGGCATGGATCATGGTGCCAACGGTGGTTCGGAGAGTATGAGTGCGATGCCCAGTCTGATTAGCCCGAAGAGAGAGTACGACAAGCGTGCAATGTCATCGAGCGATATGATTAAGAAGGAGAAAAAAATGGAACACAATAATTTAATGGAACAACAACCGCCGCCGCCGCCGCCATTGTCGTCGTCATCCCATAAAACGGATAAATCGATGAATATAAAACGCGAACCAATGTCATTATCATCGGGAATGCAGTACGATGCCAATTTACCTCAGAATCTTCTAGATAGTAAAGCCGTTAAACGCTCGTATAATGCAGATCTCGGCCAATTAGATAGCATTGATTACCAGCAACGTGAAATAAAAATCCGAAAAACGGAACAATTATCACCCATTCAAAATGTTCCTGACCTGGCCAAATCGAAATCATTCGCTTCACTGAACGGAATTGAATCGAAGCCATTGGCATCACCAAACTCCGACAAGTATGGTAAATTCGGTGAAATGTCGGCTGACGAAGTGAGTACTTTGATCAAGCAGGGTCTGCCCGCTCTGGATAAAAAACCTATAAAAACCGAACACAATCTTATGCAACCTGCTTACAATATGCCACCAATGATGGACGCGAGGGATTCAAGCCAGCAACATTCAATAAAAACTGAAGACTTCGATCGGTCACAAGTGGCAAATCCGTTTCCAAACCAACATTTACAATATCGAATGGATCCAAATCGTATGCAAATACCACCGGTGAATACAGTAATGTCGCGTCAATTGCAAACTCAACAGCAGCAACAGCAATTCCTACAGAAATCGCAACAGCAACCACAGCAGCCACCACCACCGCCACCAATGCCATCGACCAAAGGCATTGCAGAGCAATTCAATGAACAACAACAACAAAAAATGTCTCAACTGCATCAAGAACAAAGCAATCAGAATGTTTATGGTGCGCCCACATTGCCGCCTCAGCTGCAAATAAAAACTGAAGCCGATCAACGAATCAAGTCGGAGAAGAAGAAAAAGAAGGAGAAACATAAAAACAAGGACAAGGAAAAGTCGAAGAATCGAGAGGAGCGTAAAAAGCACAAGAAAGACAAGGATCGACACAAGGAGAAGCGAGACAAATCACAGCCAGACAGTCATGAATCAAGTCTTCATGATGCACCCAAAATGCCCATTCGCTTGAAATTGAATTTATCGCAAACCGATCATCAAAGCATTCACAACGACGGACCGGCAAGTGCATTACATCCGACGCAAGGCGAACAACTCAAATTAAAAATCGCTCGGGATCGAATAAAACCCGAACTCGATAGCGGCGGCAATGAATCGAAAAATCAAACCGTTTCAATGGCGCCGACATCAACACCTACCTCACTCAAAATGAAAATACCAAAGCATGTTGTTGAAAATATCAATAGCGGAGGTGCAAACATCTACAATAGCCAACAAATGCATTTGAACGAAATGGGCCACACACAGAATCCGAGTGGCAGTAGCGGTAGCAGTGGCAAGAAGAAAGATCGAAATCGTGAACGAGACAAATCCATGCGCAATTCCAGCGGTAATCTATCCAATCAGACAAAGGTAAATAGCCCATTCCATTCAGTTTGCGTCTAACATTTTTTTTTTCATTTTCATAAATGCACCACAAAACATATGTACCACTTCGTTTTTCATTTATTTATTTATCCTTTCCACCAACAAACCATCTGATCATCTATGCGAATACCATTTCCCTATCATTTATTTGAAAATATTGAGAGAGAAAAAACAACAAAACAAATATATACATATATATTTTGTAACATTCTTGACTTAAATTGTATGTGTGTATGTTCCCATAGAACATCAATAAACGACCACATCGATCCTCTCCATTGCTTGATCATTCAAGTTCCAATTCAATTGAATTACCAACAAATATTCGCACGAACATTTGAAACGATACAATTTTTGACTAAAAGAAAAACTGTACAGATTCATTTTCATTTTTGATAACGACAAAGAATCCCCGAATCCGATACTCTAAACAATTCAGAAAAAAAAACAAAATCGGCGTTTCACAGTGCACAAGAACAACACTCAACGTTCACAGCAAAAACCTACCTCAACTCATGTCTAAAATTGTGCGTAGAAGATAATCCGCATGCATGTTGCTTAGAAGTTATTTCATTTTCCGTTTTTTTTCTTAAATTTTATTTAATTTGTTTGGATTTGTATATAAATACGGTGTGTTAATTCGTGGAAAAAAATTGCTTCCTTTGAAATTCCGTTTCTTTTATTCATTAATAAACCTTTAAAATCGTTTCATTCTTCTTTATTTAATGCGTAACGAAGTTCTTTTTTTTCCCTATAAAAAATAATTTGAATCAAGGAACAATTCCAAAAAAAAAACAATCAAAAACTACAAAACAAAATCATCTTATACATAAAATTGTTTTCTTTATTCTGGTTTCAGGAAATTTGGGTTAAAATGTGATAAAAACCAATTAATAAAGAAAAAAGTCCAACTATTCGAATATTCCGAATGAATTTTGTCCGAAAGAGGAAAGAATAACACGAAAAATAAAACTAACTCACAAACACATTTGACATTGATTTAGAACACAAATTGTAAATATGAGAAAAATGAAGAAGAAGAAGCAAGAACTGACACAAAGCTAATTTCAGGATCATTTTTATTGAGCCAAAAAAGAAGAAGAACATTTTTCGATTTGTATAGATAAAATCTATTTGTTCGGACATTTTCAAGATTGTTATTAAATTTTGTACCTTTCGATGTAAAGGGAAACAAGAGAACAACAAACAAACAACAACAAAAAATGTGAAAAAATGAAAATAATAATAAAAAAAGATATTGTATTTCATGTTTCAATATTCGATATACCATTTGAATTCTAATTTGCATTATGCTGTGACCATTTAAAAAAAAACAACTAACAAAAACATTTCGCCTCGACAACTAACAGTCTACAATCAACAAAAACGTCTATCATTCCTACTCATTTGTTTATCTGATATTTGTTTAGCGGCTTCACACGCACACACACACACACACACACAAGTAATCGAACAAAATCAAAACATTATCTCTACACTGTGACACTAAAAACCATTTCGCATTTAAATATTACGGAGTTCGTTTCCACTCAGACATAACTAAAGAAACAAACAAACCAAAACGCACGAACCGAAAGCATAAGAAATGTTTTAACAACACGTTCAATGTTTCAGATTTATTCACAATACAATGAACAAATAACACCGCAACAATCACAAATGCATATACAGCAGCAACAGCAGCAACAGCAACAACAACAACAACAACAACAACAACAACAACAACAACAACAACAACATATGCAGCAGCAGCAGCAGCAGCATATTCAACAAAAGCAACAGGTAACATAAAGTGATGTACTTTATAGCTGTCAGCCTGACAACGTCAGGATTAAAACTGCCTTTGGCAGGCGAACTCTCTCTGTCGCTCTCCATTCGTCGCTCGTTATCGGAGATTGAATAAAAACATCGGTCATTGAATTTTATGAAAATAATGTTGGTTTTATTTTCCCATTACAGCAACAATACCACTCGCAGTCACAGTCCCAGGTACCGATGCAAGCTCAGCAACTCCAACAGCCACAGTCGCATTCGCAACCGCTATTTAACCAATCGGCAATGTATGATAATGCTCAAATGTATCAGGCTCAGATGGCTCAGAAACAGCCAACGTCCTACGGTAGTCAGTTCGATAATTTTCTAGTTAATCAAGGCTATGCGCAAAACGCATTACCACAATATCAGCAGCAAGCAAATCATGCGCAGATGTTCGGAAATCATCAACACTACTCCTATAATAAGCAAAATGCAAATCAGCAAAATATTCGAAATCAACCGATCAAGTATCGTGACAAATAGGACACGAGAGTGGGAAAATCCAAAAAGAAGCGAAGCTGAAATTGAATGCCGGCATTAAAACACTACACATACACACAAATAAATACCATGGGGTCAATACTTCAGATCATTTCATTGTTTCCGCCATTCGCACCCATATCACACATTTAATTGCAATACTTCTAAAACATGATTAGTTGAATCAATTCCATTTACATACACACTGCAAATTGTTTAAATTGTATTTTCCATTGGCAATTTATGGTATGGTTTAATTCACAAATTCTGTATATGCTACGTGAGACGATCTGTTTTGCTTTTTTCTTCTTTTTTTTCGTACAAACATTGCCTTTAAACCACCAAACCTGCTCCGAAAACCGTACACACACATACATACACGCCAATCTGTTCTCATTTGTTGAACAATATAATGACGGAAACAAAAGAATTAAAATAAAAAGAAGCAATAAACATGTAGTAGATGCGTTATATTCAAATGAAAGCAGATTAAGTATCGAAAATGCGAAACGAATTTTCTGTTGATCTAATTCATTTTTTTATATAAATATATATATATAATATATATATATTTAATTAATTGTGAGCAAAACACAATCATGCAAGCAAGAAAAAAAATTATGTACATAAGTGAGAAAAAGAGTGCTCAAATGCCCGTGTGCATTTGGTCCTTAGATAGATAGAAACCATAGAATATATTCAAATGAAAATTTAGAGGAAAAAATAACAACAACAACCAACAAGCACATACACACAATTTAAATAAAGAATTTAATGAGGAAAACCGAAGATGAACGAAAGAAATTGATTGTGCTAGGAAGTTGAAACTTTCAAAGGAAAAAAAAACTGAAATCGTTGAGAGAAATAGAACATATGAGAATTTTTGTTAATAAAATTTAAAAGAAAAAAAAATGGTCACTAGTTCTAATTATTATTGACGAAAAAAACCGAATAAAAGTCTGTAAAAAAAATTCAAAAACCCACAAAAGCAAACGAAAGAAAATGAAAATAAAATGTTGAAAAAAAAACTGAAAAAAAACTTGGAATAAACTGAAGAACATTTGTTTTCTATTTTTACTTAAAAAAATGAACTTATATGTAATATAAGATATACCTGCATATAATCATGTCTAAATCGAGCTGCAATTTTTTGGCATGAGTGCTTTCTGTGGCTCTCGTTTGTGCGTGTTGACTTCATTCATTTTCTTTTCTTAGTTTGTGTTTTTCTTTTGGTTTTGTTTTATTACTTGTTTGACCTACTGGTAAATGCACGGCAAAAGAGCTCGTTTACACGCGTGCGCCTCAAATTCCGGTTCCCAGAGTAGAAATGATTGAACGGCTCAACGAGATCACAAACAAGAGCCACGAACATTCGTTGTGTGTCATGAGCAAGTTATAATTTTTCATTTTTGCAATTGCATATACTTGCACGCATTTCTCATTTCAATACGTATTTAAAACAAACAAAAAAAGAGAATAAAAAGCCTTGAAAATCAACTTCAACGAATCACATTTCGTTTTATTTCCCATTTTTTTATGTTATTTCGATAAATCGTTTTATTTTTTAATTTATTTTAAGTTGAATTGAACGAATATCGATTTGTTTAGTCTTCTCCAGCAGGTATAGCATCCTCCAGACGTCGAATGAACTTGACCCGAATTTCCGTCGTTCCATCACCTTTCAATTGTTCCTGAAATTCAAAAAATGTTCTTAGTTTTCTTGATTGAAGTTCACCAGAAGAGGGAAAAAAACGTCACAACGGATAATGATGCCATGCTTACCTGAGCAAACCAACATTGCACTTCAAGCTGCACCATTTCGAGAGCACCGCGAATGCATCCACAAAGAATTCCACTATACCGGAGTGCGCTCATGTCAGCGGGCAGTTCAACGAATTCCGTCAATGGATTTGTGTCGAAAATGAGTGAAAATTCGTCAGCCGACGCCGCCCAATTCGATATCGTTGGCTGAACGTTTAAATACATTCGGAATGCTTGTTGAATTTTATCGGCCGTTTCGCGCATATCCACGCATCGGGTCGATGCGGTTCGAGATAAAAAGTCTTCGATTAGCCGCACACCCATATTATAGCCTATTCGCTCCAGTTGTTTGTTCACATCGTCGATATTTTCGAAATCACGAATGATTTGCGTTACAAGTGCACCGTACGTTAGCGTCAACAATTCCGAGTTCTGAAACACATAAAACGATCCAAATCAATATCGAAATATTTATTGGGAAATAAAAGTGAAAAAAGCAGAAACGAAGCGATAATTATCACAAGTAAATCGTATACATGGTAATAGATTTTAAAACTGGTTTTATTTCGAGTTTTGATGATCAAAAAATATTTATTCGCTTAAAAAGTAAATACAATTCGATTCACTTATAGAACAATTCTTTCTTATTTGCCCACTAGTTATTGGTTTACAAAACTGATTTCATCTAAAAAGGGACCTAATTTGTGTCCTAAATCGAATTAAAAACATACACATAGTTTCATTTCTTAGAGTAAAATTGTTTGACTGGATTGACGCCCACCATATTGGTCAAAACATTTTGATATTATCTCTCCGATTTGATGAATTGAATGGCATTGTTGCTCATGATAGGCTGCGGATGTGATGATTGTGTCGGTGGTTGTGATTGGATTTGTCGCGGAGCCGACTGAATATTTTGATGTGACATTTGATTTTGAATTGGACGACCGCTGCTGATTTCACGCCCACTGATGATTTCCGGTCCCATTTCAGGGCCACCGTGTGAATGAAACCGTCCACCTTCTCCTCGCACCCGATTCATGGCGTGTCGATGCCGTGATTCGTGCAAATATTTTGGTCTTTCTTTTGGAATGCGACTCTCCAGTTTGGCACGAGCCTGCCTTCGCTTCAATATTCGTTTGTACTGTTTGGCGTTGACATACAGGGGCTCTTCTTCGGCGTCAATGTTTACATCGTCGACGGTTGTGTTTGAGTTACTGGCCGATGTGGCATTGCCCGAGAATACCGTATCGTTTGTTGTTGCGGTGGCCAAGTTAGTGCCACTCAACATATTGGTTGCCGTATTCGTGGGCAATATGGTGGCAATGCCTCCGGTGTTTGGTGTTGAGTTGGTAGTCGCTGCTGTGGCAAGCATCATCATAGGCGCCTGTTGCCCATTCATTGTCTGAGCCGCTGTTGCTGTTGGTGTGGTGCCGGGAATTTGTATCAAATTTCCATTGATATTAATGATTTGTGGCTGTGTCGGCAATGAATCGTTCATCGTTTGCATCGGCTGATAGAGAAACGTTTGGCCATCGGGTAACTGGAGTATTTGTGCCATGGGTTGTGAGTGTGCTGCCTGTTGAACGATTGTCTGCAGCGATTGCTGTGGAACTGATTGTACCAAAATCGGTTGGCCTGTATTGGATATCGGCATTGAATTCATCGAAACCACTTGAATTTGTTGACCATTAGTTCCGCTCACCGTATGCTGTACATCATTTTGAGCCGTGCCCTGTTGATGCTCCATATTTTTTTTTTCGTTCGTTATCGATATCGTTTGCCTCCCACTTGTTGATCCCCGAGACGGTGTTTTTTTTGTTTTATTTTACCCTCCTTTTACACGTTTCACTTTAAACGAAGTGGAAAGACGGGTGTACATTTGTTGTTAATTTGATAAAAAGGAAATGAAAATTTGTGGGTGCGTGTTGCTGGCCCGTGTTCAGCATCAACTTTTGGAAACTATGTAATGTATAAATTCGCTTTCAATTTAGTATCACATGCACGCACATTAGCTTCCTGCGCCTTTTCGTATTTGTCGATTGTGTTTGTTTGTTTGTTTTTTAATTCTTTTTTTTGTGTTATTTCACGAATCTCAGTGCGGTCTTATGGTCTGTGAATCAGTAGCATTTAATATTTGCAGGACATCGATCATTCTATAAAAAAATGAAGGGAAACATCGAAATACTGTAGACTCCATTAACAACCGAAGTACATATTCATTTTCAATACAAAAATTCATTTGCCTATGCATACTGTGGAAAACATATTTTGACTTGGACTACCAAGTTTGTCATTATTTTAGTTAAAACTAACAGAAACTGAATGAATAACATCCGGCTAAAGGTGAATAGCAACTGTGTATATACTGTGATTTATGTTTGGCTATGGTTTTTGCAACATTTTCAATAACAAATCATTTTGAATCGTTTGCCATACGGGCATTAGTCTTTTTTTTTTTGCTTCGCTTTTTTTTCAGTTTGTGTGGTTTTTCGGAATTGGTTATTTTCTTCCAAAATGAATAACAAATTGCATATGTAATGCCCTATAACTAAATATTTCACTCGACTGACATATATCAACTACCAACAAATTCGAAATATTATGCGGTACTTACGACTTTCTTTGAATCCAATCGGCTCGTTTGTCTTGACATTATTTTACGTCCTTACTTAGAATAAATGAAAATCAGTAAATTTCGATTGATTTCGAATGGAATTTGCTAGGCAAAAACAGTATAATATCCAGCTGCTGGATAAGTTGAGTTAGTTTACAATCGCCTTTGCTTCTGTACGAAATCGAAATCAAACAATGGCGTTTAATCAACATACAGACACACATTTATATGGCGTATGTCATCAACGACTAATTACATTACGTCTAGTTCACATGATGGAATTTATTTCGTTTTCTGAAACTCTATCGTTTTTCTTCTTCTTCTTTGATTTCCGTAATTTATTAAAGCTGCATTTTCAATGCGAACGCATATTGGAGCCAAAAATTAGTTTAATTTTTTTCTGCATAAATTGTTATGAATAAATGAAACGAAAAATCGATTGAAATTTTCCATACACTAACAATGGTAAATGGTGTTGGTGGTTTTTTTTTCGATAGAGGTCGCTAGCAATGGGATTACATTAGGTTAGCTGTCATTGTTTGCATTCTCTTACACTTGCCCAAAACAGAAACTTCAAATGGGTGCTTGACCAATAATAATCCTAAAGGAAAAAAAAGAAAGAAAAAATCCTTCGTTGAGTTAAAAATTCAGAACCCTTCAGATTGTCGACACAAAATCCTGTGCACAAAAATTTCCATCGAATCACATTTGGGAAACGAAACATTTTAGTCGTCAATGGCAAACACTTTTATTCAAACAATGATTTAGATAAATAAATACAAGAAAATATTTGGGATTCCTCCAAATTGAAAACAGAGAAAAAGAAGAAAAAACCAACAAAAATTGACTTGAACTCATTGTTTTGTTTGAACTGTTCACGAAGTTTCTCAAAGTTTCGGATCCAAAGTGTGACGAGATTTGTTGGAAACTAGGTTGTACAGCAGCTGAAAGAGAGCAAAAAAAAAAACAGATACCAAAATGTTTTGAATGAAATCCAAGTGGGTCTCGGTTGATTTGATAGCGAGTGTTTTATGGTTTGAACGGAAAGGATAATATCGTGAAGAACGAATTGAAGAAATGGGTGGCTCAGTGAGTCAAGTGTTTCGATCGGGCAGTGCTCTGCTATCAAATCGCGATGGTAAAGTATCCGAGCACACAATCGATAAAATCCACACCGTTTTCGAAATTCTCCGTGCAAATCCCAAGATATCAATACAAACGCTGGAAGGGCTACTAACGCAAATAGCCAAAGTGAGAATTCCACTTTTATTTCGGTTTTTGTTTTTGTTTAGTTTCATTGTTGCATGCAAATAACAAAATGAAAATTTGAACTGTTTGTTCTATCGTGTTCTATCTTTCTCTCTTTTTTGTCTCTCCCTGCCGAAAAAGTATGAAAATGTATTGGCAATACACGACGAATGCGGGTATAATTTGTTGCAGAAAAGTGTTGGAATCAATCACATCGAATTGGCACGATGGCTGTTGCAACGACATCGTCCCGATGTGAATCGCAGCGCTTGTTCACTTCCACTTCATATTGCCTGTTTAAAGGGTTATGAGGAATGCGTTGAACTATTGCTGAAACATGGTGCTCGAATGGATACAGAGGCTCGCATGTGTTTCCCAGGGCCAGGGCATTGCAACAATTGTGAACTCAGTGGCAAATATCGAGGTGTTAACGATGGTGTCACCGGGGTGTGTAGCCCAAATCACAATGAACGTCAGAATACAAAGCTACAGAATGCTGTGTGCTATGCCATCGATGGTGATCAAATTGGCGTACTGAATATTCTATCACAGAAAATGGAAGAACCTTGGTTGCCATTCCGAGTGAAAAAACCGCTGTTGCATTTGGCCTGCGAACGAGGTGCATGGAAATGTGTTCAACAATTGGTTATCGCTCGAAACGATGAAATTAATCTAATCAAAGACGAATACTATCCAATTCACCAAGCAGTCTTACATGACCAACGCTTTTTAGAGATATTAATTCAACACGGAGCCATCACAACGGTACGAACGTGCACGCAACAAATGACATTGCTACATGTTGGTACGTTGCAAATAAATCAATACATACACATTGAGTTAATTGATTGGCAATTAAAAAGTTTTGCATTGTTCATTGATTGTTTGTTTGTGTCTTTGTTTGGTTTCGGTTTTTTTTTTCTTTCTTGTAGTGATATTTGTGGCACGCAAATCCGCCGATGATACATTGGCGACGATACGCATCCTGCTGGAACGTGGCTGCAAGGAGCTCATCAACGAGCCCGACTCATTGGGAAATACGCCACTTCATGCACTCCTCGTCCGATATGCCTTGGAAGAGGCACGGTACGGATTTCAGAAATGGAATAAATGGGATATTTTACATTTAGTACGATTCCTACTACAAAATGGTGCCAAAGCAAGTATCAATCAATCGGGCAATAGTGCGTTGGCTTGTGTATTTCGTCATGTACGCGACTGGGAAGTTTGCTACGAGCTACTGAATATGCTAATCATTGATGGTGATCCAAATATTGTCGGTCGTGATGGGTCGGTACCGATCATGGTATGCCTTGTTCCACTGATCAACAAAGATCAACTGCATCATTTCACGCATTCAATGAAGGTAAGACAATGTTAAACTTGACCATTCACATGTTAAATAACCCAGACGTTGAGCGATGCAAGAAAAAACAAAAATTAACCATGAAACATACACGTTTGATCGTTTCAGGTGTGCTATTTGAATTGCATACGAATACTGTTGCAGCACGGAGCTAACCCGAATTGTTCGTATCGTTCGAACTTGACGCCATTGCATGTTTTAATATTTACCGTTAGCGAAAACTTGACGTTGAACTGTGAAACTCAAAAGCAAAACAATTTCGATTTTATTAAGAATATTTTATTGCTGCTGCTGCAGCACGGATTAGACTGTAACACATATCAGCATATACTACAATCGATCATGGATATGGTACAAAATTTGCGTGTCAGTCAAGATATGTTGTGTATTTATGAATTGGCGTTAACATTGATTCAATACGGTGCCAATCCGAACATAGTGGTAAATGGAAAAGCGACATCGGGTAGTGCAATTGTGACGAATGAAATTGCAAGTTTTGGCGATAGCATCCGAACGACAAACGGCCAGCACGGCAATAGTGATTCAAGTGGTGTCGGAGGCGGTGGTGGTGCCACGGGCTATCGCAATGCAAACGGCGGCAGCAGTGATGGCTCGTTTCGTACACATTCGCGCTATATTTTATTTTACTACATCATTTTAATAAGTAAAAAGGAGTTTTTGTTGACTGATCCAAAGCAAACGTTTGCACGAATCATTTATTTATTTTACTATTCGATGTCACACGAACCGTTGTACAATTGTCTGAAATGTTTGCATAACTTTTACGTCGCTCAGGTTCCAAATCGTTCAACAGAAAGCCTAATCGCTCTCATTTCATCGTTATATCGAAGACCACGGTCACTGAAGCAAATCTGCCGACAAACCGTGTACACTAGCTTAAACAATAAACTAGCACAGAATGTCAACAAACTCAATTTGCCAGGACCACTGAAGGAGTACGTTCTGAATTTTGAGCCGTAAATTTGCGCACGTGTGCTAAACCAAAAACACACACACACAAACACAAATCGAATCTTTTAGGCTAATCTCTATGGAATAACAAAAATAAAATGTCGTAGCATTTAAAAAGAGAAACGAAAATTGAGAAAATGAAAACACACGAGTATGAAATGAAATTTCAAATAAAAACTCACACATTTATCATTTGAATCGAGTCGTTTGATTGATGTTGTTGCTGTTGTTGTTGTGACACGTTAAAGTTAACTTTCATTTAAAACGGAAAAGTATTCGCCAGAAGATTCGCATTCACCGTTACATTTACGAGCCTCAGAAACAGTCAACATCTGAAACAAATCAGTCAGTCAGTCAGTCAGTCACACACTACCCATATGGTGCATTCTTGGCATTTATTACCATTTTCGATTTTCAAAACAGGAATCTAGAGGAAGTGTATGTCTAAAGTCTTAATGAAATCAACGTTCATTCGCTCGAATCGACTTTGACGGGTGTTTCGCTTGAAATGAAGGAAGTAATGTGTATACGACACAAACCGAAGCAAAACAAATTTTAATTCTTGCTAAATACGAAGAGTATATTCATTTTTTCATCCGTACAAATGTACAACTGAATCGATCAAAATATTCGGATCGGTATAACAAAGTACCGGAAATCTAGCAACAAAAAAATCCATCATAAGATCGCTCAGTTTGTAAGGAAAACAGGTTAAATTGTTGTCACTTTCAGGTAAATTACCCAGGCAATCTAAATTAAAGTGAAAAAAAAAACATAAAGTGAGTATATCTTATGAATTGTCGTTTATAACAAACGCACTTATTTGCTTGCGTAGTCGTTGCCTTTAATTGCTTTGAATTTGTTTCATATTATCTGTTTTTAATCAATTTATGGTATGCATACAATTCATTGCATTAAGTGGTACAGTGTGCGAGCAAATGTGAACACTTTTGGTGCAAGTTCATCAGAACGTGTTTTCAAGACTAGAAGTGCAGTTTGGGCACTGACAGAGTCTTAACCAATTGGTGGCTAAGCACACACGCAACATTCGGTGGTCAGTTTGGTGTGTGTACTTGCTTCTTTTTTTTGCTTTCGTACATCACAGTCTAACCATTTACGTCTATTTAGCTGTAATCGTTTCGAGGTATCGTAAATATGCATGGCTTCAATGTGGTTCGACTTTTTTGGTTCTGCGTTTTGCATTCTACAACCTTGGCGCTGTACCCTGTTCTGTAAGCATACATCAATCTGGATCACTTGTTGTATATCAAAACAATCACTTGAACTTGAAATTCACTCGTACAGCCCAATACGTACGTATGCACTTCAATTCTAAATGCTCGTCGTCATTCTGGTCGAAGCGATACTTTGTTTCAATTTCCCGTTGTGATTCAGTTTGAAATTCGTTCCCACTCTTCGTGCATTGTTCTTGCTTATACAGTACACGTTGCTTACACGCTTCATACTTACACATAATCGCAAGAAACACAACGATTGCGCTTACGCGAATAAGCTAAGCAGCACGGTTCAGCAAATACCCTCAACGGCCCACTGCTATAATATATATAAAATACGATTTTCCGTTTATTTTTTCTTTGATTCTTAAAGAAGCAGCGCGCGCACAACTCAAAATCATTTCATCCGTTCGACAGGTTTACACCTCAATCATAGATTAGTTTCGTTATTTTTTTTTTACTTCAAAGGTTTGTTCATGTGTTTTGATGTTCAATTATGCATTGTGTTTCAGTTTGAAATTAGCGCTGAACGGTTTTTAGATGTTTTCGGCTTGAAAACGATGTAAATTAAAAAAAAATTCATTCACTTGATCTCTCTGTGCAGTTTAGAACAAATCGACGACAATAAATTATAAACGCGTACAAACGCGCGCGAGGTGATCCGTTGAATGCTGTGGTATCTTTCAGCAGCGAGTACAAATGTAGTGTTTAAAATTAATTACCAATAAATCATTCGGTTGATCACTCGCGCGTGATAATAATACAACTGCAAGAATATACGAAATTTGAACAATTAGTGCAAGAAACAATGGCGCCAACGCCAGAAACATTCGGACCAGTAGTTCCAATACCGAATGACAATGCAAGTAATACGGGCTCACCGAAGAATCACTATAGAAATAAAGCATTTGTTCAAGATGAAGTGCTGGATAGCACAGCATCGCCACCAGTATCAGCACAAGTAAACGGTTTGATGCAACAAAACCGGTCAAATGCCGAAAACATATCGGATACATTGGATTTCGATGATATTTTGCCACACATTGGTGAATTTGGCACTTATCAGAAAATCCTCTTCTTCCTAATGATCCCATTCGCATTTTTCGTTGCATTCGTGTATTTTTCACAAATTTTCATTACACTTGTACCAGAAAAGCATTGGTGTCGAATCTTTGAACTAGAGCATTTACCCACCGAACAACGGTAAGTTTATTATCAATTTTTTTTTAAAATACTTTGTACTGAAACTTAGCTAAAGACAATTTAATTAAAATGTTAATTGCCCTATCTCAGTAATATGGTTAACAGTAATAATAATTGGTAATTTTGTTCGGCCATAACCATTAGACGTCCTTAACCAATGTGCATAACATCACTCGCAATTAAATGGGTGAACACAATGTATTTGTACGAATTGAGAGGGAGAAAATACTTGTTTTTTCTCGAAAAAGAATTTAAATAAAACAACATTACGCATTATTATTATTTATTTCACCGTCTAATCACAGACTGAATAACATTATACAATTCATTTACAATTTGACAAGCAGTGAGACACTCCCGAATCGAATAGCCTAGCCACCAGCCCTAATGACTTCGAAGTGGCGCTCTGCGGCCTCCGACCGTGACCACCACTATTCGCTATACATACAATTCTTCAAAAATACTGTTGTCTAAATTGGATACATTTCTACTAAATATTTGCCTTGATGCCGAGTCCAAAAACGATTGCTTCACTTTGTTAAAATTTCTACACGCTACAATAAATGGCTGATTACGAGCATAGTCCGTGCCATAAGTTTCAATTCTAACTAAATCCCTATTTCTTATATTTCTTTGGTTTCTGTTGTCTAATCGTCTCGTATATACAATTCTTTCTCTGAGCGCCGTACAAATCAACTTTCCTAGGAGGAGATCATAAATTAACAATACCGAGGCACTTATACGCCGCCTCCAAAGCGCTTGAATATTCAAATTATCACATCTAAATTGATACGATGGCAACCTATAATTAACATCTCTTTGGTAGATTCCTCTAAATGCCCAAATTAAAAAGTTTTTCTGAACTGATTCAACTTTGTCAATATATGACCGGTGGTATGGATGCCACACTACACTAGCATACTCTAACTTATACTACATAGTCACACAAACAGCATAATTGGTCAGAAGAGCTGCCTTTCGGTATATTGTCGTCACCGTCGTCGTTCTTGTTGCCACAAATGTGCAATGCACATCATTTCGCCATAGAAAAAATATCGATTGACATTATTGATAGGCTTTGGCTAGCTGAGTGTTGTCTCATTTTTGAGCCCAATCCATAAATGTTTACATGTGTTTTTGCGCATATTTTTTTTTGTTCAAATTGAGTAATTAGCAATTGGCGAGTGATTTTTTCATTGCTACCTAGCTGCAATTTGATTTTCGTCTGTCTGTGCACAACCTCAATTCAAATGGTAATTCAGATTCTGCACCATGAGCCGGTTATTTACGATACCAACCGTATGCTTGCACACCAATCACTCAAATTTAGCACTGCTATCAATGAAACGAGCGAAAAAAAACAAGTTTAAAATTAAAAAAAAACACAGAGAATATAGCGTTTTTTAGCGCTAGACAATGTTGTGCACTTTATTATTACAAAGCATGAACAATTATTTATATGCCCATTGAAAAAAAATTTTACAACCGTCGTTAGAAACAAAAAAAAACAGCAAACTGCAAGAGTATTCGGTGTCCATCCCAATTAAAGTTCATTACACAGTGTACACATTTAATAGCCGTTGATTGCATTCACATTTATCTAATCTATTGTTGCTCTGCTGGTTTGCATCAATCCATTGCACCGTTCAAGTTTCGTCATCGTCGGCCGGTTGTGTTGCAATTCGAATTCTACCTTTTTTGCCAACATATAAAACTAGGCTTTTGATTATAATCTGACTAATGATTTCTCAACGAATTAGCAGTTGAAATGCAACGAAACAACATTAGCAAAGCATAAAAAAAGCAGAACGTTTCTACACGCAGTTTCGCACGATTCCTGCTGAATAAAACACAAAAGTGCGTGGTAGTGATGAATCTGACGGTGTAATAATTTATTATTATTACTGAATATATTCTAACACTGTTTCGATGTCAATGAGCATGAGATCGTCGGAGAAAAAATTGCGCTACATGTGGATCTCATTGAAATTCCATTCAAATTTGAAACAAACACACACGAAAAAAAACCAGCCGAACAATAAAATTACCCTATGATTAGAGATGGAGAGGCGAAAAAAAATGCGAGCAATTTAGTGAATGCCGTTGATATATCTTCTTCTGCTTCATTCACAAACGCTTCTGCTCTCAATGCACATAAATTCTGTGAGATCGATGGTCATAAAAACGCACAGATGCTTTTGCTGAATGAATGATTGAATGCATATTTATGAGATACTCGTTTTTGATTAAAAAAATTAGAAGCTGATGACCTGCTACCGAATCACTCACATTGACTACCAACCAGCCATACGATCAATACTGTGAGAGTAGCGGCACATTCAAACATGGTGTTTTAATTGCGTTCACCTTGCTTTACGACGATTCCCAAGTACTGTAAATGAATTCAAAGGCATTTCTTGTAGTATCTCTTTGTGAAATAATAAAAATGTTCGTGACCTTTGTTACCTATATATTGTAACACGCACCATCAGATCGATGGTCGTTTACCGTGTGTACCAACATACGCGCACCAATCAACCTTGATCTCTAACGGAAATACAGATTGAATATCAAATCAAACAAATCATCGAAATATTGTTATTCAATTTTACTCTCAAAATTCTGCTTCGTAATCACAACAACACCATTTAAAAAATAAACCAACAAAAAATAATTAGAATTTTACGGAAGTCTTATGAATACATTTTTTATTCTCCCTCTGTGTCTCTTGAAATCATGTCATTTGTTGCTTGTTATGGATTTTGCTTTGCTGCTTGACTTAACAGCGGAACCGAAACAGAAAACAAAATGTGTATGATGGTATTATATTGCGCATAGAACTTACATTTGATCTGGGCGATTTGTCGGAATGTTAAATGAAAGGCGAGTCCGATGATGAAAGTTACATATCGTGGCAGAACATAGAAATCAAGAGAGTTGATTGCACAAGGACGTTTCTGCTATTTTTTTGAGAATATTAACACAAAAAGGTGAAAAAAATCAATCATGATAAAGTCGTCGACCGACTGACGACGGATGCAAAACGATTTAATCAGAGAATACAGAAGAGACCAATTTATCTTTATTACTTTTGTAACGTTCAAGGAAAAACACAATTCAAATCTGATTTGGTTTCGATTTGTATCTGTTAAATTTTCTGATTTTTAATTTGTTCTTCCTCACAGATTGTTATTGGGTATTCCACTAGATGAAAGTAGTATTAATGGCCATAGTAGGTGCTCCATGTATGCGGTGAATTTCACACAAATTCTGGCCGATGGCGTTACAAAAGCTGATCCCAATTGGCCGACAGTGCCATGCCAAAATGGATGGGAATTCGATAAGGAGGAGCTACCGTATACAACTATTTCTACGGAGGTGAATGCCCTGTCCACTTATTTAACTTGATTTTTTGTTGTTGCACAAAATGTTCTCTGATAATATGTTGGTGTTGTTTTCTAGCTCGAATGGGTGTGTGATAAGGCAGCATTGCCGTCGTTTGCTCAGTCAATATTTTTCTGCGGTGCCATTGTAGGAGGTCTTTTATTTGGGGTGATTGCCGATCGGTATGGTCGAATACCGGCATTGGTTGGAACTAATATGCTTGGATTTATCGGTGGAATCGCAACAGCCTATTCGTTTGATTTTATCTCATTTGCTTTTTTCCGTTTTATCGTCGGGTTTGCATTTGATAATTGTTTTACTATGATGTATATTCTAGGTGAGAGTTGATTTGATTATATTTCATCACTTTATTTAAAATCCATTGAATTGATTCAAAATTCTATTTTCACCCGTCATAGTGTTGGAATATGTTGGTCCAAAGTGGCGTACATTTGTTGCGAATATGTCGATAGCGATATTCTTCACGATTGCTGCATGCATGTTGCCATGGATTGCGATATTCCTTAAAAATTGGCAATTATTAGCGATAGTCACATCGGTCCCATTGGGTTTATCACTATTGACGCCATGGCTTGTGCCCGAATCGGCCAGATGGTTGGTTTCGCAGGGTAAAATAAAAAAAGCCGTTAAAATTCTTCGGAAATTCGAGAGGATCAATCGCACCGAAGTGAAACCAGACATTTACGATCGATTCGAAAAGAGTTGTACGCGACTACACAAAGAAGAAACGGCCAACAGCAATTATTCAACGATTGATTTATTCCGAAAGCCACGCCTAAGACAAATCACTATGCTATTAATTGTTATTTGGATGGCAATATCGCTGGCTTTTGATGGACATGTGCGAAATGTTGGCGCCTTAGGCTTAGATGTTTTTATCACATTCACGATTGCAGCAGCCACTGAAATGCCAGCCGATGTTCTGCTAACATTTACGTTAGATATTGTGGGTAGACGTTGGTACGCTTTTGGCTCAATGGTTTTGAGTGGCATTTTCAGTTTATTATCAACAATATTCCCGATTGGCATATATTCGGCACTGATGGCGATCATTGGCCGGTTCTGGATTAACATCTCGTATAACATTGGACTGCAATATGTAGCTGAAGTACTTCCGACCGTTGTCAGGGCACAAGGAGTCACATTCATTCACATTATGGGCTATGTGTCCAGTATTATTGCACCATTCGTCGTCTACTTGAGCTACATTCATCTCACGTTACCGCTCATTATTTTGGGTGTAATCGGCATCTTTGGCGGTATACTATGCCTATTCCTGCCCGAAACACTCGACGAAGAATTGCCACAAACTCTCGAAGATGGCGAAAAGTTCGGAATGAACCAACGCTTTTGGGATATTCCATGTTTCAAAAGGTCAATTCTTCTATTCTTTTTTCATATTCTAAACGAGAATCATTCGCATAATCTTCCCTACTATTAGAATGAATTGCCATCAAATTAAATAATAATCGATGAATTGTTTCTCTTTCCTATTTTTTTTTTTTTTTTGAATGATTACAGAAAAGTCAAGGATGAACCAGACACTTGCGGCTTTGAACGAGCCACATCCAGAATATCGGTTGGTGCGTCTTTGCGCGCTTCATCCCGTGCCGAAATCGGTTCGAATTTACTTCATCGATCCGTCAGCATTCGACGGTCGACGAAAGCCACACAATGCCCGCCACTTGAAGGTCTCCCAAGCAACTAACTCTGTAAACACACATTTTATTTATATTACAAATATATATTTTTATATTAATTTGATTTTTTTTAATAACAAATAGTGTGATAATAAACCACCTGTTGTGGGTTTCATATTCAATTAAATCTTGTGTTTACTTTTTGCTACCGTGAAAACCTCAAAGAAATTCCATTACCTTTTTATCAAAGCGAATTTGTAATAGTTGTTGAAATCCATTCAAAATGGCACTAGATAAAAGCGAAGGGCATCCATATATAATCAACGAAAAAAAAATATGCTCAACAATACCACATTGGGTTAAGTATAACGTAAAAGATTTTAATTTTCATTTATAGTATCGTTTTGTGACCTTCAGCCACAAAGCCTAAACACCATCGATCAATCTTAAAAATTAATTCGAAAAACACAAGTGTTCAATGCTGGTGTTTTAAACAATGGAATATCAATTATTTAAAAGGCCATACAAACTACGATGAAATTTGAACATTTAACGTCTCTTTCGTCCGCCAAACCGTTTCTTTGGATCCCGTTCGCCAGCGCCAGCTTTAGGCTTTCTTCCAGATGACTTTTGGAATTTTCCTTTGCTTTTTCCTCCTTTACCTTTTTTGCCTTTCTTTGCTGGTTCACCCTTGAATTCTCTTCTAGAATTCACATTACAATTGGTTTAATTGAGCGATAACAATTATTCAATGAAAGAAAAAATGAATTAAAAAAAAATAATGACTTACTCTTCTCGCGCCTCACGTTTTTGCACCGAAATCGCTTTATCATCGTTAATTTTGGATTTTTTGCTCAGCACACTGTTGATCAATTCTAAATTAGCAATTTTTTCATCGCCGTCTGTAATGTGTGATGCCTTGCGCTTAGCGCCAGGTATGAGCTCTTTCACGCCAATGCCACGGGCCGTTTTTTCTTTTGGTAATTTGCCTTGGAATTTGCCCACAGACGCCGTCGATGCTTTTGCTATTGTTGATGCTACTTGCAGCTGTAATTAATTAACAAACAATAACAATTATTATCATGCGAGACGATCACGTGAATTATGATAATAAAGTAGCATGTAAATGACCCTAATTGATGTAAGCGTTTGTGAAATTCTAATAATTATTCATTTAAAATAATTTTGAACGTGAAATTATTCCATTTTTGATACAAATTAAGAAGAGATACAATAAAAATCTAAATATTTGGCCCAAATATTGATAACCAATTCTTTGTTATTTTTTTCGATCACAAAAACTGATTTCATGTTGAACGACATGCTATAAATTAGCTATTGTATTCAGATGAAATCAATTGCACATTGAATTAAAATATGCAGTTCATGGTTAATCAAATGCATAACTTACGTCTGATGATGTAGCTGTGTCTGGTCCTAAGTAACCTGTTCGTGGGATGGCACCTTTTTTCGCTTTCACAATGTTTCGCATGCGTTTTATTTCATTTTTCGCAACATTGTCAGCTTTCGCGTTGGCTTTCTTAGCAAATTGATCCTCCATTGGATCGGCATTTTGTGGTACTTCAAGAACCCAGTCTTTTTCCCGTTCAGCTTGTGCTCTCTTGAAACCGTACGTTGGAACCCATTTCTAGGCAAAAAACAAGAAAACAAACCAATCTTGATAAGTATTCAATGGTCAAGTTGAATGTAATCTGTATGCATACATCGAGGTCTTGATCAAAGACTTTTTTGTCTTTCTTCGTTTTCTTAATGCCCTTCTCCAATGCGAACTTTTCCCATTTGGTGAGTGGTTTTGGCACTGGACACTTTCTTGATCTTGGCAATACAAATGATGGTGCTGGCAATTTGGCAACAATACACTCTTCAACACGTTCGGTTGGCTGTTCCCACAATTCATTGACTAACAACTGAACATTTTCACGCGTCAAATCGGCCAGGTATTGCTCTTTGTTTTTCCTGCAAATGAAAATTGAACATTGTACAAATTCTGTCTGGAATGACCACGATGCGAAGGATAAAATCACTCTCATACTTTAGCTGTTTCTCGTCCAAATCATTTGGATCGGAGCATAACAGATATCCTAAATCAACTTTTGCCTCCAAATGCTTGGTCACTTCAATCGATTTATACTTCTCCACCTCACGTTGCTCCTCTTCCAACACGCGCTTCACAATATCCATATCTTGCGTTTTATTATCTAAAAATTCAATTGAATCAACTTTTAAGCTCTGAGCACCGACTGTGTGTATCGGACCGACTTCAAAATACTCTCCGATGCATACACACGTGTTCTATTGACAGTTTACTGTCACATGTGTGTCACATTCAATCATCTTACTTTTCTTTACGTTTCAAATATACGCCCTATACATATCAGCTTACCCACTAAATAGGGCATCGAATTATATATTTTGATGAAATTCTCGTATACAAAAAGCATTAGAATTGCATTTTAATCGAATCAATGTTTTATTTGCAATTTGAATTTTAGATTTTTATGTTAATATCGTGTGTTACGCCTCGCACATCTGGCAACACCTGCATTTTAACATGCAATATATTAATATTTTTTTTAAATTCAAATACTTTTATCACCACTGATTGATGGCATTGATTCAATTTTGAGTAGATCAAAATCATTTTTCAAAGAAATTTTCTGATCCATATGAGACATATTTTCCTGAAATCGTTCATCCCTTACGTAGAATCTAGCCTTTGCGGTAATACAATAATTTTGGTACTTTGCTCGTACTTCGATTGGTCGTAGATAATTTTTGACGTTTTCTAATGGAATAATCGGTTTTCCTTGGATAATCATAATTTTCTTCGATTTGTTTCTGTACTTGTTTTTCCAACATCATTTATTTTCTTCGAAGCATGTTTTGTTTCGATATTGGATTTTGAAAATGGATATAATCAATAACCGAATGTCCACGCTGAAAATAATTCCCTTCTCGAAATTTATTGAAAGAATGTGATTCGTTGTCTGCACCCTAACAAAATTCAAATTGACGAACACAAAAAAAGCGCAAAAAGTTCAACAATTTCAAAAGTTCACATTGCGATCATTTAATCTTTTTCAGAATAATTGAAAAAATACTTTAAAACATTTCAAACGTATAAAATTTACGTTAAATCCGCTGCGAGCTCGTTGTTCGTGTGATTACGAATTACGTTTGAGTGGTGGTGTGCATCGGGCAGCACTTATGTTGTTCGTAATATTTTCCTGTATACCCATTCCGTACCATCATTCAATATGCTAAAGAAAGTGTTTCTAGACGGCCATTTTGATAGAAAAATTTCTTTCTAAAACAAAAAGCTTAAAACTGTTCATAAAATCGCGAAAAAAATCCAAAAATCCACCCAAATCAGGTAAATATAATGATAAATTTTTGTTAATAAATCAGTTGATATGTTTTAAATATCCGAAAATGGATTTAGTTTGTGGGCAAAGTGTTGAAATTGGCAATAAAACATGAAAGGAAAGCGTAATAGCTGGCATCAGCACACCAAACAATAAAAACACATTCATATTTAATCGGAAATGAAGAAAAAAAAAATCCATCGAAATTTTAAAGTATTTGTGCATTTTTTGTTCGTTCTAAATTACGGTTTGATGCCAGAAATTGCACCGTTTTTGCGATCAATCACATAAAATCGACGCAGAAAAAAGATATCGAACGATTTGACGTCTAATGGGTTTTTTTTGTTCTCAGTAATACGCATCGTTTAGCATTCATTTGAGCTATAACTTTAGTGGTGGCAATTGCAATTAAAATCGAAATATTCTAGCCTTTTATCGCAGTATGCCATGACGATTTGAAAACATTAGATATAAACGAGAAATAAAATGTTTTTTGGGCGTTTATTACTTTTGTTTTATCGTAGAAGCCGACCAATTAGCCAAATAAAGACTTGACCAAATAATGACATTGGGTGACACAAGCATTATAGCGTTTTTATATGCGGTTTAGAGTACGATTTTTTTTCCATTTGAAGCCGCTTTCTCATTTTTGCAATACAATCAACATTTTGGTTAGGTTTATTTTCTCTTCTGTTTGCCAATTTTTTATCTAATTTGTAATTCGTTGTTTTTGGTGCGTTCTCTTTCTTTTTAAAGGTTAACATCACAGAAACGTTCGACGGGATTATTACGAATTGAGTCCAGAGAGAGACAGAGACAGACGTTGAACGTTCAGTTTTCAGCAAGACAGAAATTTATTATAGATTTGCTTTTGGTTTAAGAAAGAACTCAGGATTGAAATCAGTTCAAAATGGCGTGTGCAACATTGAAGAGAAGTCTGGATTGGGAGTCGCTGAATCAACGTCCCACAAAACGTCGTCGTTGCAATCCATTTACCACCACTAGTGGAACGCCACAAAATTCAAATGCTCAAGCTGCTAGTGCAAAAGTGACAGAACCAACACAATCAGCGTTTGCCGACGCAACACTCTCGAAGTTAACACCAGGTACGACAATTGCATTTACTAATGTGGTTTTTTGTTTTCCGTTTTGTTTGCTCAGTGCACTAGCACTACTACTAAGTCAATAAAATAACGTTTTTGTGTTCGTTTCTTTTCGAAAATGTGTAGAAAAAATGGCGCAAAACATCCGCGAGGAAATCACACGTTTGCATCGGCGAAAACAATTGAACTTCACGTATCACAATGTTGAGAGAATGCAAGACTCCGAATCAAGTGGTTCTGAAATGGGACCGGACAGTCCACGTCGCCCAGATACACCACCAAATCTGCGAAACCCGGAAAAAGGTCTTTTCACGTTCAAACAGGTAACACCAAACACCACGTTCCAAATCAAGCACATGAATGAGACCACCATTTTTGTGTGCTCTTTTGTTTTTCTAAAATTCAACCACTGCTTTCAATCCGAATGCAATTGAAACAATAAACTCTTTTGTTCACACAGGTACAAATGATATGCGAAAGCATGCTGAAGGAACGAGAGGACTCGTTGCGTGAACAATACGATGCTGTTCTAACCACAAAATTAGCCGAGCAATACGATGCATTTGTGAAATTCACATATGACCAGATACAAAGACGTTTTGAGGCAGCTCCCAGCTGTAAGTACAAATAATCTTGCACACATTCTCGTTTGGCCGCTGTTCAGTTGAATTAAAATTAACGTTTTTTTTGTGTGCTTTGTTTGCTCATTTCAGATCTGTCTTAATGCGTAATTCATCAACTCATCGAAAATCACAGTTCTTTTTTTTTTCTTCGAGTGTGTGAATGTGTGCTATCGAAACGCGTCATAAATATGAAACATTTTGCTTAAAAATCGTCAGAAAAAGTAAAAAAAAAAGTTCGACAAAAACTAAATCATAATTTCGAGTAATGAAAAGACAAATAACATTTGGAAATTGACAGCTTCAGATCGACACAAAGAGAGAAAGAGAAAGATACACATAGAGATTAAACATCAAATTTAAGGAGAACATTAAATTGAAATGTGTTTTACGATTTAAATGAATCGATTCTATGTACTTTACGCAAAACCAAGCCCATTTCTCATTCTCTCTCTCCCTTTGTGTCCTGAAACTGAACACTACATTTTGAATTGCAACAACAACAAAAAAAGAGAAAAAAAAATAACAATACGCAAAACAAACACACTCGCCAATGTGTGCCAGCATAACTGCAAATGCGATCTCCACTGGACCAAGTGGAACGCATCAAAAGGATTAAAAATATAAATTAATAAGAATTTGCAAACCAAATTATTATTAATACATATTATGCAAAAAAAAAACAAAATAGTGATTAAGATAAAACGCGCATAAACTAAATATTGTTTTATATTTTAAACACATAATTATACAACCATTTCGATAATGTCAAAGAAAGAAGATTTAGAGGAGCTAAAGAGTAACGAAAAGAAAAATGCCAGGAGCAAATCGAACTTTAAGATTATGCAAAATTAAACTACTACATTAATTCAGCATTTCAGTAAATATAAAACAGAACGAGAGTAATTTGCGAATACTATGAAATAAACAAATAAAAAAAAACACAAAGATAAAAGCAACGCGTACGGAAATCAAATTCTATCTAAACGAATGAAAGAAGAAAAAAAATCATTATTATCGCGTATGACAAAAGAACAAGAGAAACTCGAATACTGAACGTTGAACAGCGAATTGAGTTTTTTTATACACTTTTCTTCTTCGGTTTTAAATAATATAGTATTCTCGATATATGATTACACATTTTTTTCGCGATTTTTGAATACTTTAAGGAAAACATTCAAGCAATCATTTACATTTTCTTTTCGTTCTGGACGCGACGTTGTTATTTGAAAAGAAATTTGAATTTTGGTTTAGTTTTTTTTTTCTTCTTCATTATGTTTTCAAATTTTCGGGTAAAAAAAATCTTTTTGTTATTACATTAAAATTAAGGATGATTTAAAAAAAAAAGTGGAATACGCCTAGAAAAAGTTTCTTTTGCAAAGAATCAATTTTGAATCGAAATAATGAGAAACTCACACACACACAAACAAACAAACAAAACAACAAGCAAAAACCAACATAACTTTCATACAATTCTCCGATTACTTTTTTTTTGTTCTCCGTAGCTCATCATTTTCAAATCATAATCGCATACGTTTTAGTTGACCGCTTCTCGTAGCGAGGATCAAGTATAGCAACACACGGAATATTTGTAACAAAAACGATTTCAAATTATGTATAAAAAAAAAACACACACAAGCGAAATGATGAGATGTACTAAAATTATTGTACGAAAATCCTTGAAACAACACGATCGAACACATTGTCAGAAATGTAAAAAAGTGAAAAACGTTGCGTTGTACATAATGAAATCATTATGGAAACAGAAAATAAAGTTAGAATTCCAATAAAAAGTAACGAATGCGTTTTTTTCTATCACTTTATTGCAACATTTAATTTATTTTTTTTTTTGTTAAATTAAATCTTTGATTTTGGATTGGGTAACCAGATAACAATGGGTAAAATATTTCTTTTTTAAGATAACAAAAATTGATTCCAACAGGAAGAATAAACAGTGGAATCGTTAACAATTTGATGAGGTCTAAGGCACATTATTATATGAGGAAATTTCGAACAAAAATCTCGAGTTAATAAAAAACAAAACAATTTGAACTCGTTGGGAAATTTCATGCACTATGAAAATCGATCGGTTTACAATTCCGTTCCTCCAGACATTAAGAGAAACAAATCGGTTGGCAAATAGTTATTTCAGAATATAGTAATTCTTCTACGGGAAAAGCAGTACATTCAATTCTAAAATGCCTGCATTTTGAATGTTCGATTTTCGATATTTGAAATTTCCCAGCTTAGCTCGAATATGTTGATGTGCTGATATAATCCTCCTCCGAGTAATCAATAGGTGGTTTGTTGGTTTCATTTGATTTTGCTCGATTCAAGTGTAAATATGTCATTTGATTCAAACGAGTACGTGCTCAAATGGCCCACAAAATGAAATTGCAGGTACATCGACTATGTCTGCTTCAATTTGCAATCGAAATAATAATAATAAACGTGAGCTATTCTCGGTATATTTTCTATGTAGATTAATTTAGTTGTTATTTTATTCTTCTTCTTCTTCTTCTTTTTTTCCAAATCGTAATATCAGTTGAAATTTTTGCAACACCGCGCCAATTTGCGTGTGTGAAATGCATTTCATTCGCCTAAACTACATCACTACAAATTCAAGTAAAAATAGAAATATAATTAATTATCTTTTGTGGGTGAGGTAAAACAATCAAGAGATTTCCCGTAAACGAACAAAAAATAGAGAGAAAGAGAGAGAGAGAGAGAGAGAGAGAGAGAGAGAGAGAGAAAGAATATCTACTTTGCCTAACATCTATCGCGTAAAAGTCATTCAGGGAAGAGAAATTATGGTGTGCAATAAAATTGATGATTTTTATGAATGTAAGGCACGAACACGTTGCATTTCTAAGCCTAGTACAGAAAAAAAACGAATTATTTTTTGAATGATGATATGTCGTTGTGCGATGTTTTAGTGCTTGATTTGCATAGAGTAGTGTATGGTTTAAACTTCATTTGCTGTTGCTGTGGCTGCTGCCGCTGTTGCCTCGCGACTTTTGCTGCGACTTCGGAACCGTTTTCGGTACCATTTTTTCTTTTTGTCTGTGTTCTCTGTTCCTACGCTACTATCAGATTCAGCCGACAGCTTGGCACTGCTTGGCGAGAGTAATTTTTTAAACCATTTTGTTTTCTTGTATTTGGTTGGTGTTGGGCTTGAATTCATGGAATTGTTCAATGATAGAGAGCTGTGGCAACGTTCGTTTTCTTTATCGAGTATGTTATCGGTGACGCCCAGTGTCCACATCGATGACGAAATCGTTGATTGTGAACCAATCTTTGGTAGATTGTTCCAAAATTTCTTGATGCTAGTCGGTGTGTTGGGTGACGATGACTTTGGAGATTTGTCCTTGCGTTTTTGCTGTTTATTATTTAGTGTTTCAGAGTCATAACGATTTTGAATTGTCGCATGTTGCGGTTGCGGCTGAGACTCAATAGATGCCATTGTCGATGGGCTATCGAATTCGGTGATGGTTATTCTGTAGGGGAAAAAAAACCAAAAATCAATTTCCGGTTTTGCAACACAAATCACATCGATTTTCCAATATCATTTGAGAGCATACTTACCTCGGCATATTGGCTAAACTGGAATTTCGATTCATCGGCACACTCTGAATAGATTGGTACAATTTATGCCAGAAATTGAAGTATGCTGTGGTTTCTCGGTACCTTAATATGAAATAATATTGAAGTGACGCCGGCACTGTGCAACTTTCATTCATGCATGGAATGATTTTGCGTTTACGTTGCTCGATACCGAGCGCCTGGGCAAATTTCACGAAAAACGTATTTGCCAAACTTTCAAAAAATGCCTTTGAAAAGATCACAATCAACCGATCACATCGCTCAGATATCATCCGCATGATGGCGTCACTCTCGAACGTTCCACCAATCAAATCTCGCTCTTTCAAACAAAGCTGCAAACATACAAATGCAAAAATAAAGAACACACAAAGGCGGACGGAGAATGAAAAGAACGTTCGTTCGTTATTCATTAAAGCAAATTAGCATTCAATGTCATATGGGCATATTCAAAGTGATTTAATTACCTTTAAGTTATACTCGGTTTCCATTTTCGTAAGTATTTCGGTGGCGAAATTGATATCGTTATCAGAGTCAAACAATAAATAAGCGTCGTATCGTTGTGGCGGTAAACCCATCTTTGCTCGGTGTAAATCGTCATGTGTTAATAGTTCAGATTCATCTAATGCCGGACACTCCTTCATTTCCATTGTTTTGGTTTTGTTGTCCACACTTTTGCTTTCCTTTAGTTTTGCAATTTCATTCAAATACATTTTTGCGTCTTCAACTGTAAAATGCAATATGAGCACGTTTCAACGTAAATATTGTGGCCAGAAATAGTGTGAGATTTTTTTCTTTGCAATTTTGGAGGCTGTACATTATTTGCGAAAGGCGAAAAAAGAAACTTACCAAAATAATCGTTTGTATCGTCGACAACATCCCATCGATCGATATTGCCGAGAATAGTTTGTAAATTTCCTAATGTAGCGCTGGTTTTACGTGTATTCATCCATAAGTCAAGCACCTCCTTCATTTCATCGGATTTCTGTTGCACTGTATTCACTACATCACTCAGGCCAATGCTATTGAGAACGCCGCGCCAATCACGTGGAGCACCGTTCTCCGATAAAATCACTTTAATTGCATTCAACCGTTTTGATAGTAGATCGCGACTTTTTGTTCGCAATACCGATATCGGAATCTCATCCAAATTGATGACATTGTTTGACAAACATAGGAAATTTCCATTTGTTTGATCGTTATGGCTGAAATATTCAACAGCCGAACTATCGATGACCTGATAGTTGTTGTTCTGTTCATCCGAATAAAGTGTTAATGTCGGCCTATTGTGAATATTATTGTTGAGTGCTTCATCGCTGATGATTATTGTCGGTGGTTGAATATTCTCTACATAATTGCTCGAACCAATCATAATAAACGCGTGCAATTGCTGTTAGTTTTGCGTCGGGGTTCAATTAAATTCAATTTAAGGCTTTAGGCTAACAGTCGAAGCAGTATTGCGCATAATATACGTTTGGCCAATGAGAATCACACGGTACGAATATCTGAAACATGACAGAGAAAATGAAAAAAAAAATGAGAATGAGAAGAGGAAAACACAGAAGAATAAGAAAAATGTAATATAAGCGAGAGAAGATGTTCTATTGTATTTGATTAGTGTACTATTTATATGTTCACATGTACACAACAGGACTGAATGTGATCGAAGAGCTAGGAAATTGTGAAATGAGCGGATTCTATCGCTTTGCCTCACTGCGTGCGTGAACTGTGAAAAGAAATGGGCAATAGGCGCTCAATAATGTTCGTATTAAGCAAGTACGTGTCCAGTTGAACGTCGATTGTTTTAATCATTTTGCTCAATACACGAGGCAGAGCAGTAACAACAACAGCACAAATCAACACAAGGATACTCGCACAACGGTGCGGCCCAGAACGGGTGAAGTGAGCAAATGAAAAATTGGAAAAAAGTTTACAACACGTTCCAAAAGCAGCGGGGAAAAGTACCGGAATAAAATGTCGACGTTGTGCAGCTTAAGTGCGGAAACTATAAAACATTATCAATATCTCTATGTCTCTATCTCTCTCTCTTCGTTGCGTTCGAACCAATTTTTTGTCTAAGCCCAAATGATTATGTGCATACTTTTTGATGCCTTTAATTCTGATATTCTTCTCTTTTTGGCACTTTTTGTTGATTTCGAAAATTGATTTAAACACCGTCTGTAATTGATTCGAAAAGTAGAACCAATAAACTGTCCAGAAAACTCTTATTCGTTCCGTGCTCTGAAATAAGTTCTTTTTTTCCAATTTCAAACGCCTGATAACAAATTGTTTTGTTTATTTTCATTAAGTGAAGGTTACGACTGTATGCAGTGTGTTGTGTGTGTGTATGCTTCATTTGTGATCTGCTCTATAGAGAGCTGGGCTCCTTTTTTTCTCTTCATCTACATGATTTTACTTGCTCAATTCTGTTCCTGTTTTCTATACAATTTATGTCGTTTCACACTTGTAATTGACGTTGATTGTTTTTATTGTTTACTATTTATTTAATGTTTCATTTTAATTTGTGGAATTTATTCAATTCATTTGGCAGAACGCGCGTTGTGCCAAAACAATGGCAACGCCAAAAATATCGACCAATTCTTCTTAATTTTTTCTTGAAATTTTTTATCATCTTTTGTACATTTTTTTCTCATTTTTTTCTTTTTCATCCATTGTATTCGCTTATCAACGTCAAGAAAGAAGTGGGCAAATCTTGTGGTTGTCTGTATGGGTTTTTATTTTTTCAGCCTTCTTCTTCTTCTTTTATTCTACACCACAATAAAAACAAGAGAATTTACAGTCCAAATATACGCACAAGTTCAATCCAAACTAAAATTCAAATCAATACACAACAACAAATATGCAAATTGTGGTGAAACGTAACACTCAACCAATGAAACGACAAAAGAAATACCAAGTGAAATTTTATTGATATAGACTGTCAATCATTAAAATTGCAACACACGAAAAGTAAAACAATAGTTTACGTTAAAAAAAAATTAAACAACAACAATAAAAAAAGACATCTGACGGTTTCGATGTATGGATCCGTAATGTGTGTTATGGTTGGTGGTGATTAACACACACTTGTTGTACTCGTGTATTTGAAGTAAAGTGAGTAATGTCAAATCAGCAGCTGTCAGTCGAACTTACGTATTTTGTTTTGACAGTGGAATGACAATCGTTTCACCAAGCTCGCAAAATATTAGCATACAGAAAAAAAGTAAAATTTCTGCTACTTCTGCTACTCCGTTTTGTCGTGCTGTTGTGTGAAATGTTTTTTTTTTCTACAGTAATCCTCAGCTCGACTTTCTTATCACTCGACCGTTTTTTTCCATTCAAAAATAAATGAATATATAAAAATATAATTTATTGCACTTGGTGTTGTCTTCACTTTCATCAAATGTGAATAGCAACAACAACATTGAACAGCGCTCGGCACATTTAATGCGATTGGAATGCGTTGATTCGTTCGGAATCTGCGAAACAATTTGTTTGTTTACTATGAAAGTTACGTCCGAATAAAAAATGAAATTCATTTTGACTAAAAACTCGCCACATTTCTCTCTCTCTCTCTCTCTCTCTCTCTCTCTCTCTCTCCCTGTCTCTCTCTTTATCTCTATATTTGTCATATTGTTTTGCGTGCGCGCAAGACATTCCCACATTTTATTTCCATGAAAATACCGTTCAATTTGCACGAAGCACATTTCAATAAAATTGATAACATATTTTTATAATTTTTATTAGAAAATTTTTGGGAAAAGTGAATTTCATCACATCGCTATTACATCATTGGAAAATATTTGTTGTTATGGCTGCCGATTATTTAATAAATTCTTTATTTTTTAATTTGGTAATCGGGAATTGATTATAAAATCGGTATGGAAACAAGTGATGTTGTTCATCTGGGTTGAAAAAATGTATGATATTTTCGGTTACGAACAACGAACATGACATTGCAATTATTTTTTTTCGGTTGTTTGTTCGATATTACCCAGTGTGCACAGTGACAAAAGTGTTTTTTTTTGCTATTAGGCGGACGAGAAAGTCAAGCTGATCCATTTCAACGAAATACATTAGATATACAAACAGAGATTATGACAAAGATTTGGCGATTCGTCACGGAGTTTATATTTTTCCATCTTCTTCTTCTTCTTCTTCTTCTTCTTTTTTGACAAAAAAAAACTTATGTTAACATCTCAGTGACCCAGTCTTAAATGAATTCTACTTGTTTTTGGCACATGTCGAATAGTTAATGATATGCGCCGATTGCGTTCAACGGTTCCGCCAACTCGATTTTTTAGTTCGTCACAACATTGCTCGAGATTCGCTAGATCCGGGGTGATTATGTCGTGCGTTTCATTGGCAATTGAATGTAAATACTTTTTGTACATGTCATCTTTAAGTATCAAAAGACTACGCGGTTCGATGAGCAGCTGGCAGGCGTGTTTTAGCTTACATCGTTGATCGATTGTGATGTCACCACAATTTGTCGGAATCATTGCGGTATCGCGGTTGTTGTCGCCGTCGCCGTCGCCGCCGTCGTTGTCTGCATCGTGAGAGTCGGTTTCGTGGAATCTTAAAATCGTATGCGAACCACATGAGATTGTGCAGATAACCGGATGGAATAATGGGCCATCGGAATGTGCCATTATTCCCTGACCCGGCAAATATTCATTCACAAGCACATGATTTGCTTTCACTTGATTGAAAATACCTAAAATGTGGCCAAGCATTTTGTATGGGTGAGAGAGATAGAGAGAAAACACAAAATAGACGAAATGCTCTTTTGACACTCTTAATTTGATCTAAACACATACCGATATTATTCACAGCCGCTACTTTGTCTTTTAGCCAATTTGGAAGTTCTTCGGCGATCATGCCATTTTTGTGTGGTACCCCGCCGTAATTTATCAATCGTCGATTGGATAGTTGTGTCCATTTTGGTTTCGGTGTATTTTCAATTTGTCGCAGTATTGATTCTTCCTCTTGTTCGCTCAAAAAAGATGGAATATAGAACACAGAAGGTGGACACTGCAAATGAAACAACCGAATAATTGTTAGTTTTTACTCAACGCTCATCCCATCGCATCGAACAAATATGTCTCAAAATGTTTGATGTGAATCAAAATGTAATGGAATATCAAATGTAATTACATTGTCGACCTTAAAACGGGTGAAATCCATTTGAAATGGTTAATATTCGCCGATATTCGGTTGCAAAGGAGAAACAATTCTATAAAATTAGAATCACATCACTGACAATGTGGAATAATAACAAAAACACCGCTTCGAAACTTTACGTTTGGACTGGCGTTTTGCTTATATATATGTATGCGAGTTGTTCTACATGCAATGACAGATGTCACTGGTTTGACGTTGTGTATTAACGTGTTTTGAATTCTGAAATGCGCTCCGATTTGAAATGCGGGCCAGTGTGCTTCTTTAACGAGAATTTTTTTTCTCTCTCTCCCTGTGTTTATTTTTTGTTTTCTTGAGTCTTCGGTCATAATGAATATTTTAATACTACAACTTTAGTATAATTAGATGTTACCGTTGAAAGCAACGATTTGAAGTTTATGAGTTGCTGCTTAAGTATTTATAGAAGTTTCTTCAATAAAATGTCGACGAGTAGCAAGCTCATCCAAAGCCCGAAATGGTTGTTTTTCACTGTTGTTGTTTTTTCTTCTGTTATTCTTCGGGCAAAATTTCATAAATGTGACACTGAGACTTGATTATAAAATGTTGATACTGGATCACAAAACAAGCAATACTCGGATGTAGGTACGAAGGAGAGAAACTCAAGATGTTCCACTCTAGTGTGGTGTATGGCCAAAAATAAAAGCAAAACAAAAAATCCTACACAAATGAATTATTCAATATTCTCTGTCAGTTTTTTTTACTGCATGTTTCTCGAACGTAGCTGGATCTTCTGTATTTACCGACAAACATAAACTTGTGGCGTTCATGTGAGTAAATCATATTTTGAAATCCATTGGGATACTTAATTATGCATCGCAATCATTTTTTTTCTTCGGTTCGTTCGTTCATTCGTTCGTTTGGATTCAACACGATGCTTTTCGATAATACTATAGACTTTCACATTGAAAATTAAAAGCCTCTCGACTCTGGCACTCGACATAAATGCGACGAAATATTAATGAAATTATGACGATTTAATGCGTTGCACCAATAAAGAATGAAAAAAATAACACCAAAAAACAATGCATGTCTCTATCCATGGCACACACACATAATGATAATGATGCATGTGCGAGCTTCGTCGCAAAAGTAAACAATTTTTAATCTGTGTCATTTGAGTTTTACAATGAACTGAAAAACGAAACTCTTCCGCCCAACAAGTGTTTCGAATGGGATTGATTTGCGCCGTTTTCTACCCCATTTCCACCGCCAGATTATTTTGATCCCATTTCTCAATAATGGTGTTGACATGCGCAATATGGAATGTGATTTGTGTGTTTCATCAAATTTGCAATAGTAGCAACAACAAGAACTACGGCAGCAGCAACAACAGCAGCCGCAGTAGCATCATCAACTATATGGCGATATTGCTTCGAAGTTTGTGCACCTCATATGTGAAAAGGCAAAACTGAAAGACAAACTTCTTCAAAAACACTTCGTTTCTATGGAAGCGAATTTGTATTTACAAAAAGGAACACGCAACAACAACGCAGCAGAATAAAATGAAGATCGAGAGAAAGATTGGGAAAAAAACGCAGCAGCAGCGGCAGCAGCGGTAGCGAAAGCTCATACACACAACTTTATTAACGAAACAAGAATGGCAAAGGAGCAATCCATTTACTTTTTGATTATATGAATCTCTATCTGATGCATGTATAGAGTTACTGTACATTTCACCACCAAGTTGTTCTATCGTTGGCTGGCTGCTTGGCTGCCTGGATGACTGGCTGGTTAGTTGGTTGCTTTGGTTGGTTGGTCGCTCACTCGTTCATATCTTTTTTTCTTTTTTTTGTTGGCGTTGTTTGTTCTGATTGCTCGGGATTGTATCAAAGATCGTGCAGATTTGTGCTTGTTCTGATTTGCATTAACTACGCTCGACGGCGTGCGCCAAATAAATTTCAACACTAACGATATGTCTACACTCTCAATGCTCTCACACAGAAAGAGAAAAAGAGATTGAGCGTGCGAGAGAGAGAGAGAGAGAGAGAGAGAGAGAGAGAGAGAGAGCCAAAGTCAGAGTCAGAGGCGAAAGCGATTGAATATGCAGATTGCAGAATAAAATGTAAAATTGCCGAATCCTTCCATTAGCGATTCCATGGAACTATTTAATGACGCATTAGTAAAATCTCCGGGAAAGTGGGAGAAATAGCAAACATCTACAATCGAAACTAAGCGATATGTATATGAAAACGAAAACCGAAAGCGCATTGCACACACTTTTGGAATGAAAATGGAAATGATATGCTGAGCATTATGAAAAAAAACCCAACTACTCTCGCATTTGCTTTTCGCACACACACACAAACATTGGCCGACACACAAATAACTAATTATCTCGCTTGCGTCTCCATGAAAACGAATTTTCAATTTTAATAGAATAATATATAGTCTGGTTCTTTGTGGAGTGCTTTTCAGTCCGTTGCAATGTCACAACGCGCATTTCCTTCTAACAAACAAAAAATAACAAAGAAAAATATTCGAAGAAATTGGAGAATTTTTTTTTTCTTTTTCGAGAGAAGAAAAAAAAGAAATGTAGAAATAAAATGAAACGAAACGTGTCAAAAAGGAGAGATAGGGAGAGCAAGGAAGCGAGAGAGAGAGGAAGAGAGGAAACGAAAAAGTAAACATGTACAAGTAACATGTACAGTTCATCTGAAGCATTAACCAAAATCCATAGAAGCACGACTGAGTACGTTAACAGGAAATTCAAAGATGGGATGAAAAGATATTATAAATTTACCAAGACAATTTAATCAGGAGCTTAAATTTATATCACTTTATATGCGGAACCAAAACTATTATTGAATCGATCACATAGCTGTATTAATATTACATGATAAAATTCCATCCATTTAGCGCTCATGGATCGAATGCTTTCTCGCGCACTCTTCACTTCGTGCCCTACTCTGCTCGGTCTCTCTATTGTCTCTCATCCATTCTCTCTATCTCTCTCTCTTTCTCTCTCTCTCTCTCGCTCCCTCTCGCTTCCATTGTTTGTGTGTCGATGCGAGGCGAGGAATTTTATTGAATATTATTTAAGTGCGGCATATGCAAATTATGATTAATTCTTTGATTCATAATTTTTTAATTGAATTCCCGACCGCATACACTTTTGCAAAATACTATAAAATCATTATAATTTTCGGAATTTGTTTCAGCCCGCGCGCGCATTTGCAGTGTCAAGTGTCGAGAGCGGCAATGCCTGAATAAATTCGCATCAGTGAGTGCGGGTGAACGAGTAAGCGAGTTGGCGTTCGACCCATGGACTAAACGAGCGAAAACGCGGCTATTGGGCCGCGTAGTGTAAATTTAGATTTTGGATTTTTCACACAGTTTGGAATTTCTCGTTCACAACCGACAATATTTTCCTTATCTCGTGTGAATTGTGAAATGCCGATGCTATAGCCGCGTTTGTACCCCTACGGTTGTATTCGACCGCACGCTCTGCGGTTTTATCATGTTTTATTCGCAGCTTCTGCCTCTGGTGCTCACTTTTTTTTCTGTAGTTGTTGGCTGGTGCCTTTTTTTATGTGCGCCTTTTTTTCTTCACGTTCTCTACTATTCGCTTCGTTCATTCGTTCGTTCGCGCCAAGGGTTTTCTCAAGAATTTCGCCGAATATTTATAAATTGGATCCTCCATTTCGTTTGACATGAATTAATTAATTAGGAAATATTTAGTTCTGAAAGTATCATCCAAACATATTTGGGCCTATCAATCGAGCTTAGAAGCTCTGCTGAACTATTGCATCTTGAATACGACTGCGGCACATACACAGCGGTTCCTTTTGTGCGCGAGGGTATTTCAAATCTAGTCTGGAAACGATTAGATTATTTCGGGATTTGCTTTTCGCTAAGATGTTTTATTGCCATATCTTCTTAAATATGATAAATTTGTCATGGAATCCAGTAAGATTTATGTCCATTGTGTTCGGGAGCAGAACAAATGAAAGATATACTGAATTATGTGTAGTGTGATGTCGTTCCATCTTCGAAAATTACACATCATACACCATACACCAGGACCAGAAAACATTGTGTGTGAGTGCGTGTGCATGACACGGAGAACGGGCGAAAAATGTGTGCTGTGTTGTTTTGAAAAACGCTTTCGAATGGGGTAAAAACCATATCATACCGAGACTAACGGAATCGTCGGAATCACACTATCTCTATGCCTGTTCGTGTGAACTGTACGTATAGTGCAGGAGAGTGTACGCGTAGTACAGTGGCACAGTGTACATGGTATTCTCCATGGGAATTGAAGGAAATTGTCTGCCGTTGGCGCATGCTCCAAAAATTAATATGTCCAATTGGTAAATCAATGTCGTCGTGTGCACCGTACAACCCGAACTGTATCGTGTAAGTGTTGGCGACGTATTTTCGTGACGAGAACCGAAAGCACGGGCGTATTCCGTGCGCTTCACAGTTTCAGAAGAAAAACTTTCAGTGGCAGTACGAAAGCTAAATCGAAAAGTGGCAGAATACCCGCTTAGTGGCTCTCGTCATCAAAATTCGCTGTATGTATATTCACTCAGTTTGGTGTGTTATTCATTCAGAGTAATCAATGTTTTAAACATTTAAGGGATTGTTTGATCGAATCACAGAAAATCAACTGTGGAAATTTCTTTTAAATATCAAACAACATTCTGAACTAGTTAAACGTTCCAAACCGAAATTGTGTGCAAAGTTCCATCAAAGTCAAATAAATTCAAAGGCAAACACGGTGTTTAGTTCGCAAAATTTTGCCCACATTTTTTTTTTCGTTTGCTGCTGCTGCTACTGGTGCTGGTGGTGGTGGTGGTGGTGGTGGTACACTGTGAGGCTTTTTGTGTGTGTCGATTCTCGTTTTCGCTCCTAAATATCATCGAGTGCAGTGTGCGAGTACAAGCATATACGGGAACACCGAGCACAGTACATAAACATGGTTCAGTGTGCAGAAATTTTGTTGGATAATTTACAGCACAGAGTGGAATAGTGTGTTGAGAGCATGTAAATATTGCTTTTTACAGTTTTATTTTTGGTCTGACTCAATAAATTCGTATGATATATTAAATGTTGGTCAACGGTTTCTGGTGTAGCCCTCTTTTTTTTTGTTCAAGGAGAGGGCTGTTGTCGTTGTTGTTGTTGCTACTTACTATTGCCCGTTGTTGTTGACGTCCTCATTGCCGCTATCACTCACTTCTTCTTTTTTCTCATTCAAACGGACGTGTTTGATGTGTATAAATAGCATAATATTTTATGGTGATGATTCGTCGTGTTGCTCATATACATTGCATCCGGCGTCATAAAATTCACCCAAATGCTACTGAATCTGACTTTAAAAAGCGAAATGTTTATGTTTACAGTCGACGGTTTTCGGATGTTCAAATAAAAATTGCAGACAATAAAGAAAAAATGACGAAAGATGGGGGGGGGGGGGGCGACGGCAGCGAATGGTTCCTTAAACGTCGAACATTGCGATGCATTCACGAAAATGATATATGTTATTAACTTAAAAAGATAATGAACTATTTACGATTTTGGTAGGCGAAAAGGCAAACAACACGAATGACATGTCCAACGTAAGGATTAAATTTAATCAAAAAGTCGACAACAGAAACGTCGCTCACTAAACGCTCGTAATAATGCTTACCGCGGCACGTTCCACACTCCAAACTACGGGGCTACGACTACTGTGAATGGAAATGAGAACGAGAGAGAGAGAGAGAGAGAGAGAGAGAGGAGTAAGGAGGATAAGTCATCGATAATAGTTGGCCTGAAATCGAATTAATAATGGTTTCAAATAACATTCTCATTTCCTAATGTCAACTGTGAGTAACATGTAACCACTCGTAGCATTCGCTCATGTTCTGATACGTAATAATTATAAATTATACATATAGTGAAAATCTATGTTTAGTCCTCAACATATTTCGTGGTGTGCGTGCCCAAACAAAGGGCAATGGAATTTTGAACGCACGATACGAATTTCCGTTGGATAAAGGACGATGAAGGCAGCAATGGCAGAGGCAAAGACAAAGGCAATGGCAACGACAACGACAACGACAATGAACAACTTATCAATAAGAAAACGTTCTCACAGCTAACGGTTCGCTTAGAAATCGAAACGAGACAAGAAATAAATGATGTGAATTTCCGATAGATCAAAGATTTAAAACAATACAAACGGAGAATTAAGCCGAATGGAACCGTTTTTCCCCCCAATTTCGAAGTTTTCGTTTCGTTACTGGTGTGTGCTTTTCCTTTTTTCTTATGTCGATTCGATTTCGGTTCTATCCATTAAAACGTAAAGAGTCCCGCTCATGTGTGGCAATGTCGTGTGAATCTTATGCGATATATGTACGTGTAAAAACGCTGTAAAAACCGAACGAAAATAAAAAATATATACACACACACACATAGATTGCTTAGCTACCAGTGAACATTGAAACACTGATTTACATTAGAAGCGCTGTGTGCTGCAATTTAAACAAAGATACCATCAAAAAATCGAGGAAGAACATTCACAAAATATAATACAATAGTTTTCGTGAGTGTGTACGGCCGCCGAAGGGGGAAAAAGAGCAAAAGCGATGTACAGAGATAGTGGAAGGGAGCTAAATAGAGAGAAAGCGTGTAGTAGAGAGAAAGAGAATGAGAATGAGCGAGAACGGTTGTGCGAGGAGGGTGTATGTCGGTATATATCGATTCAACTATCGCTTCTGATTTACACTTGCATCCATTACACCATCATCAGTGTGCAAAAATCGGGTTTAATTGGAAAAGTTTGGTTTTATGGACGATTTGCGTCATCTGAAATTACATGCCATTACTTTATCTAGTTTTTTTTCTCTTTCCCTCTCCCTTTCACCCTCTCCCTCTCTCCATCACTGTATCTCGGAAAAGAAGAATAGAAGAGAATCGGCCCAGCCAAATGAACGGGCGAAAACGATAATTCATCGTTTTGTCATTGATAGTTTATGCTATATACCCGATTAAAATAAGTCATTCGATAAATGTATACGCTTATATATGTGGGCTGAAATAGTAGCCATAGCATGCGACAAAGCTCTCATGTACTGCAGACTACATAACAAAAACAACAACGTTTGATGCAATTATTTTGAATTGAATATTACTAATAAATAACACTCGACACTGGATGGGGTGAGTTGTCTCACGCTCATTTTGGTTGTCGTCCACGTTCTCTCTCGTAATTTTTTGTTTTTGGGTCGGTCGTTTCGCCGAAAATAATTCTCTCTTTCTCTCTTTCTCTCTCTCTCTCTCTCTCGATCTTTCCATTTTGTTGTCATGAACTTTGGTATGCATAACGCATAGGGCATATTACTCAAATGACTACCCCATAACGTTAGCGTACAGCGCGTTCGAAATTATTCATTAATATTCCGCATATTCTTTTTTTTTGCTACTCTGACTCTGGCATTCGCTCGTTCGCTTTCAGTCCACGCGCGCGCGCGTTCAAACGAATTGGCGAACAGAAAAACGAGTCGAGTGTACACACAAAAACGCACACACAAAAATGTTGTTGAATTACGTGCGGAATTTTCCGGCATATTTGGACTGGCTTTTTTTTTGTTCTTTCACATGAACAAATCGACGGCTTGAATGACATTCACAAAAACCAAATGTTTATTTTCGTGATTCCACGGATCTTCCTCGCTCATGTCAAAAATAATTCTTATGAATATTAAATGCTAATGAGCGAAATTGTCACGTAATTAAAATTCAACCAACTATTGTCAAATTAATTGGCGCATATCTATCTTATTGTGCATGATTTATGAGAAAAAATGTATCCGGTGCGCATTTGAAATTGCACGATGCGCACGAATTGATAACAGCCCAGCCGAAACTATGAATGCCATCGATGGCCGCACACAAAGCTCGTGGTATTCACAAAAATTACAGAAGCACAAGGACAGAGAGAGGGAGAGGAGAAAGAAAGAGAAATAGAGCGTCTTCGCCAATGTCAACTAGCTTAAGATTTATGAAAATGGAAATGTATGCAAAAGCACAGAGGAACTAAACAGCGGCAATGCTGATGATGATGATGGCAACGACGACGTGAACAAAGTGCAACCGAAATGTCGATGAAAATGCCAAGCGATTTTTGGTATTCGACTTAATTACATCTAATTAACGATGACAAGGATGGAGACAAGGGTTATGAATAAGATTAAACGCAACGCCAGCACAGACACACTAATTTTCAAATGAATTCATCCTCTCTCTATTTCTCTATCTTCTCTCTGGCGAATCGCGCTTGAAATTAAATTCAAAATGCTTCAAATCCATTTTTCAAAGCGATCACGACCTATTCAGATTAAGCTTTACTTCCGACTTTTTTGCACATCGCATTGACAGCACGATTATTTTGTGCATTTTCCAATTTCAGTTTCGAATATCAAAAACATTTGCGCACGCAAACGAAACAGAATGAAATAAAAAAAACACAATGGAAAACGGAGAGAGAGAGAGAGAGAGAGAGAGAGAGAACGAAAAAACGCAATAAATCCATTGCGAAACGCGTCTGCACAAAGACATTTTTCGATCACAGCACATTTTATTCACTTTGAAATGTGTTTTTCTCCATGACTCGCACTGCACACGGGCACAACAGTAGCAGCATTAACAGAACAACAAAAAACGATGTACAGGAGCTCAACTATCATTACAATTGAATTAAACGTTGAATATTGGTGTGTATGGAGATGGAAAAATCTACTCGCAAAACATCAACACGCATATTTCACTCCGGTGACAGTTCGAATCCAAATTCAATGATTATGTCAACGATTGTTATAATGCGAGAAATAACAACCTAAACATTGGAAGTCGATTGTAAATTTTAATTGTTTAACTTGATAAACGTCACACAAATGCCAAATGCAAGTATGCATCACATTGTGGCCGCAATGGGGAGTGAGAGAATGCGAAAGAGAAAGAGTGAAATGAGAGCAGAAGAAACGACAACGGCACAGACAAAAACAACATTTGATCACACGTTTGGGGCTACCAATTCACCATATTCAAATGCTATGGGCACACGCGCATACACACACACACACATTCATACCAAGAATATCTTTTACGTTATTCATTTGTGCTTCGGTGTTTTAGAACACACTCACCAATGATGCGCAAATTATTCGATTTGACTTTGTGTACAACATTTTCGATTTAATTCAACCTGAACAATTAGAGCCCATAATTGGTTTATTAGCGATTGTTGGCTGAAAACGATTCGCGATGTTATTTAATTGCCAGCTCAAATTATTTTAACGTATTTTTAGAATTTCACTCGGTTCCGCTTGTTGTGCCATTATATATCCAGTTGTTCTCGTTCAACCGTGCACCATGTCGTTCGTTTGTTCGCACAATTCATTTGCCGATTTGCCAAAAGTGAGTGAGAGACAGTGAGGCGAAACATTTTTTGTGCCTGTGTGTGTTTTGTTTGGGGGAAAGGATACCGAAAAAAAAGAAGGGTAACAAAACACACTTGATTTACATTTCAAATGGGTTTAGAATGAGCCAGAAACCAAAAATATACATACACACACACACAAACCATGTTTCTCTTTCTCTCTCGCTCTATCTTCCATTGTTGAATGCATTCGATGGAGCTCGTTCATTTTTGTCTTTCGGAATGCCGCAACCGAATTTGTGTGCATGAAGTCTCCGTTTCTTCCGACGGAGTAAGAACGGCACTGGAAAAAAATCAAGCACGCAGAGGGAATCGAGTGTACGCGAAAACAATCAGTGCATGTAAATTCAAGATGAAACAGTTGTCCCAATCTTTGATCAAAGTTGTCATTCATGTCGAAAATATCTCATTGAATTTGAAACCTGGCGGTTTCTTCTACATATTGATCCTTACATTATACATAAATCGTTTTTTTCTCTATCTTTTTTTTTCATTGCATTTCAGACAAAAACAATTGCCACATATCAATATGGTGAATATCTGTGCTGAGTACAAGCAAAAAACGTTACAAGTGCTACCAAAAATAACCAATCAAATTGCCTCCGAAACCGAAAACTTTTTTTAAACAGTGATCATGACGCCAACGACACCGACGACGACGATGACAAAACAGTAATAGCATTGTAGCTACAACGGAGACAGAATTCCAGCCAAAGAAGCAGAAAAAAAAATCACTCAAAACCGCAACAGCAAAAAAAGCAATATACGATTTTCGTTGAGTATAATCAATTGGTTGCTAAATTATCAAAGGCCATAGCGAAACAAAAGGGCGAAATACAACACACGAACGAACCAAAAGACAGCCGAGAGAAGAAGAAAAAAAACACCGAACGTTCCACCTCTAAAGTGTATATACCGAAACCCGAATCACAAACACAGTTGTAAGTTTTGCAAGCTCAGTGTTTCTTTTGCCGTGAACATCTACATCTATCGTATGCCTAAATGAAAACGACTGTATTTAGTGCCCTTTTCGTACCCGTTTGAAGCGAAAAATTCATTCAAAACCAAACTAACCTTAACGGAAACACACAGTGAACAGAGTATCATATAAAGAAACTACAATGATTATGGAAACAATGATGCCAGCAAAAAAATAGGACACCCAAAGTAGCATAAAAAAAAACAAACAAAAAAACACACACACACACACATAGCCCCAAAACGGCGAAACAAGAAAAAAAAGAGAGCCAAATGCATTTATTTTGAACCACAGCAGGCACAAGTACAAGCACAAATACAAGCACTGGCAACGGGGCAACACCGAAAATGCTCTATATGTATTGCGTGAAAACGTAAATAAATTGATAACAAAAACGCGATTACACGGACCGAAAAACCGGGGAAAAAACAGAGTAAAAGAGCCGAAAAGGAAAACATAAAAACAAAACGAACGAACAGGAAAAATCGTCCTATCGATTTAATTTCTGTTTATGCTTTTGGCTGACTCTGAAATTTTCGTTTAATCAGCAAATATGAAATGATGCAAAATATTAAAATGTAAATGTAAATGTAAATGGTTTCAAAAACAGTTTGAAAAAAAGCCCACAAACATACATACATACAACAACAACAACAGAGCAAAAAAAATAAAACGAAAACAGTCGAAAAACGCTGAACGACAACATACACACACAAAGAATTTACAGAAGGAAAAAAAAACTCTCAAGTGAACACAGAAAAAAGCCCAAAAACGAAAAAAAAACATGCATGAAAATTGAAATAAAACAATAAAAGCGGGACGAATAACAAGCCATTGCATATTGTATTTATTGCTCGAAAACGGCTTAAAAGTGATTGAAGAGTAAAAGAGGGAATTTAAACACATCAAAATATATTTATTGTTTTCTGTTTCTTTGAATTTTCCGGACTGAAAAGCGAGAGTGCGTGCACGCCGCACACACGCTCTTTATAATTCTGACAAACAAATACTAAGCACAAAAGATTACCATAGAAGTAGCATTCGATTCTCTCGTTTGCTTCCGCGCTCGCTCATCCATTCGTTCGTTCTTTTGCTCATTTTGCTTGGCGCGCTTTTATATATTGATAATAAAATATTTTATGATTTATCTGAACGAGAACAGGAAAACCAAACAAAGCTTATCAAAACTGAATTTAAACGGGAGACACAAAGGCACACAAATGATTACTTGGAATGGTATCCGAATTAAATGATTTCGAATCAATACTGAATCTTCTTTGAACGTCATCAAAAACCGTGACATTGTGTGTACCGACCGAGTGGATTTCTTATCGTTGCGAAACGAAGTTTTTGCAAGCGTTGCACACAACAGAATTTAACAACAACAAAAAAGAAACAGTGATAACATACTAAAGAATGGAATAATACGAAAATCGACGACGACGAATAATAACGAACGCACTGAAAAGAACAATTCTTTGTACAAAGCAATCAAGTACCCCGAGCAAAAAAGATCGCGGAAAAAAAGAGACTGAAAAAAAGACTAAAAAGACAAAAACTTTGGAAGCGAAAGAGCAAACTACGATAAAAAATAAATAAATATAAAAGCCCCGAATATAAATTAATTACTGTTCAAATAATGACAAACTAACAAGTGAGCAATACGCTGGGCGAAAGTGCACTGTGCTTCTGCTTATATTGTGGAAATTGTTAAAGGAACAAATCGTAAACATGTTTGAAGTGCGCATAATTTTGCTGTGTTTGCCTTCCATCCTATTGGCATCAACAGTAAACGGTAAGCATTCTATCTTTTTTTTGTTGTTGTTATTTTTATTGCTTCCCTTCTTTTTCTCTTGAAACAATTTTTTGACACATTTTCAAACATTTCACGCTTCAAATGAATATTGTGCATTTCAATTTTGTTCAAAAAGCACTCAGAACTTTTCACGCTCTCTTCCTTGTCTTCCCGTTTCGCATCGCTTTTTCGTTTGTTTATTTATTTTTCCATGTTCACCATCGCGTTACATCCCCTTCGCTAATTCTTTTTTTCTCTCGCGCTTCACTCCTATTAAAAAAATAGTTGCCGTCGCGCATTTTTTTATCGTTCTTCGTCTCTCTCTCTCTCTCTCTCTCTGCTTTTGCTGTTGCTAATATTCTTTTGTTATCTGTACCACGGAAACAAAACTTCTCAACTTCCGAACTTTCGATGTGTTTCGTCATAGTTGAAGTGAAGAATGCCGAATTCCTGAACCTTAGATATTTACTTTGTTTGATTGCACAATCTGCAGAATGTGTACGGGTCGGTATGGCTGAAAATATTCGTCCATGATTAAAGTATGTGAAGAATTTAATGACCTCGTAATTGCATCTCAGACGCTGTACAGTATAGATACATGATTTGAATAACGGGAGGGGTTGGGGAAAGATATATGGAGAAAGAGTTAGAAAGTGAGAGAGAGAGAGAGAGAAAGCGAGTGGTAGAGTTTTTCCTGAATTTCTGTTGTTTTTGCCTCATCTACCGTTTCATGATGACTTTAAACACTATAACGCTACTCTCTTCTCGTAGCATTTATGTTGTTGTTGTTTTTTTTTCTTTTTCCCGTCTTGTTGTTATCCTTCGCTGTAGTCATCTTTGTGTTGTTTTCTTCCCTTTCGTCGACACTCTTTTTTTTATCATATCCATTGTGCGAAACAAAGTGTTCAAAATGCGTGATAATAGAAGTTAAATTGCGTCATCATCATGTTGAGGTTGGAGCCACGTAGAGGAAATTCCATACCAAATATTACCTTTTCGATGGAAAATATTCGGCGCGATATATTTCAAGCATCCTCAACGATATGAATGCACCTCTCGCTGTTTTCGTGCGCGCTCTCTCTCCCTCTCTTCCCCTTTGTCTCTTCACCATAAAGTGGATTCGGGAATGACGGAATAGTTGTGGGTGTTCACGGGTTATCTGTACACATGCTGTTTTTCGAGTGTGCGATACATGATATCGCTTGTATGTCAATTCTATTCAATAATAGGAACGAAGTAATCAAAAATTTTAGCGAAATACACGAAAAATGAATTTTCAACGCGAGTTGAGTGCGATTGAGCATTCGTGGCGCAATGCAAAATCCTTCCAATTGAAACGGAATGAAAGAATGGCTTTCTGTTTGACATCCGATGTGTGTTAGAGCTGAATTTGCAACTACAACAACAACAACAACAGCAGCAGCAACAATGTATAGCCCAGACACTTGACAAATCTCAGAGGGTATGAAATTTTAGTACTGTGTATGTGCGGTAAATTCCACAGGCAAAATTTTTGTGTGGTCGTAGAAACTCGAGAAAAACCACATAAAGCCGCGATTTGTTGCCGCCATTTCAGTCTATCTACACTTCAATCATCTCGAGAAGTTACTCGGCAACAGTTAATAAAAAACATTAAATCGTACTCAAAGCAAAAAGACAGGGCCACATTGATCCCTAGCACCCAGCACGCGTTTAAATTCTATGCCAAAGAATATACATCTATATATAAAAAAGAAAACAGAAAAGATAGAGAATGAAACATTCACAAACACTCATTCTTCTACTCACACACATAAATAAACAGTTGCTAAGCCGAAAATATTGTGATTTTGAAATCCTGTCATCATTTTTGAATGAGCATAGCATTTTGAGTTGGTAAACGGCTTAGAAGTAATAAAATCAATCTTTGTCTTTCTTTATTCCGACTCACTCTCGTTTTCGTTTTTGATTCCATTTTACAGAGACAAAGTCGATTTTAACCGACGGAGATTGGAAGAAGCTATGGATGGAGGCGGGTAATTCCAATGCGAATTTAAAGAAAGACAACTCAATTGATTCCAGTGATAGTCCAATTTTTGATGACACTGAGGTAAGTGACACGTTGTTTTATTTAACCCATTGCCAAGTGAGCAGCGTGTGAACTTTGCTCATTCGCTCGCTCACCATAGAATATAAATATAAAAGAAGAAATGATTGATGATATCAGTGGCAAACTTGTACCGATTTCCACTCATTTCGGATTTATTGTCGGATAATTTCAGCGAAAAAGGGAAAATATCGTGCACATTGCCATGCCTAATTTGTGTAAAGTTTCGCAATGTGCTCAAGTTCGGCTCGAATGTACGTATACACATCGACCGAGCACAACCAGAGCACACACACATACATATTTACTCCATCAAGTTGCGAAAAGCCAATATCGAAACACAAAATCTCCAACGTCGACACGTTTGGAGCAAGTTTAATGACGAAAAGTTCCTGAAATGCTCATTTCGGAAGTGTATATCGCACAAATTAATTGCTATTTCAGGTTTTTGAAATCGCTAGAAAATTTTACGTTAAATAACTTGAGTCTTTTGATTGATTCTGAATGTCTCGAAGCGGTTTTTATCGTAACGTGTAACGATTAACGTGTAATTTTATCAGAATAGGAAGTGCTCTTCCCCCGCAAACCGGGCCATATCGAATGGAACGAAACGATACGGAACGAAATGAAATGGATCGATGAATTGATATGTAGACAGGGCGTTCAATGAAAAGAGAATGAGACAGACTTCTCTTGAATTCATGACTCAAGGACATAAAATATTAATATCGACAGGCGTTAAGTTCTCTACTTACAGATTTTATACGTAATTAATTAATGCACAAAATTCATCCGAATGTCTGCGGGTGTCAAAATCGACGGATAACAGCACAAAGGGAAGCGCACAAACCGAAAATCTTACATGCACACGGGGCAATCAAGTGTAAGAAAAGTGTGTGGAAGAGACAATGAAAGAAGCAACAGCTACCAAAACCGAAGGAGAGAAACAAAAAAAACGGCGACGACGTACGATACACACATCACTTGATTTACTGGTTTAAACATGAAACATGAACCAATACGCCACATAATCACCAATCGACAATCACTAAATCATAATTTTCTCATTTGGCGAGCATGTGAACAAAAGATCGCCGATTGACTGGTTTATTGGACTGTAGTTTGCTATTTGGGTTCTACACAAAACAACGACCCAAACGAAAACATTGAACAAATAATAATGATGTGAATATGAATAGCACTTCAATGCACCAGCACCAATATAATGAATCAGACGAATAAAACAGCCATGTAACGGCTTGACAGTCATAATACAACGGCCGAGTAGCGGCGGCAACAGCAATAGTAGCAGCGACAGCACCAGCAGCAATCGCCACAAAGAAAATCAAGAGAGCAAAGAAGAAAGAAATCGTCAACGAACACCAAAAAAGCAAACATAAACAAAAACGAACAGACTCAAAAGAAGAAAAAAAGCGCACAAAAGTGGGGTTCATTTTTGGTCGATTTCTACAAAAAGCCCCTCTTTGTTAGCAACTCGATCATTTCTTCGTTTAAAGTGAAAGGAGAAGTTACAGGTACACAAACACAACATTTTTCAAGTAGTGCTTAACATTACTCTCGTTATAGAATAAGTATTAAAATCAAGCAAAAATAAATAATAACAAAGTATAGCAAAGAGAATAAAAAAACACAAACCAAACGCAAAAACGTACGCGGCGTCAAGTTATAAATAGTATATATAGCAAATGCAAAAGTATTATAATAAGTAAAGCCAAAAGAAAACGGGTACATGAAAAGTAATTACCTTTCGCCTTCAAGTTAAGAGAGAACTGAATGAACAATCGCACTCTCTCAAGCGCGCGCGTCGTTTAAAGTGGTGACAATAAACTCAAACCATAAAAAAAGCAAAGTAAAAAAAAAACCAACATAAATTCCAGCAAGCATTAATGTTTCATTAAAAAAATATCCACGCCAACATTGACGACTCGCCTTAGCTCGGCCTGGCCGTTAATGAATAAAAAATTTCGCGACAGTAAAATTTTTCGATAAACGCGCGCGATAATGCTCAAATTAAATGATACATCCGTAAAATTGAAAGCCGTACAAATGAATTCGAATTCATGGACGATAATGAAGTAAAAAAAAGGCGAGCAAATAATAATAAAAAAAAAAACAAAACGAAACGGTTACACTTTCATCCCAATTAAAATTAAAAACGGCTTAAAAATCGAAAACGAAATGACTTCAAGTGTTAAGCCATCAAATGTGAAAAGTGAATTTAACCGATGGTTTTTTTTATCTTCTTCGTCGGTTGTTTGTTTGTTTGTTCGTTCGTTTGTTGTTTGGCTGCTTTTGCCATCACCATTTGTCTCATTAAATTAAACACCAAGAGAAAGAGAGAATTCACCATTCTATCCATTCGGTACCTAAGGTTACGCGCAAAGAGTATCGAACTTGGTGTGAGTTATGTGTAATTTTATCTGCCGTGCACCGAGTCCAATGTACCAACTGAGAGTTTTGAGTTCGAGTGCTGCTTTTTTTTCTTCTACTCCCTGATATAAGTACTCATTGCATATTTAAACCAGCAGACAAAACCGGATTATACACTTTTGTTTTCGTTTCATTTATACTGCGCTATATGTGTTTATTATTATTTTTTTCACTCGTTCTTTTGAATCGAGCTTTACTTTTTTCTATTGAACGAGGCTTATGATTTTTGGTTTGTTGTTTAAATTATGTGCTGGTTTTGGTAGATTGTACCAATATAGACATGCTCCATTCAGCTACATTCATGGCTGCCCCGGCCAGAGGTGGAGGTCTTGACGCGTGTCTGAGTGCCTCTTGGTATTGTATTTGCAGACGAATGTTTTTTTTTTCGAAAATAAAGCGCATAGAAAATAAATACGCACACAATCCGTCTATTTTGGAACTAAGCAAACTGAAAGGGTCATTATGTCAACGCGTTTTGCTTTTTGTTTTCTTGATTTTGTTGTTGTTGTTGTTGTTGTTGTTGTTGTTGTCTCATTATTATGTGTATGTACGTGTGAGAGAGTGTGCGCGTGCTTTTTTTTTCTCTTACACTCTTCGGTGTTCATTTTTATTCCATTTTTTTTCTGTCATTGTCGTTGCTGGTGTGTGTCTGTGTTGCTGGTGTCCGTTTGTGCTTTTCGAAGGAAAAATGGACATGGGCACGAGATAAGTGCTGTGTTCATTTTCACTTTTGTGCCGAGGCGACCGATCCACATTCGGCCGCACACCATCAGTTTGACATTGCTCTACAAGGAAATATGGCACAAATTATTTCGAAATGAACATTACGCGTAAATCGAATGGAAATTTTGCACGAGCAAAGAACAGTTTTTTGCCGTTATGGCGTGTTTGGTGGCCGATAAAATTGGGTAAAAAAAGAAGATCGAACCATACACGAAAATCCATAAGATTGGAAATTATACCAAATGCCCTATATGAAAGATTCTTTCGTTCATCGTTTGTGCATATTTATATTTATGAGTTTATTGTTGGCATGGGAACACTACGCTATTTTATGTGCGTTGTGCGCCAATCGTGCTGGAACATAAATAAACATTCATACACGCAGTTTAACAGTCATGAAAACAAATGTTTTTATGACGATTATTCGGGATATGTGCTCGCGCGAGTATCTATTTTGATTAGACATATGGAATATAGTGACTTTGTCGGGTCGTGATTCGTTGTGTCTTTCTTTGCTTGGTTTTCTCGTTCCATATCGAGGAATGGAGTGCAACGGCGATTCGTTTACTTGCTTGGGACACTTTAACAAGAGTATTGATCATAAAATACTCCTTACAACCGTATAAAACCAAACTCGAATCGTTATATTGGGAAACCTTTAAATGTGCACGGATTTTATTTGCGTTTCAGCGTGATTTTTTTTTGGTTTGCCGATGCCAACGAGATCGAGTGTGTGTATGGTTGTTTCGGTCTTGGACTGCCGAAATCGAAAGTTCGCCGATACGAACGCACTTACGAAACACCGAAAGAGCAACGGATTTTGATGGTTAATATGCGCGCTATTTTCCACATGAATCAATGCAATAATTTACAATTATGATAACACGGCGCAATTAACTTAAGCTAATATTGGCTTCGATTCGAAAAACCGTTACTGGCTAGATCATAAATAATTGAATTCTCATTCGCGCGTGTTTGTTTGGAAATTTTCTTGTTCATTTTTTTTTCTTGCTCTCTATTTCTCTCTCTAACGTAACACTGACTAATTATTATTCAGAAGGTTTTTTTTCAATACAAACTTCACGAAAACAGCAAAAGTACTCATAATAGCACATTATCGGAGCATGCTTTTCCTTTTTTACTTCTTCTTTTTTTCTCAATCATAAAAATCGATTCTCCATTTTGATCCCGGGCAAAACAACAGCATACAGATAAAAATCTAATTTTTAAAACAATATTCCAAATCGAATTACCCAAAAATTTCATAAGAACATTTTTGTTTTGTGCTGTGCTGTGCTTTGTTTTGTGCTGTACGGTGTGGCTATAGTGCTTTGCTTTGAGCTTTTGTTAGTGAGAGTGTGTGCGTGTGTATGTAAGTGAGCACGGGGGAGAAAGAGAGTTTTGCTTTGTTGTATCGTATTGTATTATGCTTATGTTGCGTTGGACCATTTGGTCGGTGGGAGTCGAGGCCAGTGCGTCAAAGTCAGCGTACGAATCATATCACATTGTTTTTTTTTATCGCGCACATAAATATGTTACGTAAACAGTCAAACGGAGATTTAAAGTCACTGGCTAGGATGAATTACAATGGATTTTTTCGTTCGTTTTCTCCGTTTGAAGAAAAACGAAAATATCTGGTTGTTTAGAGAGTTTTCTTTTTCTCTCCTCTTGGAAAATTGTTCGGTTTCCGAATTGATGTAAATCTTGAGGCGGCTTTTTCGACCGTATACGCGCCTCAAATCTCTCTAATCTAATAAGTAAGAGGATATAGCATGGGCTTGTCCATATTGCGTAATTATTGTACGGCCGTATAGACTGTTATAATCCCGAATCACACAAAACATGGAATCATAGCGCGAGAGAGAGAGAGAGAGAGAGAGAGAGAGAGAGAGAGAGAGCAAAGCGATAGCGATAGCAACAGAAAGAGCAAGAGCGTGAGGCGGCACAAATGCCCGTTGTATCAAAGAAGAAAAACTTGAAAACTTTGTGTTTGCATAAAAACAAAAAGAAATTTAAAAAAACAAAAGCACCAACAACAAAACTAAGATGAAGAGCCGAAGAGAAATAAAAAGTTGAAATTGAGAGACAATCTCATTATTCATAAAAGAAATGCGACGACAAAAAATTTACGAATAAAATTTCAATCTAATTCAGTCCTTTCGGTTCGTGTGTGTGTGTGTGTGTCCGCCTTACAATGGCTATGTTTTGTGTGTGTGTGTGTGTGTGTGTGTGTGTGTGTGTGTGTGTGTGTGTGGACAAAGAGGGTCATTTTAAAGCAACCAGAGAAATGGAGATAGCGCGCACAAACCATAGATATGGAGATTCATTCAGATATTCGATGCGATAGAGAGCGATTGAAATGAATGAGTTTGTCGTAAAAATTGGCAATTGTTTGCTCTTTTTCGGAGAAATGTCGATCCGAAAATTAACCGTTTAGTGCTCGCCGCTTTCCATAACCAACAGCATCATCGTGGCTGCTATTCATTCCATTGAAATGCGCATTTGAATGCACGAAACGCCAAATTCCAATCAATCGAAATCGAAATCGAAAACCGAACGAACGAACGAACAAAGAGAAAGAAAACGAATTAATCAAGTTGCGCTAATTGTTGATAATTCGTCTCACACTTATCGCTATCCCCCAGCAAAACGCGTATAAACATGTTGATGTTTCACCCAAATGCGCACTCTTCAATGCATGCAGCACACCAAACCATTTAATTCAAAAACTCTTTTTTTCTCTCTTCGTGAGCTCTCTTTATTCATTTCATTTCATTCTTTTTTTTTCCTCTGTTTAAATCTTTTTTTTTCGTATTATTTTTTTTCTGATGGTCTGCCTCTTCGCCGTTTTCTCGCTAGGGTTTTGCGTGCGTATTCGAAATGACAAATGTACATCCAGCTTCATTTTTTATGAAAAGCAATTTGTGATTTCTTCAATATGAAGCCTTTAGTGAGCGTGCTCGCTCGCGCACACACACAAGAGAGGCTCGTAGAGCGCGCAATTTATTGCTGTTGCACCGTTTTTCTTTCTGTATGCGGCGCGTTACAATTTAAAACATCGTTTCATAAATTGTAATTGTCATTAATTTCATCTTTCTTTTGTATTTTCATCTCTATAACGCCCATAATGACTGGAGCAGATTTGTTTTGTTTATTTAAAAAAATCGAGTGTACTCTCTCGGTGTGTGTTTGTGCTCACGACGAGGTTGATTTGAATATTTCTCGTTGTCGTTGTTGTCGTCGTTGATGTCGGTTCAGGGTAACCATCGGGCGCAGAATGTTGCTGGAGATGGCAACGATGGTATGTGTTGGGTGTGCGTTTCAATTCATTCTAGCAATTTTCACCACGTAAAATACCATC